GGTTTGTACTTGTTTAACTTTTGTCTAGTTTCTGAACATATATGAGGAGCTGTGAGCTCTGAGTGCTAACAGCTAACGGCTGTGTTGTTTTTCTGGGGTTCTCATTGAAGATGACGTCACGGCTCCGCCTACACTGCGTTACTATAGATACTACCCCAGTTCCTAAACTGTAATGGAAATGCGCCATAAAGTGAGCCAGTCCTAACGAGGCCTAGCCATACCGAGCGAGGCCGTGTAGTGGAAATGCGCCATTAGTCACAACCCTGTCCATCAAACACATCAAGGCATGGGACAATTCCTGCAATGTCTCACCCTCATTTTGCTTTCTGGAGAAAAAGCCTTCCTGCAAAGAAATGTAGGATTTGGAACACCCATATAACTCCTGCAATATGGCTATGGTTTGGTCGGGGTCCTCCCTTTCTTCCCTTGGTCTGTATTTAAATTCCTCCCTTGCCTCACCCTCCAAATGATCATATAGAAATAGAAAAAAATAATAAAAAACCTAACTCAAGCAAAACCTAACTGTAGCAAAACAGCAGCTGATACCACCTAGTAGGAAACACACATTGTACATTAGATTACAATACAAAAGTACACATTTAAATCTTTTAACTTAGGTAATTATAAACTTACCACTACTCAGTATGATTAGGACCAACACACATCCCTCCAGGTTAACAGGACTTCAGGCATCACATTTGGCCAAAGGAACACCAGGTGGACCAGGATACAAGCTGACACAGGTCTGAGTCTCCGTACTCCTCGCAGAAAACGTCTGGGTGGCTGCTGATCGCTCCCTCCGCCTGGGAGAGAGCGTCTCCGCGCCACGGAATTTCCCACGGTCTGCCTGACAGCATGGAAACCAGGACGCTCATACAATTAATGTAATTCAGTGCTAATATAAGATGCACATGAGGAATATTAAGTTGCTGATCAAACATGACATCCAGTATCTGACTATTTACCTACCCTTAAGGTGGCCATGTGGCAACAGGCAGGCAGCAAACAATGATGCCACAGGTGCATTAAATACCCCTGAGTTAATTAGGGGTTGGCTCTGGGGGAGGAGTTGACCTACTTTAGGTGATGGTGAGTTCAGGGCCTAGAGATGAGTGAGTTCCGCTGACCCCTCGGTTCCCGGACCGAGTGCGGGAGAAGCGGCTATCAGCGGTCCTGATAGCCCCGGAGCGCACGGGAGCGTCCTGGTTTCCATGCCTACAGCGTATGCTGTCAGGCAGACCGTGGGAAATTCCGTGGCGCGGGGACACTCTCTCCCAGGCGGAGGGAGCGATCAGCAGCCACCCAGACGTTTTCTGCGAGGAGTACGGAGACTCAGACCTGTGTCACGCACACTGGTGCCTCAGTGGGACTTGGCTTTGGTGTTACGTGCACTGAGAAAAGCCCCATTTGAACCTTTAGATCAGGTTCCCCTTAAGGTTTTGTCAGCCAAAGTAGCATTACTTTTAGCGCTGACATCAGCAAAAAGGGTGAGTGATTTGTCTGCCCTCTCTGTGGCTCCGTCATGTCTCCGGATCCAAGGAGATGGCAGCTCAGCTGTTTTGTCAGTGGAAGACATTTGCACTGCTGCATCTTGGTCTGCCCTGTTCGTTTATTCAATTGTATTTGAGGGATGTCTCCCATTCCTCTCTGACACACCCTGTACTGAGTGTCCTGTCAGAGTGAGTGACGCCAGCTGTGCGTCTCTCGCCTGCCTCTCGGCACGCAGAGAGCGGCCCTTTTTCCCTCTTATGAGAGGGATGTTCCCTTTTTTTCCTCTCTGACACATTTTGTACGGAGTGTCTTGTCAGAGAGTGATGTCAGGGATCCAGCTGTGCACTCTCTCCTGCCTGTCTGCACGCAGAGAGCTGCCCTTGTTCCCCCTCTTTTATCGCTGGACAAAGTGTGACCTTCGTCTCTACTTTTTCACAGCGGCAGGTTTGTATTGTTCCCAGCCTTCGTCCCCTCATGGAAAATATTCATGTTATGCTATATTCCAGGGACTGTGATGCGCCATTCGCATGGCGCAATAGGCATGGGTTATTATTTGAGTAGGTGTGTCTGTGCTTCTGGTACCGGGCAGACCCAGTGGGGCGCAGACTACATCCTGTAGGCGAAGCCATATACGAAATAGAACTGAAGTTACCTACTGTAACTCCAGCTTCTATGAGTATAGGCGTAGCCCTCTAAGTTCTGGGCCCCACTGGCTCCACGAATAGCTGACGAAAAGCTGTTTGTGTGGGAGCAGATTGTCGGGCCTCCTTCCTATTTATACCGGAAGTGAGTCCGAAGGTGGGGCCCACCTCGCAGGTAGGCGTGGACTACAAGTGTTTTCAGTGCTGCGCGGGTGCGCAGGGGATTACCCAATAGCGATAGCCTTAGAGGGCTACGCCTATACTCATAGAAGCTGGAGTTACAGTAGGTAACTTCAGCTCTGCTGTGTGGAGATCACACACAGTGAAAATTACAGAAGGACGTGCAGTAAACACCACTCAGCAGGACAACCTTTGTTATTCAAACGTTACCTTTTGTATTTACTCATTTCATTGCCTTTATATTATAAATGATGCATTTGAAGTTATTTGGGCATAAAGATACTTTGGTCTCCATTCTGTGACAGATTTAAAGATGTGGTTAAACTAGGTGCACGTCACATACTGTTAAACTGCTTCACCCAATCGTCTCGCAGAGCTCTCTGCTTCATCAAACTGACTAGAGGCGAGTGTTCATGACACGTATACTATTTAACAAGGAGAGGGAGGCCATTTGTCTTTTTTCTGTCCTTGCTTGAATTAAAATGTAATGCTGGCACTGAAACATTAAATTGTAACCAGTATTTATTTTACAATAACTATTACTGCATAAGCAACCAAAGCCTCTGTGAAGTACTGACTGAATCTATTTTTAACTCCAAAGTCTTTTGCTGAACATCTTGTGTACAAAGACTACAGGTAAACATGATATTAGTGACCTTAACAACAACATTATATACAGTTCTATGGCAACCATATCACAAACATTGCATGAAGGCTCCAAAGTCAGAGATGTTGAATTAGGGAGCTAATGGTGAATTATTTGAACTAACATGATTGCTTCACTCAGAAAAGCTTGTTGCCAGGAAACTGAACCGACTTTTGTCACAGTGACACGATGTTGGCTGCATGTTCATAACGTTTGTGCCTGATTACTCAAACACATGCCCTGCGGAAGCAAAACGAGTGTTTGACATCTGTTGTTTTTAAGAATAGAATACAATGTGTGTGTATGTAGACTGCCTTAAAGAATTTAGCAGGGTGTGAGTAAGAATTTCTCCTAACTTAGTTGTCCCAAAGATTGTGGAGTGAGGAAACTACAAAAGGATGCATTTGAGTAACTATTCCTTATTCTTTAGTCCAGCAAACATGGAAACTGAAAAACTATTCTCTCACCATGCAAGTATTCAATAGACCAGTAGGTACTTCTGTATGGTGTACCAGCTTAATAAAATGAATATTATTTGTCAAGGGGCAGGTTGCAAATAATACTGGTCCAACACAGGCAGGCCAAAGCATGAATATAAAATATATATTAAACATTACGAACACATGCTGTTTCAGTAAGGGTTTATGTTAACCGACAATCAAAATATCATCATTTTTTTCAACAATATAAACCACAGCACTGAAAATCCAGTTATATCTAACTCAGGACAAAACAAGGTGCTTAGGCTAACTTTTTTGTTGTTAATTTGTGTATGGAGTTTTGGTTAATTGGCCAATGTGTTGTTGAAAAAGTGTGTGCTTTCAGGAACATTCACTAATGTGCTCAATTTAATATATTTGTCTAATAAAACAATGCATGACACATGCCATTTTAATGTTCTTTTTAAAGATATAAATTGTAACATCACACATGGTGCATTGCAAGAGTCATGGCTCTGTTTTTGCTGCTTCAATTTAGATTATTCATTTTAATTGTGTATTTTCAGCGATCAGAGGGGTTTCTTTTTTTTTTTTAAAGACATGTCTATATTTAACCATTCAACTCATATTTTTATTTTATTATATTGCATTTTCTTGCATTATTTGTTTCTAATTTGTAGAGAAATGGCTGAACCGCATTAGCCATAGTATTGTAGTTGTATTGAGGCTACTCTATGACAGGTTGTGTATAACACATCTGACATCTGATAATATCTGCCTTATGCTAAGAGTGGGCTAGCCTGGCCACCAGAGATTCAATCACTCGATCGAAACTTGAGTCTTCAATAAATTAATCCATAATCAAATATTCTAACATACAGTCAATGGGGGGAAGGCAGAACTAAATATGAGGGATTGCAATCGTATTTCAGGAAAATAATTGTCCTACTGTTACACTTTGGGGCCTCCGTAGCCTACACAGAGATTAGTGAGAATTGTTTATTTTTTTTCTCTAATTTGGGTGAACATCAGTTACCCATAGGTTTAACCCTAACTTTCCCCTGACATAATAACTATAGGATACGCACCTTTAAAATGTTTTGGTTTTACCATAGGTTTTTACTACAGTATAAGCAGAGTTGATAGTAAAAACGTCGCGTGACGTGGTGATATGGTGTAGTAGTCATCATTCAGACTTTGGCCTGCCCCTTGCAACACACACACACTAACACATTTCCAAACACTTCCCCTCCCCAGTGTTACCCCCGTTAGTGTTGTATACTTAGCCCAGGCCAGAGTCAGGAAAATATCGTTGAAACATTTACATTAACATATAATTTGTTCTCGCGTTTGAATACACAAAAAAAGAATACAGCATGATGTAGCAAACATATGATTTAAACTATGCTTAAATATGGATTATTGTTCCCGCTTAAATAGCGTAGGTGCTTGAAAATGATGATTTCCATGCAGTTTTCCATGGTCCCTGTGTGTTATCAGTGGGCTGATGTGAGCAGGGAGCGCCTCGCATTCACTTCCAGGTGCAGGCTGCTGCGGTCCAGTCACAATTCAACACGAACTGCTTTCGGCCTGATAAATGCGCATGCGCACTACGGCTGACCCCTCCGGTTTCTGCGTGCGGTGCCACGTTAGTAGCGGTAGACACAAAATACCAGCTACTCTCCCAACCTTAAACAAGGAAGAAGACCAAAACTAAGACCACTTCCACAGCTAACCTGTAGCCGACGGTGTCTGCAGCTCTAGTCTCTCTGCCAAGAACAATACTCGACGCTTATCATGTTGAAGCTTCTGCTCATCTGCACACTGGCTGTGGCCAGCAGAGCCGAAATCGTTGAGGAAGATGATGTCCTGGTACTGAAGAAAAGTAACTTCGAGGAAGCTCTGAAAGCTCACCCCAACATCCTTGTGGAATTCTGTAAGTAACAGTGGCTACTAAGTATCTCCAGCTAACGCTAAATGTCTCCGACAGACTCACCAGGTGCCCTGCTAGCTAGCTTAATTCAGCCTGGGTTAACGTTAGCATTAAACTTTGACACTTGTGACAACTTGCTGCTGTTAGCGGCTAGCTAACTGCTGTCTGTCTTTACTGTTGCCTCTATGTGCATCTAGTTCACTTGGTTTACAACCAGCTATTTCACCGTATTTAAAACTGAGTAACAATATGAAGGGGCATTGTTTATCACAATGCGTTTTCTCGTTGTCAGAGTATCTTTTAGCACCGTATATCGTTGTGGACAGTGACTGGATTCTGATGCGGATACCATAACTTGGCACATCGCACTAACACCAAACTTGTTCCACTCGTTTTTTCACTTCTAGACTTACATTTGTTGCAAACTTTTGTTTATTCATATGCTTGCTTTAACTTGGCTATAGCTGAAGGATATACATGGCTAATATTACCGCAACATATTGCATTTGGTGTGATCTGCCAGGGCCTGCATTGTCACATTTGCCTTCGGTATAAAGCTGTTAGAATAGTTTAGCAATAACGCTGAAAGTAGCATAACGTGAAAAGGAGTCACTATTTGTAAGTCACGAAATACGGGGCTTTTAAGTTTCGATTGCCTGCTGTGGTTTCCTACTATGTGTTTCAGTTGTTGTGTAGGTCGGAAGGCTCATTCACTGTCCTTTCATGCAGTTCTTGACTTATTTTCCATAATAATAATAATAATAATGTGATTGGTTTGCGTGTCAAAGCACACGCTTTATTGAGCGACTTCTTCATTGCCTGCAGGCCCATCCCGCTATACTTTTGTCAGATTGTTGACCTGCTCACAATTCAGTGAACCAGTGAGAGATGGCCGTGGGGAAGCTCTCCAGTGAGCTCAGGATGGGAGGGATATAGGATTTTTTTTCTTGCCCACGTACTCGTAAACTGGGCGGGACCTCAGTTGGATGGCGGAGCTAGGTTGACGTGTACTTTACAAAAGTTCATCTGTGTGTTAATATTGGTTGTACTGGAACAAGGAAGTGTTGTACTTTGTCAATAATTTAAGGTGATGCAATGCAGGTCATTTTATTTTACGTGTCATTTCTGAATAGGTGATTATCTCTGTGGAGTTTGTGCTTAGACCTTTCACATGCACAATTGGGCACCATGGCTTACACATTTAACATGTGAAACCACAGTAGTAATTAAATTATCCTGCATTTTATGGCAGTTTGCTACTTAGCCATCCTGATAGCAAAGAAACAGTTGGACTAAACGGAAATTCAAACTTTAAAAAAAGATTGCAAACTAACTTCAATAAATTCTTGTCATTAAACGTACCAGAATACCACTTAATGAATTGGTCGATAGTAGAGTGTATTTATATGAAGTTAAGTTTGTTAAATGTCATGTATCTAGGGCCCAAGCTGACACCCACTGCTTGTTTTTGACAAGCAGTCCAAAACTTAGTCATATTAAAGTTATAATTTTAAGTTATAATTTTAAGAGGGATATAAGAATCTAATCCTCACATTAAATAAGCTTACTTCATTAAGTTGACGGATCAATTCATTGTCATAACTGAGTTATTCTAATGCTTGTAGTCATCAAGTTATTCAGTGTTTTTGTATGGTTCATCATCAGAAAGATCCTTTTTTTAATTTGATGATTTTAAGCTCTAAATGTAATTTTCCATTTTATTTTTATTTTAAACCTGAAGTTTTTCAAAAATGGTATAGGTCAACTTGAATTCATCCTGAAAGATTTGTTTGTGCCAATGATCAACCCTTAAGGTCAGGTTTACCATTGCAATCATCTCTGTGTGCCCCGCTAAACGTCCCCCTAACTCCTGCAGATGCCCCATGGTGCGGTCACTGCAAGGCCCTGGTTCCAGAGTACGCCAAGGCCGCCGGCATGCTGAAGGCCGATGGCTCAGTGGTGCGCCTGGGTAAGGTGGACGCCACAGAGGAGACTGAACTGGCCCAGGAGTATGGCGTCCGGGGATACCCCACCATCAAGTTCTTCAAGGGTGGAGAGAAGGAGTCACCCAAAGAGTACTCTGGTGAGCATCATTGTGATTTTCATTCATGCAGACTTGCTCGCTTGATAAAAATGACTGAGAACTTAGAAGCAGTGGAGGGGAAATACATATTTTTCTATACTGCAAACAGGGTCTGTTGATATTTTCTATACTAGTATGTTAGATTGAGATCTAATGACGATCATATAACTTTCTTAGATTCAGTAAACAAGCATTTCAAATGAAACCAGTCTTTTTCCCACTGTGTAGCTTTTAGTTTTCTCTACTCCAGTTCACCTTTAATAAATTAGAGATGTATTCAAATAGTGATGTAATCTTGAGTAACTCCTGTCATAGAGTGAATATTTTTTCTTAGTAAATTCTCATGAAAGGGTCCAAAAATGCAAGAAAGAATCTGCTCTGACAACTAAAAGCGAGCCCTATTGGCCCTCTTGTAATATGATCTGCACAGCAGCATAAACTGAAAGTCAGCCAATCAGCTTTGAGGAACTCTACTTACTGTAGACAAAATGTTGGCTGGGCCCTCCCCACACGTTCCTCATGCTGACTGTGAGCCAGCAGAGAGATGTGCAGTTCTTCACGTTGCCTCTCTGCTGGCCTGGGCCAGGCCCGTTTTGGAGGGAGGGAGTAGGTTAGGGAAATGACTGCCACAAAACCCCACCGCTCCAACACTCAATTGCAACCCTGTTGCATCACAGTTTCAATTTAACAGCCAGGTTTATTTGAAGTCCACTTTAATTGCAGATAGGGCTGCAACTTATAATTATTTTTATTATCGATTTTTATTCTGCTTATTTTCTAGATGAATATTTTTTCGTCTATAAAATGATGGAACATTTTTAGAAAATGTCCATCAGTGTTTTCAAAGTCCAAAATTATATTCACTTGAATATAATATGAAAACATATAAAAGCAGGAAATAGCCTTGTGTATTTTTTGGCATTAAAAACCATTAACTGTTTGTCAAAAATAGTTACAGATTAATTTTGTTGATCAACTAAAGGATTATTATTATTTTTGTTTTGTTCTTGCCGTTTAAATATTTTCTCTTGAAAATGCACACAACAATAAATGCATGGATGTCTCTTTTCCCGCACCAAGGCAGGATTTAATTATTTAAATTGAGGTCAGGTTATCTCTTTGGTTTGTTCAACTGTTCAGAAAGATGCAACCTTCTCTCCTTATACGCATAAAGTTGATCAAATCTGCATGTTTTGAGTTTAATGTTTCAAGTTTAGCATTTGACCTGTCCCATGATGTCTGCATACAGAGTGTTTGAGTTGTTGTGTGTGTTGCAGCTGGCAGGACGGCTGACGACATCGTGGCCTGGCTGAAGAAGCGCACCGGCCCGGCCGTCGCAACCCTGGCCGGAGTCACTGAGGCCGAGTCTCTGATCGCTGACAGCGAGGTGGCAGTCATCGGATTCTTTAAGGTAAGACTCTGATCTCTTAAAGGTGGGGTAGGTAATTCACTTCAGAAATACGTTTTGTTATATTCCATGGAATGCTCTTAACATCCCGATAGCAATGAATACATTAAATGCTTTGACAATAAATACATACAAAACATTTCATCTGTGAAGCCGTGGCACTGTAAAAAAGCACGACCAATCATCTGAGCCTGGCCCGGCTAAAATCACTGGATGGCCTACCTGCCGGTCAGCCTTCCATTTCGTGCACAAACTTATTTCGTGCCCTCATTGGTCATGTGCGCGTCGTTGTGGTTGGAGGAGGGGCTCTGTAAGGAAGTCTGAAGGAAGGGGCAGATTTTTTCGGCTGCGTACTTTCAATTCTAGCGCACTCGAGCTGGTTTCTCCATTCTTACCTACCCTACCTTTAAGTTCAAATTTTAAAAATACAATTTCAACTTATTGATCAATTTTGCAAATACACCAGAAAAAGACCCATCACAATCATTGTCCATAAAATTCAAACTGAGGGCCTAAAAAAAAAAACAGGAAGAAAGAAAAAAACACAAGTGGTCAATCAGGAATTAGGTGTGTAGAATTGGTGAAATTGTTGGGCTTTTTTACTTTGCAACATCTAAGTGATTTTTTTGTGTTTAGTTTCATGTCATTAAGGAAACCAATACATACTGCTGACCATTTTGCTGACATTCAAATAAAAGGCTACATTTCACATTATCATATGTTAAGACTGGAAGGATTTGCTCATTGTAAAGTTACCAATTACTGGAAAGCATCCCAAAATGTTGAACTAAAGAAAGAACAGGCATTCTAGTGTTTCAATATCGGAGTTAGAAAGGAGCATATATTTAAGTCTAACTTGAAACTGTGCAGATTTAAAGATGTATTGTATACCCACACGGTCAGATCCAAGCTTTGATGTACGGCTTTTCCATTCTTTTCTTTTTGACCTATATTTCTAGTATAATCCTTGTCATTAAGCTAAAGAAAAATAGTGCAGTTTAATAAATCTGAATCACTGTGGATAACATACACAGGGCTTTATCCTAATTAAAGTTTTCCTGTGTAGGATGTTGATTCTGACGGTGCTAGTGCTAAGGCCTTCGAGAAGGCAGCTGAAGCCACAGACGACGTCCCCTTCGCCTTGGCCGCCAGCGATGACATTTTCGCCAAGTTTGAGGTGTACAAGGACAGCGTGGTCCTCTTCAGAAGGTGAGTTTGCATGGATGGCACAGTACAGTACACGTTTACATGATGCATATGCAAACCTTAGGGACCACACTGTTTATATAAGACATATCGTGACAGATTCCCCATTAGTAAATATTTGACATGTTTACTTGGAGTAATGTATGTAATGCAAATAGCTTAGTGGCCTTGCATAAGCTTGTGTAATCGTTAGCAGACGAGCTGCTGGAGACAGCGCAGTGTGTTCGATGGTAATGTGATGCTGTCGACCTCACAGTATCCGCTCTCCGTTGCTAATCTCGCTGCTCTGAGGTGCTTATCTCATTTTAGTTTGTGCGCCTGCATTTGGGCCTGTTGCTCGCCCCGCTCATGTGGATGACCTCAGCATGTTGAGCTAATGGTGATGAAGGGTGAAGAGCTGTATTAGGTGATGGTGCGTCTTTATACCAGCGCCAGAGGATGAGTGAATGGCAGCTCAGTCAGGTCCAAATAGGCAATTTTTCCTTCTTTCCATGTTGTAGATCATTGCATTTACACTATTTTGTACTTTTTAAATCAGAGGTGATGCTACTAATTAACTACAAACATCCCTCAGAAATCATCTAACTAACCTATCAGCACAACAGTATCTCAATCCGCGTGTGGATTTGTCAAATTGGGTCAAGGTCCAGTAGGTCCGTCAATAAGAAATTAAGCAACCGGATAAAGGGAGGGTGTAATTTACCTTTCAAAATGTCTGGCTCAGAACAGAAAATGACTCGACTTGCAGCGCAATTGCTCTACTTGGAGGAGGTTCAGCACTAGCTGAAACATTTATCTGATGTTGCCATGCTTAAATATGACCACATCTCTTGAGTGTTCTTGCTAGAAGATCAAATATTTGGAACTCATAAGCAGCCTCTCTAATGGAGATGTGGACTTAAGGAATTGAAAAAGATAATCAAACAATAATGTGGTGTTATTTTGTTTAACCTTTTCAGTGAGTTTCTGCTCAGTGCAAGCTTCCTTTTTTTTCAATTCTTACCACTCTTTTAAGGTTGTTTTCCCACATCAGGAAAAATCTCTAAATACTCACCGAACGATACCTGCTCAGCACCAAACAGACATAGACAAATAGTGAACATATTGGATCTCTTATCAGCTCCTAGTCAGATATTCCTCCCAGGAGTTGGAAAAATGTGTGTATTTTGCCACTGGATGTTTATTTAATGTCCTATATGAGTGTAGTTCATTTGTAATATTTAGCTAATTGTTTCACACAGTTTGATTTTATATATTTAACATTTCTGCTTTATCAGTTTTTTTCTCGTAACATGTTGTTTTGTGACATTTTGTAGTATGAAATAATAATTTCCTGCATCTCATTCAACCAATTCTAAATATTTTAGTGCGTTTCTGCACTCAGCCCTTGAGTTAGTGATGATCTTGGGCTCAGACCTCCCCTGCTGTTGTCTGGCGTCTGATCCACGTTGGTAACTCCAACCCGATCCAAACACCGCTAACGTGTGCTTGTTGCAGACAGATAGACAAACACTCCTAAAGCAGGGGCTCTGTCTCAATAAACAGCTGGCCTCCGTCACTTGTTTACTGCAGCAGAGTTTGTGGCTTAAGTTTCACAGCCTGGTCTGTTCCCTGAAGGCTGGCAGCACGCCACTGGACAAATGTCCAGATTTTCAATTGTGTGCCACTGCCAGTAAGAGCTGCTCGGCCACCACTGCTATTCTTACCACTTAATACAAGTCCACTGGGGCTGTTGGCTCTGTCACCAGCTGGGGTTTACCAGGGGATTTTAAAGTGGTTTGCCTTGTAAATTTATATCAGGCAGTCTATACGGGCTGATAATATTTGTATCTTAATGTTTCCATGTTTCCTTTGCAGTTTGATGAAGGGCGCAACCTTTGACGGAGAGCTGACCAAGAAGACCTCCTGGCTTTCGTCAAGTCCAACCAGCTGCCTCTGGTCATCGAGTTCACAGAGCAGGTATGAGCCATGCACATCAGCGGGACCATTATCTCTTTTCCCAACTCACACCACTGTCTGTAACAAGTACAAGCGTCATTCTTAGATGTCAAACTCGTGTATTTGTGTTTTCTGCAGACCGCCCCAAAAATCTTTGGTGGAGAAATCAAGTCCCACATCCTCATGTTCCTGCCCAAAACTGCTAAAGACTTTGATGACAAAATGGACGAATTTAAGAAAGCCGCAGAGGGATTCAAGGGCAAGGTGTGTGAACCGTCTCAAAAGTGCCTTCCAAATGTGACCTACATTCAGTATTGAATCTTACACTTTGCTCAGATAGGATGTTTTGAATGACCACTTCCGTCTCGTCCTCCCAGATCCTGTTCATCTTCATCGACAGCGACGTGGACGACAACCAGCGCATCCTGGAGTTCTTCGGCTTGAAGAAAGAGGAGTGCCCCGCCATCCGCCTCATCACCCTGGAGGACGAGATGACCAAGTACAAGCCCGAGAGTCAGGCCATCACAGCAGAGAGCATCATCGGCTTCTGCAACTGTTCGCTGAGGGCAAAACTCAAGGTGAGAGGAGGACTGGTTAGTGATGGCAGCACATGCATGTCATGGCGAAACGTGATTTTAATATTGAGGTATTTCTCCTCCCCCAAGCCCCACCTCATGAGTCAGGGACATCCCTGAAGACTGGGACAAAACCCCCGTCAAGATTTTGGTGGGAAAGAACTTTGAGGAGATCGTCTTCCATCCCTCCAAGAACGTCTTTGTGGAGTTCTGTAAGAGCCTCTTCTTTCCCTTGAATTGTCATGACTTGCTGTTGTGAAGGTGTCCACCTGACTAGAGGGGCATTTTGCAGTCAAAGCTTGGCTGCTCAGTTGGTGGGAGACTTTACTTTCCCCCGTGCTAAGCCCCTTCCAAATACCAAGCCTTGATGCCCACTCACCCTCACAGCCACCCTCTGACTTGGTTACCAGACCCTTAAAAAAAAAAAGGGCTTGTTAAATATAGCTGCTGGATGGTTTCTTTATACAGTGATCCACATCTAAAGGTGCACTATTCTTGGTGGAATTTTCCATCGATGGCTATTTAAATACAGATTATAGTAATGCTCAGTGGGGTATTCCCTGAACGCAAATGGAATGGGGGGGGTTATTTCCTGGCCAGTCTAAGGGGAACAGGGTCATGAATCTGAGGCTGCATGCATCGACTCACCACAGCATAACATAATAGGAACATTTCAACAAAATCCACGTTTCCCTTTTATCTGTAGTGTTATCTATTACTCTGGATTGTTTTGGTGTCAGTGTTTGGGCTAAAGGCAATAGAGGTGTGTTGTCTGAGGACAACAAGCAGAATGCCATGTAGTTCCAATATATTTCAAAGTGCCATAACGAAAATAAAAAAAACTCAATAGCAATGCCTCTTCCTGACCCGGGAGACAATCCACAGACCTTGTTGTGAGCAGTTTCGTGTAAAACCCATGTTCTTTTTACACCACTTCACAATTGCCAACTGTTTCACCAGACAGAAGATAGCATGCTCATGGATCAGAGGATTGAGACATTGCGAGATTTAAGAATAATAATGTTGTCCTCCTCGCCTGATCAGCAACATTAGCGAGCAACGTGAGCTCAGGAGAAGCCCGCCCATGACAAGATGAATGCTTTCTTCCTCACTGTGAAAATTAGAAAACAGTTCCTTCATAAAACAGCTCACAGCAAGATCTGGGGGCCCTCATTTATAAAGGGATATACGCTCAAAAAAATGGCGTACGCCAGTTTCTACGCAATGTTTGCGATTTTATAAAATACTAACTTGACGGGAAAATGTGCTGTCCTCCACGCAAACTCTAACCCATGCATGCGTACGCACTAAGCACACAAACGGGAGAGACGAGAAAACTGCGACCCAGTTGCAGAAGGAAGAAATGGAGAGAAAATATGCTGGAAATAATACCTAAAATAAAAGTGTTACCTCATTTATCAAATATGAAGAAATCATCTTTCAACACATTGATTAAAGCCATCTTAAAATGATTAAACAAACGCCTGTTTGAGACTCCTCAGTGCACACAAAAACCATAACTTGGAGAAATAAATAAATACGGATATGTTATTAAAACCACCTCGAATATGTTGGTGTTAATGTTAGAAATGTTTTCTCATTAAATGTATGCGGTAAGCAGGAGGACAGAATAACGTCCTAAACTGACGCCGTTTTGCTTTTCTATAGGTTGTAGATACGAGCATTGGTTTTATATAGCTATCGCGCTTAATCCGTGTGTATTATGCCGTTTGCCAGACTTGATAAGTCGCTCGTAAAACACCAGGAGGTATGGAAACTAAGAACACCATATGTGGTAAATTGTACAGCTAATATAACACAACACATTAGTTGTATTTCCTTTAACTGGTGGATTATGGATATATAGTTGCCTGGATCGACAGCTGGAACACAAACCACCAAATACAACACAATAATTCAGATCCAGTCGTCATGACTCCCATCTCCGGAGGGATTCCCCGTCATTTCTTACAGTTTCTCATCAAGGGGGTGTCTCCTGTCCCCGGTGCAAACACACTGCCTGAGGAAGGTTATGTGTATTTTTTTGTCATTAACTTTTTTTCGGACACACTTATTTATTTATTTAGGTGACGATCCGACCTCCATGCTGCTACTTCGGGTTCAAACTGCAATCCCCAAAAAATATGATTTATCTCGACCTCCCCAAATAAACCCCAATATAAAGGGAAACGGGCGTAGGAAGTGCAGTACGCACTTCCCTCGCCGGTACGCAATGTTTTGTGAATCGGAACATTTCTGTACCTATTCTTTTGCTTTGTACTACGTAAGCAACCTTCCCACGTGAATCCTACGCAAGGCGTTATAAATGAGGCCCCAGATCACCACTAGCGATGCCCCATTTAGTTCTGTTAAATTAGGGATGAAATAATATAATAAATGGAGAAACTGAGTACAGTAAAATATAATGAAATATGACAAATACTATATTCAAAGTGGAGAGCTGTGCAGATTTAAACAGAGGTAGTGTTTTTCTGGGATGGATAATAAGAGGCTGTAATGAAATATCAAATGATATTTTTAATTCTCATCAGTGAACGAGCCAGAGTGTTCAGTATATTTAGTCTGTTATTAACTCTAAATCACTTTTCCAGATGCACCTTGGTGTGGACACTGCAAACAGCTGACTCCCATCTGGGAGAAGCTGGGAGAGAAGTTTATGGACAACGCTGATATCGTCGTGGCTAAGATGGACTCCACAGCCAATGAGATCGAGACGGTCAAGGTCCACAGTTTCCCCACCCTCAAGTTCTTCCCCGCAGGAGACGAGCGCAAGGTGAGCGTTTCCCACCAACATTTGATATTCTGAAATACAATATCTTTTGGCATCATCTCGCTCATCTTCAGGATCTCCTGTACATAAACCGTGGCCGGATTGGCTTCTCACTAGCGCCTCTTGATTCATGTTTAGAATCTGACAGATCAGCTGGCCCGCGTGAGTTTCTGCACGATTATGTTGCTGTTTGGTCCTTAAAGATTCCTGCCTGATGACTTCACTCTCTGCTCAGCCTGCGACCTGCCTCTCACCATGCCAGCTGTCCGTTTAGCCATCTGAAATGAGTGTTTATTAATCGTTGGGTCAACCCCATCGTAATTCTAAGGATTAGCTCATGATTCTTCTTAGAAGAAACCAACATAAGACTCAAGAACAGGAGCCATGAATAAGCTGTGTGGCAGGCCGGTCATTATTGTCCATGAAATGCAAGCACAGACAATAATTGATCAGTTCAGAGGTCGTTTGAGTGGCCACTTTTGAGAAACCGGAAGCATGCCACGTTTTATGAGTGGCCAAGACCCTGTTTACAACACTGACTTTTTTATTAAAGCTGTGCGCACTGTGATCGGTTTACCCAAGATTTATATTTAAAGCGTCATCAAGACACAAACATTCAAATCCCTCGGGGTGGTCTGAGATTGCATTTCAACCACGTATCTTTTGTAGTGTCAAAACGCTAATATAGACCTAAAGGGAAAATGTGACAGATGCAACAAATGTTTCTTTTTTTTTATCACCAGTTGGTTTTCAAATTGGGTAAGCTTGCTTTGTCTCCAAATGTTCAAAACAGTCCTTAGAGAGGTACTATGAGTTCGTCGAACATGATGGGTAATTAGACCAGCCTGCATCACAAGGACTAGTCCCAGCCTGTATTATTTTTAATTTTCATTCACTGAAACACAAGTTAAAAACAACACATTTGGGGTCTTTGCAAATGGAAATAATCATGAGTTTTATTGGTTTATATGGATCCCCAAGTGTTGCGTTTTCTTTTTGGAACACATGCACATCGTGTTTGCATCTTCTAGACTTTTTGTTTGGGCCTCGAGTTAAAACACAATCGTTGACGTTTTACCAAAAATCATGTCTGGTCAACAGGTGATCGATTACAACGGGGAGAGAGAACACTGGAGGGCTTCAGTAAGTTCCTGGAGGAGCGGCGGTAAAGATGGGCGGCGCCCCCGCAGGAGACGACGATACGATATGGACGCAGAGGTAAGATCAAACAGAGACCCTCAACCCCTGATCCCAAAGCCGTCTGAGGACTGAAAATCTGTTCAGATCATCTTATATGGATTTTCCACACAAATTATGCAGTCAAGTGTCTGTAGGACTGTTTACATGTATCTTAGTACACAAACAAACACAGCTTATTCTGATTAACCAAACACCAGTGGGATTTATCCATATTGAGGAGGGGCTCCATTAGTGAGGAAACTAGAGGATGGCTGTGACTAAAAACAGAGCAACAGCTGCTGCTGCTGGATCCATCTGTTTCAGGAGGCTGATTGTTCCCATCCATTGGTTTCAATGACTAATCAGTGTTGAGGGAATGGCTTTATGCTACAGTTGCATTGTTTAAAATACAGCCTAATTGTTTTCAACCACATATATTCAATACTTAAACCTTGTCAGAAGTATCACTTAAGATGTGGCTATGAAATAATGCTAACATGGCAGCCAACCTAAACTATTTCAGGAGAGATTCTGATGTATTATTATTTTTTATTTTGCATTACTATTCATTGTGTTTTAAAAATCTGTATTTCTGCACATCTGATTATTAGGCTACTTTTATACTGGTTTTAAAACCCTCTCTGCATAGGATTGTTTTTCACTCATGGTTCTCATTTCCAATAAGTCTAAAGCAGGGATTGGAAAATGGCGGCCCAGGGCCCCCCCACACTCCTCTTTTTGGCGGCCCTCAGATTAATTTATAAACACGTAATTAATAAGGGTTTAGTTTTTTTTTTATAGCTTGTAGTACTGATAACCGTCCACTAGACTCCTAGTTACGGTCGCGAAAACCGCAAAATAATGTGACGCGTTTGTGTGTATTGTGTTTGTTTCCCGGGGAAACACTCACAAGAAACAACTGGCTGTTGTTATGCCTGCTGTGGACGTATAGTTACCGCTTGTAAATTATGCCTTTACGAGCTTCAAAGTTGTATTTATCATCTGAATTTGGCGAAACAAGTTTAATATTCTAAAAACCAAGACTTTGTTTATTTGATAATCAGATCCTTGCCGTGTTATACGATGATTACTATAACGCTTTTCGTTCATAATTTCAGCGGGAGTGGAGTGCGGGTTGACAGGTGCCTGTTGTTCATTCCCTCATTGTGGAATAAGGGGAATGCAGAGACAGCTACAAGTGTCTTAGGTTCAAGTTAGACAACTACTGTCTGGGTTAGTGTTCATGACTTCATGTTTATGTCCTCTTAAGGGTTCATCTTAATGCACAAACATTTTCCGTGCTTTCCAATAGTTTAAAATAGTTTTTATTCACTCTGTTAAATAACCTGTTCAATACAAACATGCACAGTAAACATTAAATAACATTTCGGTGAACTGATATTTGTTTAGTGAGCTTATTAGAGGAGGCTCCTGAAAGAGATGTAAAATGTCAATGAAGATGTCAGAACTTAGTATATTGTTAATAATTACATACAATACTGGAATTGGTGTGTGTGTGTTCCAAGTGAATCCTGCGGCCCCCTGGTGGCCATGTACATCAATTAGGTGGCCCCCACCACCATCCCAAGTTGCCCATCCCTTCTCTAGAGCAAAGGTCTACATTTATTGAGAAAAGATATAGCTAATAATTTTGACAATTCAAAACATGGTGTTTCATTCCAAGCAAATCTTCAATCAGTATTTGTTGGCTCTTAGTCTTTTAAAAAACATTTTCACTCATAAACTCTCCTACTTGCTGCAGAGAGAGGACTATCAGCAATCAACTGCACCATGAATTACATTATAGAAGTATAATAAAAAAAGGTCTTGCATCATTAGAATGAATCACTTTTTAATTTCTTTACGTTGTAGAACTGAAAGAAAATAATTGTACTTATTAAATTCAAATTGAGGATTTTGTTTCAGAATGACATCTCCTTTTGATGGTGTCATCCTAAAATATGACACAAATATGCGACAACTGGTGCTTTTATTTGTATTAATATACCTTGTATTTTCTTCTAATATGGTGTAACTGTCATGAAATGTATTTTGGTTGACAAAATATTGACACTGACATTTTTGAAAATGATCAGGAATAGGGACATGATTGAGGGTAAAGAATAGAAGGGAATGTAGTGACAACACTGATGCCATAGTTTAATATCTGTATGATAAAAATGTATAGCTCGGCCACGGCGCTCGCTGTAGAGAAGACCTGCACGCTGAATGCTTCTGTCTTAACAACCCTCTGCTCGTCCACTCCAGGATTTAGATGATGTGGACGAAGGACAGGACATGGACTCTGATGGCGAGGACGACGACGGTCACGACGAGTTGTAAGAGCTGGCAGAGGAGAGAGAGAGGAGACGAGTCCCGCCCCTACCCTCCAACCATCACCACCATCACTTCCTCGTGGCCCTGTCCTGTGAACATTAATACTTCCCCCTTAACTTCCTCTCAGTCATCCATCAGTGGCGTGGCAGGGCTTTTTTTTTGCCAGCCACATCTCCAACCTCACAACATCTGGCCAGACTCGTCTTGTCCCACGAGGGAGGGGGGGGACTCTGTGGAAGAGCGCAGCACCTCCGTGGGAGACCTCAATGCCTTCTGCTCCACATCAGCTGTTTGCCTTGTATATTTAAACCAAATGTAAAAACGGCATTGAGATCCATTTTTCATAATGTTTACTTTTCTCCTGTTGAATTTGCTCTCCTCCTCCCTTAAGAAAAACTAAAGAAAAAAGAAAAGCCTTACCATGTTCAGTGTGGGTATGAGCTTGATTAATGTTGTAACCTGTATTTGTAGGTAAGGGGGGGGGGGGCTGCTGATGTTCTTTCCTCCTGAGGGAAGCCCAGAGTTTTATGTGGAGGTTTTGTAAGGACTCTCAGGGGACAAGGGGCCATCCTGTAAAATGTGTTTATTTTGCAACATCTTCACTAAAATACACCCCTCACAGCTAATCCAGTGTAGCTAACCCCCCCCCCACGTTTTCTTTCTTTAGGTGGAGGGGGAGTCTACTTTTCATTTCATTCCTTTATAATCCCTCGGTTCAGTCTCCTCATATCCGCTACTGACTCTTTTTCTAAAAAAGGAAACTTTGGGGGAAAAAAAACCCTTTTTTATTTAATTGCTTTCACAGGTTTTTTTATTAATTTAGGATTTGTCATTGTTAACGATGTGCCCAGCTGTAGCCAGCTGTTGGGGCAGAGTTGGCCCCCAGACACGCTCTCAGACCTGGGATGGTTTCTGGAGCCCGTTGTGACGGGTCGCACTGCATTCATGCCTGATCAGAGATTCACTGTGGTTACTATGGTTACTAAGCAGACAGATATTGGGAGTTTACTGTTCAGATTGGTCTGAGAGAAGTGTCTGTATCTGAGGTGGGAGGGAACAAGTGCACAGCCCCAGCCCTCACCCATTATGTACCGCCTTTTGGCTCCACCCAACACCCTTGTTGCTGCCGTGTGTGTCTTTGAGAGGGAGAGAAAGAGAGAGAATGCTGTGTGAATGTTGTATAAAGTGCAAGCTGAATGACTAGTTCATGTTTTCTGGTTGTCCATGAACAGAGAGTGATTGACTGCGTGTGTTGTGAGGCAGAAGGGGGCGGCGGGGGGGGCTTGAGTAAGGTGATGGGATCACAGCTACAGCGGTGGGGGAACTTAAAACATTCCATCATGTCCAAATTGATGTGGAAAAACGTGAAATGGTGGCCAATAAAAAAAAAAAATGCGGAAAATAAACAATTTGTCGTCATTTTTTTATTCATGAAGGGGGAAAATTACATTACAGTCAATGGCTGTTATAGAATCTTTAACCCCAATGGATGGATGATTTCACAATAAAAGGGGGCAAGCTGTGTACCGTGCAACATTACTTTAACATCTGAACAGAATACATGCAGGGCATAAACTTCTGCTTGTTTGTGAATAACATGTCCTTAAATTGTCAAAATGGCCTTTATAATGACACTTATAGAACCTTGTTTGATGGATGAATAGTCCCAAACCCAAAATAGTTAACTATTGTTGGGGCAAAGAAAAGTAGTAAATGTGAACCCTTCAAGCACTGAGGTTTCACTATCACTCGACATATTAGTCCAGCCTGGAACTCGACACATTTTAAAATATATAATTGTATTTAAGAATCCCACAAACTTAACTTTCATCTAGAGCCATCATCGGATCAAAAAGTGTAATTTGTTTATATACTTTGACTTACGATGTAAACATTGGAAATCATCTCCCCCATCATTCTGAGCTGTACTTGATATTTAGTGCTAATCACGCCAGACTAAGATGAACATGGTAAACATACTAACTGCATGTTAAACGGTAGGGTATGTAATTGTGGAGAAAGCAGATCGAGTGCGCTAGAATTTGAAAGTACACAACTGGAACAAAATCTGCCTCTTCCTTCAGACTTCCTTACAGAGCCCCTCCTCCAACACACACACGAACGTGGCACATGACCAATGAGGGCACGAGATAAGTTTGTGCACAGATGAAGGCTGACAGGCAGGTAGTAGTGATGGGAATTATGGCTCTTTGAAGGGAGCCGGATCTTATGGCTCCGTTCCTTTCAAAGAGCCGTTCAAAAGAGCCGTTTTTTTTAAAAAGGGGGCGGGGTTACTAGGTTTATCTGCGAAATAATCACCAGGATAATGATTGACTGCATTGCCAGACCTAATGTCAATAATCTGCATTGTAAACATGACACAAGGTGGCGCCATATCCATGTCATTCATGTCAGTGAATGTACTTTGAATTTACCCTCTGCATGTGTTAAGTAAATATAAAGTTGCCTTGCCTTGAATGAAATTCACGCAACCTCTTAATATTAGTAAGTGTGTTTTTAAGTGGCGATGGAGATTATTTGTTGACCCTGCTTTAAAGGATATTTTGCCTTTACAAATGGTGCGCTTTATCACTGCCTGGGTTTTGGTTTGAAGTGCATCCAAATGCTGCTGCGTTTTCGCGTTTGGCTCATTTTACATCCGAAAAACACGTCGTCTATCTGTCCAGTACCACTTGTTATGACCCTCTCTCGCGTATTCCGTTAAGACCCACCCCACCTAACTCCTCGTGCTGAAACCTACAAATCAGAGTAGGGGCGGGTCTTCACAGAATACGTTTGGGGAACAAAATCAAGCTTTTTAAAAGGCGAGTGAATTTTGGCAGGCAGTGAGGTGCGGACCAACTTTGATTGAACGATAAGAAGAACGGCTCTCACCAAGTACGACTCGGTTCCCCTCGTTCGTACCAAGGAGCCGTTCAAAAGAATCGGCTCGTTCGCGACCGACACATCACTAGCAGGTAGGCCATCCAGTTATTTTAGCCGGGCCGGCTAAAATGATTGGTCGTGCTTTTTACAGCGCTACGGCTTCCACAGATGAATTTATTTTATGTATTTATTGTCAAAGCACTTAATATACTCATTGCTATCGGGATGTTGAGAGCATACCCCACCTTTAACATTGAAATAGGAAAAGTGTCTCACACTTTTAATACAATTTTATAATTTGAAGTCTGCTTCCAGTGACCAGCCCCTCATCACAGCCCTTGGTGTCTCACTTGTTTTTATGTATTTTAAAGGAGCCCTATTATGCTCAATCTTCAGGTTGATATTAGTATTTTTGAGAGGAAAATCACGAGTTGAACAGATATGATTTGATAATTCCTAATAAACAGGATTTTGAAATATATTATAATGCTATCAAATTATCAAAAATAATGTAGTGCAGTGCAGGCTCCCAATTTCAAAATGTTCAGTATTAAACACTGATAAACTTAACTTAGGCTTTTCATTAAATCCACTATAATTTATGAGTTATTACTAGTTATACGGTGCATAAAGTCTTCGGGTGACCTTAAGTTCCATTGTAATCCCTGAATACAGTAAAAACTCCATCTACATTTGAAAATGCTTATAACACACCATACATCCACACTGCTAAACATACGTTATGATGACATGCAAAGAGTCATAAATGTGGTGTATGTAACTACATAGCCTACAATTGAATCATGTACTCTACTTTAGTACACTTTGAGGGACTTGTCCTTGAGAAGCAATATAGAAAAGTATAATATATTAGGCCTACTTTAGATTAAACTATGTAAAACAATGCGCTAGCCAATAGAAGCGTAAGTGGTTGCATAGTGATGTCATTATGTTACAGAATTAAACAGAAGTCCAATGGAGGTGTTTCAGGAGGGGTGGAGGTCTGTGGGAGAGAAACTCCCTCTTGTGGGAAACACAGGGATTGTAGTCTTTGCAGACCATTTACATGCACAGAAAACTATATCACAACACTACAGGAAAGGGAACCCAAAAACCATAATGGGGCCTCTTTAAAAGCTTGTTGACGTTAACATGAGTTTAAAGCACTTGCCTGTAGACTCCTGTTACCAACAACACTGGTGTTTGTTTTCACCTTCAGTGTGTACGTGTCTTCATGGCAGAGGGCGCTCCTGGAGACACCTGCTGTAGCGGGAACAAGCAGAGGAGGGTTAGAGTGGTTTTCCAGCTGTTTATATGTATGTCTGCAATAAGTCCGCTGAACTGGGATAACTTCCCCACCATGCAAATGCAGTCATCAAACTTCACAGATGTGTAGTTAAGATCCAAATGAAGGTTGAGTTCAAAGATGGGCGGGGTCTGAGCTATGTAGGCAAAGCAGACAACGTTTTCGGTCCATTTAAAAAAGATATACCAATAATATTTCCCAGAGCCAAAGGTGATGATTTCTATTTTTTATTTATCCAGTCAACATAACACATTTACATTTGTTTTAAATATCTTTAAAAAACATATATCTGATAGAGAAAAAGTCTTTAAAGCCTCACACAGACATGTTTTTTTATTTATTTCCAACTTGTAATAAAGAGGGTGATGCAAACCACTAATTTGGAAATGACCCATCCTCTGAGTGTAGAGTCAAACACCCTTTTCCCTCCATGCCCCTGCAGCTGGCACTGACACACTCCCGCTATATGAACTACTTTAACACCCTGTTTACCAAAAGCCCCCCCTCACAACTATTTCAAAGTGGGCAGCATCTGGGTATGTGTGGGTGCCTTCAGAGCAACAGGTTCCTGGCTGTCATGTCTGAAACCGTTACTTGTATCAGCGGCCTGGGACCGCTGGTGGGAGGGATCTGACCAGAGGCCTACTCATCTTCCAAACATCGACACTGGATCCTGAAATAGCCCCACAGAGAGTATAAAGAGCCCGCACGGAGGCCTGTTGAGGTGAAGGACGACACAGAAGAAGCACTTGATCTTCCTGCAGCACAACCTCTGAGCTCTTTTCAGATAATCTGCTTGGATTTTTCAAAATTTGAAGAATATTCGGTTGGATTTCACCAGTTTTTAAGCAAAAGTTAAATCAAACTTCTGCTCAGGATGAAGTACTTCCAGTGCCCCGTGACTCACCAGACCAGAGGAAACAAGGCCTACACCAGCAGGAGTGTGGGGTCCCACTCTGCAAGAGCTCTAAAACTCTGAAGCAAATCCGCAGTGTGCACTTCCCCAATGATGTATTTTCCAGGACTATGTTCGCCACGGAGAGCTGGAGAGGGATTGGACTTTTCATGCGAGCCAGAAGAGTCAGTCTGGACACCATCTACCCTCTGGTGAGAGACATTTGCACCACCCTGATCAAGTAACCTTATTCTGTATTTATTAACACCATCATAGGCTGAACTGATGGTCATTTCTAACTGGGCTTTCTCTGCAGGCATGGCCGCGATGCATGAGGCCGTCCTGACGGGGAACCTGGAGTGTGTGAAGCTGCTGGTGAAGCACGGAGCAGATATCCACCAGCGGGACGAGGAGGGCTGGACCCCCCTACACATGGCCTGCAGCGACGGCTTCCCACACATTGCACGGTAAGCAGACAGTCTTTTATTTAAAAAGAATACAAAGCGAAAAGTTCAAAGCTCTATTCAAGTTTGAATTGAGTAACTTTTGTGAAAAAGAAGCAACTAGGTGCATTTCCATCTGCCTGTTTTTATGCCAATGTCTATTTCTATTAAATGCTGAAAATGTAAAATGTGTCTTAAAGGTCCCATGCTTTTCTGGTTATTACCCGTCCCCTTGTGTGTTATGAAGGTTTTTCTGCATGTAAACGGTCTGCAGTCACAAACCCTCAAAGTACACCCTGTAGGGAGTAAAACTCTAACACAGAAAATACCTGTCTATGCTGCCCCAGAACGCCTCTTTGGAGATTTCTCATTTTCCATTTTTTTCTTCCGCGAACCAAGTGACGTAACGACGACCCAATGGACCAATTGATCCAAATGGACCAATCCGTGGAGCTCCTCACACACCAGGATCCCTTGGCGTCACTATCAAACGCAGTGGGGGGACCTTTAGCGTCGATTTTCAACTATCAGGGAGTCCCATTGACTTGCATAGAGCTTTTCTCAGCCGCAGCTGCGCCACACACTCACGTGTGTGTGTGCTCAGGCTGAGTTTCGCGGTGTCTCGCTGTCTCGCAGACCCCACGCAGCAACCAGGAAACGACACCAGTAATCCAGCTCACACTGTCGGCTCCTCGAGCCTCAAAGGGCGGAGCAGCGAGCCCCGCAACGTCCCGCCAACACGGCACCCAGACCCCACGCAGCATTCTCATCTGTTTGTCATTACTGGTGTCATTTTCTGGTTGCTAACAAACGCCATTGTAACACATAAACACACATCAGAGCACAGTGGGCTCATAGGGAGGTGGGGGCAGGAGCTCCAACAAGGCGTGTAAGACAGAGAGTGAATACACATGCAGAGATGCTGTATGAGAAACCAATGTGATTTTGGAACAATGTAAATCTATTCTAGTAGACTCAACAATGGAATTATGATCAGTAGAAATTGCCATGACATGGGACCTTTAAATATGCGAGAATTTGTTATGCTTGTTTATGTGTAAAAGTTAGTGCATGGACAAAAGAACATTGCAACCAAGTACATTTAGTGAGTTAAAGGTGGCAATTATTTTGGATGTTACCTGCTAACATGTGAAATCTAAACATCAAAAGAGTGATGTATATTAGCAATTAGCAACCAAATGCTACTAGTCACTACCTAATCAAATTAATTGTAGGGGCAATACCCAGAGTGTATTTGATTTAAGTTTTACAACTTTTCATTCTTATGAAGAATTTTTCTTCTTTTTTCTTGTGATGTAGTTGCACTTTATAGCTTGAACTTTGGGCAACAAAGGTGACATAACAATTAGCAGCTGACATTACATGTTTTTGCATTAGCAGGCACATACAGTACCAGCATGTATTAACACAAACACACACCACTCCACAGCTTCCTACGTCACAGAAGTAAGGGAAGCTGGAGGATCTGCTGCATTCTTGGCACAGCCCGCTGACCCTCCTGACAACTGAAGCACGGCACACACCCGCATTGAGTTTGTGGCAAAGCAGCAGGATTCAATCTGTTTGAGTGAGCAGAATTCTCTTCTGGTTTCCTCCAGCTACCTTCTCTCGCATGGGGGCCGAGACAGAGCTGGTGAACGAATGCGGGGAGAAGCCGGCAGACCTCATCGAGCGGGACAACAAGGAGCTGCTGGAGCTCTTCTGCCTGGCTGTCAATGACTGAGAACACGTGGCTTTAAAGACACACACTCCTCTGGAATCTACTGTCCAGGCACTGTCCTGCAGGGATGGATAGAACACGTGACGTCAGTGCAGCACACTGGTGTTGAGCGCTGACTCAGCTCTGGAGGTCAAAGACTGGATGTGAGGCAGAGGATGGGCTGGTGGCTGGGGAGGGGACTTTAGCTGGTGGGGGGGGCTGCCCCCTGTCTCCTCCAGCAGCACAGAGATCCTGTAAGAGCTTCCCGTCGTTTTATACCATAATGAACTCGATTCATTTTTTGTGTGTTTTGTTTCTGACACTTGAATTAGGGTTTTTGAATGAAATAGTTACATTGTCAGCTCATTAGCACTCCGAAAGCTAACATTAGCTTATGTTGACTGCCTCTAGAATGTGGTAATCCAATTTCTAAACCCAGTGACTTGTTCCTTATGGTCACTTTCAGACTTAGCCGTATTGATTAGTAGTTGTTTGCACTGTAAATGAGTTTTTTATACTTTTTAAAATACATTTTATCAAAAAAGTGTGTCTGCCATTTCCTCTGCTCCCAGCTCTGTGTCACAAATACTGTCATACTGTTGTTTGCCATAAAAGATTAAACATCATAGTATAGTTTGTCGAAAAATAGAGAAAAAACAACAAATCGAAATTATTCGAGTAAACTTCATATATTGAAAATAACAATCAATAAAACATAATATATTGGTTATATCAGAAGAAAAATACATGGTACTACAAAATGTATATTGACTTATTGTAGTATGTTGAAAAATAGTAATTTTATTAAGTAGAAAATGTCACAAAAAACGACAAAGAAAAATATCAACAAAGAACAGGTGGGTATGTCAATATATTAAAAAAAAACAAGTTTCTACTAACAATATTATGATTTTTTGATTGATTGATTTTGTTGATTGGTTCTTATAGTCATACTAAACTATGTCATTTTTTTATACTTCCGACATACTATACTATGTTGTGTATTTCAATATATAAGAAAAAAAATCAACATAGTTTAGTACGTCGACAAAATAAGAAAAACAACATGGTATAGACTATCGGAGAAAGCGACACAGTATAGCCTAAAATATAAGTGTAGAATGTCAAAAATATGAGAAAAATAGACAGTCTGTCAGATAATATAAAAATAAAAGTATAGTATATTCGAAATGTTCAGAAAAAAACGATATTGTATAGTATGCTTACATTTTCAATAAAAAAACAACAGTGTTGAATTATGCAAAAAAAAACGGCGTTCTATAATATTTCGAAATGTTTCAGATAAAACATAGTTTTAGGATGTCGGAAAAAAACAACATACTGTACAAGTATTGTATGTCAAAAATATCAGAAAAACAGATGGTACAGTATATCGAATATATTATAAAAAAAACAACATAGTATGTCGAAAATATAGAAAAAAAACAAGATGGGATAGTATGTCCACATTTAAGGAAAATACGACATAGAATAGTACATTGAAAAAAAAAGAATTAAAAACATAGTAGTGTTTGTCGAAAACATGAGGGAAAAGAAATGTCCAAAATATCCCAAAAATCGAAATGGTTGTCTGTTGAAAAATATTAGAAAGAACATAGTAAAATATGTTAAAAATATCATAAAAACACAAAGTTATATCAGATTAGATATAGATATTTTTTGATGTATAATACTATGTTTTTTGGGATAGTTTTTGACATACTATGTCTATTATTCCTCATAATTTCGACACAGTATTCTATGTATATTTTTCTCATATTTTCGACGAACTATACAATCTTTTTATATCATCGACATACGGTGGTTGTGGTTTTTACTGTAATTCGACATACTACACTATGTTGTTTTTCTGATATTTTTTTGAAATACTTTACTATGTTGTTTTTAATATATTTCAACATAAAATACTATGTTGTTTTTTATTGATATTTTGGACATACTATAGTATAGTTTTATAAGTTGTAGTACTTTTAGTTATTTATTTTTCTTACAAAAAGAAAAGTACATTTTAAGAAAAATCATTTTGAGGGTCAGTCTTTTAAAATAAAAAAACAAAACAAAACCTCAATGCATTATTTATAATCCAGATAAATCTAATAATTTTCAAGGGGGTTAAATACTTATGCAAGTCACGGCATGTTCCCAAACCAATGCCAGACGCTTCTGGGTAAATCAACCACACTAATGAAAGTCATGTCACTCACATGTAGCATGCACAGCATCAGGTACAGGGCATGTCATGTAGGGTTTGTATTTGTATTTAATCACATACTTAATCTGTCAACAGATCACAATAGGTTCCATGTGTCCTTTGCATAACGTTAGATGAAGGACTACAAAAACGTAGTTATTTACAGCTGATGTAAAAATGTCCTCCTCTGTGAGGGAGTCCCTCTCTCCCCTCTCTCCGGCACCTCGGGTTCATTCTTTGAACTTCCACTCCTGCCGGCACATGGGGCACTGCTGCTGGACCTGCTGCGAGTTCAGCCATTTCAAGATGCAGTGCATGTGGAAACAGTGCGAGCACTGACCCCAGACCAGCGGGCAGTCATCCCCAGGCACTTTACCTGCAAAACATGTTTTACATTACATCTCATTTACAACAGTGAGAAAAGAGTGCTAGCTGTCATACTCATAACCTAAAGCAGGGATGGGCAACTTGGATGGTGGTGGGGGCCACATAATTTATGTACTGGCCACCAGGGGGCCGCAGATTCACTTGGAACACACACAAATTCCATGTATTGCAAGTGATTATTAACAAATATACCAAGTCTGACATCTTCATTGACATTTTACAATCTTTCAGGGAACATCCTCTAATAAGCTCACTAAACAAATATCAGTTCACAGAAAAGTTATTTAATTTTTACAAGTGGCATGTTTGTATTGAACAGGTTATTTAACAGTGGAATAAAAATGTCAGTCAGGTTCAGGCCCTATAGTCTATCACGTACAATGTGAGGAAGTGCTAGCCTTTGCAGACCGTTTTCATGCAGTAAAACCTATACAACACACTTCAGGAAAGGGAAATAATAGGGCCTCTTTAACAAACTGTACCTTATGCAATCCTAACTGCATCTTTAGATTTACTGTTTCTGTTAAATGCATACAATTTAATGGACATTGCAGTTTGATAACCATATTAAGAAGTAGGGATTTAATTGATAATCTCATTTATATTCTGCAGTGCTTTTCGAGCCGACTGTAAATATACGAAGACATGGATTTATTTTGTATTTTAAAATACAGAATAGACCTATGCAAAGCCTCAAGTGTGCACCTTAAATCCAAGGACATATCAAGGAAAAGCTAACTGCAGGAGTTGCAGTTACAGTACTTTATTATTACTAGAGCTGAAGCTATTAGTAGAATTAGCAGTAACAGATCCACAGAAGAATAATCGCCTACTATTTTGATTGACTCGATGTTAAAGTCATTTTAAGCAAACATTTCAGATATTTTCTCAGTATAGTGTCGTAAAAAATGTTTCGCATTGTATGTCATACAACTAATAATAAACAAGTAATAGCATAGTATGTCCTTTAAAGTATTACTGTTTTTGATGTTACAAAAAAGTCACAACAAATAATAAAAGTTATTTTAAAGTATGTAAAAAAGTGTTGTGAAAATATTATGATCTGTCATAAAAGAAAGACATAAAAAGAGATTTTAAATTGTGCAAAATCCACTTTTTCATGTCTTTTCTACATCAACATGTGTCCCCTCTGTGTAAAGAGACTCTGAACGTTTCAGGAACAAAGACCCCCTCTCTTTTTGTCCTGATCCATTTATATAAAAACCTGTCTGAAAATGAGCTGATCAGATTTTGGCCACTTTATGATGTCATGATGTTTTTTTGGCTTGTGTAACCATTAGCCAATCACCAACCAAGGTAACCAATGAGTTACTAGTTACTATACTAAAATAATATGAGCTAATACAAAATAACTAAAACATAATCTATGATATAAAATGATAGGTTAAGATATGGATCAGCAGTATAAATTAATGAAGCTCCACCTTTACCAGCTGTGATGAACAAATTAATGCATGATTAATTACAATCCAGTAATTAATATATATGATTCTAAAATGGGACATTACGCACAATTAATACTTTTACTTTTGGTACTTTAAGTATATTTTCATGCCAATACTTTTGTACTTTCACTCATTTAAGATTTTGAATGCAGGAACTGTACTAGTATTTTTACACTGTAGTATTGTTACTTTTTTGCTAGTAAATAATCTGAGTACTTCCCATCAGTTAGCATCGCAGTTAGTCGGTTACTCACAGTCTGGGCAGCAGCCATTGAAGGGCATCCGGCAGATCCCGCAGTTTTCATCATTAGCTACCCACAACCAAGAGGCCACAGCGTTCCACTGTCGGATCTTTACCTTCATCCTCCAGTCTGACAACAGCAGACACACTCAGTGACACACTCGCATATGAACCACAGCAGCTAGCGTTAGCATAGGAACTAATGTTGACAAAAGGCTTTTCTAGCTAGCTGTTCAGAGATATTAGCCAATTTACTGGACAGCGTATAACGACTCCTTCATATATCAAACACGATATAAGTTAAAGTGTTTCTTTACAAACTAAATCATGCTATTGCTAGTCTCATGCTCGTCAACAACATGCAGCTAGCATTTTAACAACACGGGGGAAAATGTACTTCTTCCGCCCAATCCCAAACCACGCCCTACACCCTACCCCTACACACTCCCCCGTGACGGAGGCCCAATCCCAAACCACTCCCTCGACCCTACCCCTCCGTGACGGAGTGAACTCCGTCTGTAGCCACACGAGCCACACTCGCAGCTGGATGAGGCTCCCTCCTGTCAGATGGAGGGAGTAAATACAGCGGCAAGCTTTGGGATAAACTCCCCTCTCTCCGGCAGAAACAGGAAATTCCGTAACTGTATGTAACAACGGTTTCAAATCAGCATCTCTTAGACAAAAAATGTAAATTAATAACTCAAATAAAACTCCAAACATCTTTCATTGTGTTACTTTTTTGTAAAGCTCTTTTAGTTTTAAACCTGATGTTTATAAGCTTCTTAGTTTTTGCAACAGTCTGTAAATATACACAACTTTATCATAAAATGCACACATTTACCTTTTTCTAGACTAAACACAGGTATGATCCTAAGTTAAAAAAATATGAGGTTGTTAACATCGCAATTTATCAGTGGATGTTTGCTGGAACTACTTGTAAACAGCGTGTTTCCTGACGGACACACACAGCGTTGAGACCGGTCAGGTAGAGACCGGTCTCCAGTCAGCACCGCTGCAGACTCGCTGGTTTGGAACAGCACTTATTGTGGCGGACCCTCCGCGCGAACGCGCAAACGGAGGGGTAGTGTGTAGGGGTAGGGTGTAGGGTGTATGAGGTGTGATTTGGGATTGGGCCTTCTTCTACTGTTGGAATTCCGGCTGGCCGTGGCTTGTAAACGCACCGGCGCAGCAAGTACACGACACGCCCACCTGACACGACACTACGGTGGCTGAGAGACGTTGATACCGTACATGGCAGATTAAAAATGAATTGCAAATGTTATTGTAGCATTTTAAGCAACTATTAGGCACATTAATTAATAACCTAGTCTATCCGTTTGGGACACATATGACTTTAAGCACAAATCATTTTGTCTAATTAATCAATTAAAACAAAAAGGGGGCTTAGGAGTCAACTTTATTTTTATTTTTTAGTACATATAAAATAGGTAATAATGAGAACATCTATTAATTATGTTTGTCTAACTGCTACACATGTATTTATACATAAATGTAGATACTTATGAACATCTAAATATAGTTGTTAAAGGTTTTAAGATATAAATAATCACATCATGGGGTCATTAAGGTTTCAAACAGGTTCATGTAAGGTACGCCTACTATAACATGAAGACGTGATTTTTCAAACTAATTTCTGAATCTCACATTAGCCTGTAGTTTGGTATATTATTGATATGGGCTGGACACCCCTTCACAATGATCATTGACTTTCTTTAGACCAGATTAGGAGGGCCAGTCAGGCCACTAATGAGCTCAATCATTCACATGTATTATTATTACTTTATAAATTAAGAGTACTAGGGGTCTATTACAAAACCTTTGAAAGAATCGTCATGCATTCTGAATGTTTCTGTACTTGAAAAACAGGCATCATGGCTCAAGATCCTGTTCTTGTTTAAGATTATTCATACTAATTTGTGAATGTAACATCCATATTCACTCTTCAAAACTGAAACAACTAAAACATTTTTAAAGCATTGCAGGCCTAAAGCTCTACGTCAGTGACCTATATTTAAATTTCTTCCATCAAACTTTAAAAATGGCAAACAGCATGTTTTTAAAGATTTAATCTTTTAAGAAACAAAATATCAACTTTGAACAGAAGGGTGCCACACAAAACATTGCAAGACCAAAATATATGACCATGGTTGGCCCTCCGCTCCCCGCATTCTCTGCAGCATTTTTAAATGAGATTTTGTTTATACTGACTTTGAATTTGGGGTGTCTTGAAGTAACAGACGAAAATCTTCCATGTGTATTCTTTCCAGCAGTTTGAGTTGGTTATGTTAAAAATGTTTTGGCACATTTGTTCCTATTCTGCTAATTGTATATTGCAGGATATTTAAGTTTCCCATGTACTTTTCTAATTAATAATAGTATGTTCATCTTGATGTTTTACTTCTAATATTGTAATCATCTTAGTTAGAAATGCTGTTTCCACCCCAACCTCTCCTGCTGAATGATTTTATATATTGTTACTGAAAGTGCTTGTCTTTGATATTATAATGATTACACCAGAAAGTCACTCTTTGTGAGATTTTTTTTTCACATTTTTCCTAGCCACAAGATTATTTCACCTCAAAGCTGGGTGAAGGTATTGATGCACGGATCAATGCAATCCTTTACAACAGCATTCCACTATGGTTGGGGATGTCTGTAAAAAAAGGAGAAATAATCTTAAACAAAACAAGTGTCGCAATATAGGGAAACAAACTGTGACAAAAACATATCAATTAGAATCAGAATCAGAATTGGCAGACGGGAGGCGTACCTTCGGGGTGGCGCAAGGCAGAGGAGAAGCAGAGATGTGTAACACCAGATTATCCTTGTTAATTACACAACATTGATTGGTTTAAATTGTGTGCAATGCTTTTGTATTTTTCCCCTTCGATTCGGAGAAACAAATATTTTTTCGGAGTTTAGGATGGCAGAAGACACTACACTACCCAGAATCCCCAGCTATCGTTTAGGACTACACCATGTGCTCTGTTTGACAAACCCCGTGATTAGTTATCAAGCTCTGTGATTGGTTGACCTCCAACTGCATTCCATATAAAAAAAAACGTTTCGTAAAAGATGATAAAATCATCATCAGGATTGCAAACAACTTTAAGGTGCATACCGCCACCTACTGTACAAGAGTGCACCATATCATCCTTTCACCAATTGTGGAATTATACCACTGTATTTATGTTGTTTTAAATTCTTCCAATCAATCCTGTTTCACTCATACTTAAGAATGGCCTTCCTGGTAGCTCTTACCCCCTCACCTTCTGTTCCCATATCCCCATCAGGCTCCACTCCCTTCCTGCCTCTCTGACCCATAGACTGTATATATAAAGCTCTGACCCTGTCTCTTAGTTTTTCCCTCTCTGTTTTGTACATGTTGCAGTGTAATACGATGTGTTCCACATTTTCTTTCACTCCACACCCCCTGCATTCTTCAACTTCGCTTTTTCCCATTATAAACATTGTGCCGTTTAATCCTGTATGATCCAGTCTGAGTCTAGTGATGATGATCTCCTCCCGTCTGTTCCTTTCTGTATAGATCTTTGGTATGACTGATTTCTGTAACTTGTGGTATCTCCTCCCTTTCTGATCTTCCTCCCACCTTTTCTGCCATATTTCCATACCCTTCTTAATTATTGCTTTTCCTTCTCCTTTTCCAAGTGAAACTGGTATTGCTATTTCCTTCTGTAACGCATCTTTTGTAACTTATCAGCATGCTCATTCCCTTGAACCCCCTCATGTGCAGGTACCCAGCATAACTGCACATCTATTCCCCTCCTCTGAAGTCTCAATAAGCAGTGGTTAAGTTCAATAATGAAATCTTCTCTAACAGTTATTGTCGACTGTATGCTTTTCAAAGCAGATAGTGAGTCTGTGCATATCACCACCTTATCTGACTTCTTCAACCTATTGTAGCCCAATAATTGCTGCTAGTATTTCTGCTGTATAAACTGATAAGTTATGTGACACTCGTTTTGAGATTGATATTTTGAATTCTGGTATATACACGCCTATCCCCACGCATTCTTGCTTCTTAGATCCATCTGTATACATTTTGAGGTAATTGTAATACTTTTCATTCAGGTACATACTCGTTTTAATTCCCACTTCATTTATTTGCCACTCTTTTTTCCTTTCTATGATACTCACAATCTATATTAGCTTCTGGGAAAAGCCATTGGGGAACACTGCTAAATGGGCTTGCTTTGGCAAACTTTATGGTCTCCACTCCATATGTCCTCGTTCTCTCCTTACTTGTCCAGCCAAACCCACGCCCCTGGAACTTTGTATATTCCCAGCAATCCTGTAGTATTCTGTTTGTGATATTTTCCTCTCCACTTTCTTGTAGCCTGACCCAGTAGGCCTATGACAGAGCAATTTTCTCTCTTCTAAAGAATGCACACATGTGTTTAATCGTTAATGTCAGGTATGTACTAAGTAAATACATTTGTTTCTGCTCAAGATTAGATTCAACTTTATTGTTATTGCACAGATTACAGGTACTGAGACAACGAAATGCAGTTTAGCTTCTAACCAGGAGTGCAAAAAGCAGTAAAGTGAAAAGTAATGTACACAATCTACAGAATAAAATATAGAATGAATTGAATGATGAATAAACAGTGAGGGGTATGAATACACTAGATATACACAGTAGCCTATGAGCAGTATGAACAGTATTAACAGTGTGTGAGTGATTCTACAATTTAGGGTACATTCCATGTCCATTGATGTCCATTGATGATAATTATAATTATTCTAACTATTTTCTTCAAAAATATCATATTTTGCCTATTATTGGAAAGCATGTTATAATATCACACAAACATTATGTGCATCCTATGCTTTATTTAGCTTGAAATGTGTCATGATGTTCTTAAATTGTCAGTTTTTGCTATGTCCGTTTTTCAGTTGAGGGTGTCTTGGATTCAAAATAATGAATAAAAACCATTAAAGAAAATTCAAAAAATGATTCATTTATTTCAAAAGTCTAAATACTAAAGAATAATAACATATTTTTAATTGATTTCCCCCTTTAAATAATTTAAATATCTTAATATATGAATGTCCGCAAAAGTTCTGTCAACTATGTTACTAACAGAACTTCCCCCCTTTAACTCAAAAATTGTTTGTCCCAATACCATGTCACCAGCATCACATGATGCCATGTTCCTCTTTGGCAGACATTTTGAACACACTGTGGTGATTGGCCTCTACATTTTTACAATATTTTATGTATAATAGCACATGGTCAATTAATATACTCATTGACAATCAACAATGTTACGTACATTGTTATGGTTTACAATTGTTTAATGATTTTAATTCAATTATATGTGCAAATGTGATGTTAACCTGTTCAAGAAAATGACATGTGGTCATCCAGGCAAGGCCTACCATTGAAATGATGGGTCAAAATAGGGAAATTGTCAACTAGGTTACCTGTCAACTGAGTTACCCAGTACTGTAATAACTGTAGTAACTTAGTTGACAGGTAACCTAGTTGACAATTTGTATGACATGTAGACGTCATTACACATCATTATCAATGGAATTTTGCACTTCTGCCTTGAAATTAACATAGTGCTGATGGTTAATAATGTGTCCAGTCAACTATGTTATTTGCGTCAAATGTTTGACTTTCATTGTCAACTATGTTGCACCTCATTTTTTCAAATTTAAAATATCTAAAATAGTGCTTCTGATATCCTTTATAGTATAATGTATATCTACACAGGTTGGAGTTTTACATGACATCTCTTAAAACTATCAAAATGACCTGTATGGTAGTTTTATAATACAAAATATCCCTAAACTTAATGACAGTGCTGAACATATCACATGAAAAAACAAAACTTTAATACAATTATTTTTTAAACTTTAAAAAATCTTTGGATATATGGTAGAATAGACTCAAGAGCCTTTCAAATTTGATTTTACTTGAAGTGCAGGACTTAATCAAATGATTGTAATGACATCAAGTTTGTCCGTAACATAGTTGACAAACTGAGTAGTGAAAACATCCTTTCCCTTAAAATAAAAAAATAAATAAAAATGTTTAAGCTTTGCAACTAGTGGATATGTTACACTGAGGAATATACTAACTTGAACCACTGATTGTCCTATTGAGAAAGAACACTTTCTTTGTACTGTTTTGTTGATGTGAAATGCACCCTAAATTATAGAATCAGTCGTGTATGAATCATAGACTGGTATGAATACACGAGATACACACAGCAGCCTGTGAGCAGTATGAACAGTATTAACAGTGTGTATGCATATGCTAAGATATATAAAGTATGAAAACGGTAAGCAGTGCAAGTATAGTATAAAATATATAGATATTAATTTCATGATGATAAACATTGTGGAACAATGATGAAAAATGTGAATGGCCTCGCTCTCAAGTCTGCGGGCGTCTTTGTCCCGCGAGATTTCAACGTCTCATGTAGGCGAGCCTCCAGAGCAAGTCGGACAAAATGACTAACCATCGTGCAACGCACTAGCAGAGCGTTGATCGCAATTGCGCATGGTTCTGCGTCGGTCTCGCTTGTCTCAAACAAGCCTAATGAGAAAACGGCCACCCCCTGGGTATTGTCCTCTCAAGACAGGAAGGAGTCATCACATACACGATATATTACAACTAGCTCCTGAACAGCTTGCACTTCTTAGTGTCCTGGAGAAGAAGAAGAAGAAGAAGAAGAAGAAGAAGAAGAAGAAGAAAAGAAGAAGAAGAAGAAGAAGAAGAAGAAGAAGAAGGAAAAAGAAGAAGAAGAAGATAAAGAAGAAGAAGAAGAAGAAGAAGAAGAAGAAGGTGAAGAATAATAAGAAGAAGAAGAATAAGAAGAAAAGCGACACGGACACCCGAGGACTCCGAGGATTGTTGGAGATTTAAACTAAATTAAATTATTATTTTCGAGTTCCCTGTTCATGTTGACGTGAGCATGGAAGTCGAATGAACTCAAGGCTAAATTCTAACATTTCATACTTAGTTTTGTCACTATTTGGGTTTTTATCGAGGAAATTGGTCGAAGTGAATATAAATGTTGACTTTAAAGGAATCGAAACTGGTGCAAGAATAGCGCAAGTTAAGTTTCGTTTCTCCCTCGCAGCTCAGCCCAGCCCACTGGAGTTTCATGATGGCGGCGATGGACCAGAGTCAGTTTTCTCTGTTGAGTCTGGAGGAAGAGCTGAGCTGCAGCATCTGTCTGTGTCCCTTTGACTGCCCGGTGACCATCCCCTGCGGACACAACTTCTGCCAGGACTGCCTCCTCGCCAGCTGGAAGGACTCTTACAGCTGTCCTCAGTGTCGGACCCACTTCCCCACCAAACCGGAGCTGAAGAAAAACACGGTCCTCAGCACCGTCGTGGAGACCTTCAACCTGCGGACGACCAAGAGCGAGGCCGACCTGGGGACAGCAGAGGACAGCCAAGCCGAGAGCCAGGATGTCATACGCTGTGATACATGTATGGAAGCAGAAGCGGCGCAGACCTGCCTCACCTGCATGGCCTCTTTCTGCGAGGAGCACCTGCGGCCTCACCGGGAAAACCCAAGATTTAGAGTCCACCAGCTGAGTGAGCCTGTCGGCGACCTGTCCGAGCGCATCTGCCCGGACCACCACAAGCTGATGGAGCTCTTCTGCAGCCAGCATTGCCGTCCCATCTGCAGCCTCTGCCTCCAGCAGGTCCACAAAGGCTGCTCCTTTGTGTCCCCGGAGGAGCAGAGGAACCTGAAAGAGGTGTGTGTGTTTGTGCAGGAGCCAGCAGCTGCTTGGCTTCGTTTGAAGGGGCATTCTCTCTCCCCACAAATATGGAAGATAGATTATTGTTTGTTTTTGTGCTCACTGCATTAAAACGTTATATGCCATACCACACAATGCTGAGATTTGACAAGTAATGTTACAGGTTTAAACTTACAAAATAATCTTAATAATACTTTCCCGAATGAACTGAATGTGTCCTGTTTCTCTGTTTTATAGTCCGACCTGAGAGGCAAGTTGGCTATCCTGGACGAGAAAATAACGAAGAACGAGAGAGTTATTTCGCATATTGGTGACATGGAGGACAAGCTAAAGGTAGTCCTGGATACTTGACATTTCATTATTTATAATCCTTATGAATTCCAAAAAAATAGTTTCTTGAAAGAAGAAGAGTGAATAAAGGAAAACATTAACAAGTGATTATTGTTCATTTGCAAACCATAACACTGAGATGTTGCTTTGTGTGGTAGAACTGTCATTTTCTCTAACCCCTGTATTTACTTTTTTCCTTTTGCCTACTGATGTGTTCTGATTCTCTTGTAGGACTCAGCGACCAACAGGAAGAAGGCCGTGGCAGCTGAGTATCAGCAGATCCGGGATATGTTGGCCCGAGAGGAGAGTGAAGCTCTGAATGCTGTTGACTGCGAGCTGCAGAGTGGTCAGACTAAGCTTAAGGGTCTCTCAAAGAAGTTCAATGAGAACGTTGTTCATATGAGTAAAGCTAAAGAAGACATCCACAGTCTGCTGAGTCAGTCCCAGACTCTTGCCTTCCTACAGGTGAGTCAATCAATCTGCAAATAATTGACTTTATCCTTTATACAGCCTACAAAGACACTAATCACGCTGTCTGTTTAATAGTGTTTATAATGTTATATTTAAAATCACAACCTTTTATCTTTTTTTTTAAATGACAGTATTCCACTCATAGATACACAATAGAAAATAAAAAAGCGTATTTCCAATGTATTGCATAACATCTTGTTGCGTTAAGAAAACAGTTTGTTCTTCTGCCTCCAGGCTTCATTCAACCTGCCAAAGGCTGCAACCTTTGACCCTTACACCCCTCAAATCAACCTGGATTCTAAGAAGGTGAAAGCCACGCAGGCCTTTTGTGCAGACCTGAAGGAGCACCTGACAGAGATGTTTAAACCGCCTGTTGAGGACAGACTGCTGATACGCAAACCGGGTGAATGTGCAGTTAAACTTTTAATGGGAGATTTAACATTTTGAGGTGCATAATGGGATAATGATAAAGCCAACTTTTGTTGCAAAACATAACATGGGCGTCTGGAGAGCTTGTGTTGTGAGATACTGGAATTTAACTCCAATGTCTTGTCTCTGCCAGGCGTATGCCAGTAGGGAGACTTATGTGTTTGTGTATGTGTCTGTCTGCATCTCACACACTACTGGACAATTCATCCTATTATTATTTTTTTTTCATTCATGGATGAAAAACTGTTTATGGCTCAGCAACGGAAAGCACTGGACCTCATCCCAAATCTGGTATGTTAATCTCTGCTTTTAACCTATAATACAATATCGGCCAATGTGTATGATAAACTCACGTCTGCACAGCTTTGAAGTCGCTGAAAAATGCTATATGTGAATATTTGCTTCACGATTGCAACGGCAATTTAGGTGTTCCTATATCCATTTGTAGTAGCTGTTATCGTCTGTAGCTGTTGGCATCTGCCGTGTCTGGTAAGAACAGACCCTGTGCAGCTAATCGCCTCGAACAAGTGTTCAAAAATAATACTGCATGAAGAATCTAAACAAAATAATATAACATCCCAATCATTTTCATATATAGATCCTACACAATACTGTAGTTTTGATAAAATAACGTTTTAAATATCTGTGTATGGCAAATATGTGCTTTTGCATTTTGTGATACAACGCGTACGAGTGCACAAAATGTCTTCTTATTTTACCTTCTCTCTTTCAGAATTCAACAATCCTCCAAAGCAGAAAAGGCCCCCCAGCTCCCACAGTCCAGGTCGTCCACTCATCGAGTCATTATACCAGCCAGTTTACATGGGGTCACATCCACACCCCAATGCACCCCAGCATCAACCAGGCTACAACAGGGATCCCCATTTTATGGCAGGACAAAAGACAAGTAAGAAAGGTTTAAATTGTACCATTGTACTCGCAGAGGTCGAACAGCACACCACCAATCTTAATCAATATCGTAGCTCTTTAAAACATCTGCCATCAGAATCTTTTAAAAGATGCTAGTGCAGTAGAGATGGGCGAGTCCTGATTCATCCGGTTCATTAACAGGGTGCGTACGGGTGCTGGAAATCCTTGAAAATGCTTGAAATTGTACGAGGTGTTTTCAAGGTTTGAAAAGTGCTTGAATTTTGGGAATGGTGCTTGAATTTGGGATAAAGTGCTTGAAATTGTAAATGCTTTACTTCGCTTTTTAGATTAAAAGAAAATAAAGAAGTCGGAGCGCGCTTAATTGCTTCGCTTTTACATAAAACAGCTCCGCTCCGGCCTTCCCGCGCAATGCGCGTGACCGGCAAGTGTTTTTGTTACGTGTGTGACCTGGGCATTCTGATGAGAGTGATAGATGACAGTATGCCAGGAGGTTGCCGTTTCAACGAGCGTTGGCTAGCAGAAGACAAATACAAGCCATGGCTAAGACGAGGGTCAAGCGAAGCCCAAGAGTAGCCTCCTGCAAAGTGTGCAACAATAACGATGCGAGAGTCTGCGCTGACGAGCCACACACCACACGAAAGGTACGCCATAGTTGAGCATTTTAGATTAGGCTATCGTTGCATGTAAAATACATGACACTTTTCTCTGTGCGCGGCAAAACAAGCTCGCCAAAATGGCTTCACTAGTCTGGCAGTATTTTAAGTGTCCGAAAGTGACAATAAAATAGCGGTATGCAACGTGTGTGTGAAGCAGAAATCCTGCAGCTCCACCCGCTGTGACGGACCGGTGAGCGGAGCAGAACACACATTAAGAGTTAGACCTAACACACTTAGCTATTTTATCTACCTCTGGAACAAGCTAAACTAGTTATAAATATATTTATTTTTCACTGTCGGGTCGCTCATTACTGGATCAGTGAGTTGCAGGAGATACTGACGGGCTGTCAGGAGAGAGAGAGAGGGGGAGAGAGGAAAAGAGAGCGGTATCGGCTGATGCTGATTCCGGCGATCGGCCCCAAAATTGGCGATCGGAGCATCCCTAATAATTGTATATGATATGTTTTATAATGATTGATCATGAAAGTGTTCTCAAAGCTGGTAAAGTTGCAGCTAGTTTGAATGACTTTGTATACTGCAGGGTAGCTTGTGAATTTACTCCAGGTGGAACTAAAGTCTGATTTAACACTTGATTATATTTCACATCATTCATCCACATCTGTAAAGTAACTAAAGGTATTAAATACATGTAGTGGAGTCAAAGTACACCATTTACCTCTGACTTGTGTTTACTGCCAACCTAAAAGTACCTCAAAAATAGTAATCAATAATGTATTGAAAAGTTATTTGGCTGATTGTTTTATATTGGCTCAGCCAGGTTATATGGGATGCCCAGTCTACGTACAGATGGGTCACTCATTTTGAAATATTAAACTTAGTTTTCTTTTCTAACATTTTTTATTTTTCATCCTCATGTAGAATGCTATTATGAAACACACATTTGGTTGTTTATAGCATAAAGAACATCTGATTTAATGTGAGGTAGGGAAATAATCATTTGACTATAAGTATGTGTATATAAATATGTAATTTACAACAGCTGTAAGATGCTTGAAAAGCTTGAAAATGCACCTTGAAAATGCTTGAAAAGTGCTTGAATTTGACTTTGGAAAAGGTGTAAGAACCCTGATTAACCCGGATCCTAGAAATGAGCTGGTCATGACGAGTCTCCCCTCTCCATTAACCCGAGTCCTTGAGTCCCACACATGGTGTGACGTACAAATTAAAACTATAAATTGCGTCACTCGCTACTCTCTTTATAACATGTAAAATCACATTACAACGTACCCCAGTCCATCTACCTACCCTTTAGCAAGTAGGATAGCTGCCAGAAGTGATCGTTTGGCTCAGGGGAGGGGACGCGGATCAGTGAAACTTCCTGCAGACTCGTGGGGACTCAGGAGCCGACGGCTCCTAACCGTAATAGCATAGCAGATCCAGCAATCCATACTCGTCATGTGCACAAGCATAGCCCCTCCTCCAGCACCCGGCTCCCGCGCTATATTATGCACGAGTCAACAGCAGACTCGTAGATTCGCAAATCCTGACTCACTGTGCAACACACAGCAGAGCAGACTCGTGCGGACTCAGAGCCGTAGCCATATTGCAGCAGATCCGGAGATCCAGCAGACTCGTCCTCATGCACGAGTCAACAGCAGACTCAGATTTGCCAAATCGCAAAATAACCCTTTTTTTTTGTGATCCACATTTTTTATTAAAGCAAAATACACTGTGTAGCGGAGGTTAATATAACGTCAGTTTAATAGATAGATAGATAGATAGTACTTTATTGATCCCAAATTGGGAAATTGTTGTTGTTACAGCAGCATAAAAGGCATTTTACAATAAAACAAAACTACAAAATATACAAGAATAGAAAGAAAAATCAAATAAATGATGCGACTCTTTCAAGATATTCCTCAAGTTGGTGCTAATTGTTTGGTGGTCAGGTATGTTCAACTATCACAAGGTGAATTAATTTGAGTGATCTCATTTCTAAGAGTCAAATACAAGATCAGCTTTCTAAATAACTTTTTTTTTCTATATTGAGAAAACATTTCTCTCTGACACACTTAAAAAATAAAGAGCTGTTTGAACATTAAAGCATGTAAACATGTCACAGTAGAGGCAAAAAATACACATTTTAAACTGAAAATGAGCATAATAAGACCCCTTTTTAAGATAAGACTTTAAAAAAATGGATCACCAGAATTAATTGTTCTCACTTGCCTTATGATGTATGTTTTGAAAACAACAAGGGGCTTTTGAGGATTGCATCTGGCTCTAGTATCTGATATATTTTTATTCTATTTATTTTTATTATTTTCTCCTTATAGCTTTGTGAAGCACCTTGAGGTGACGTTGTTTTTAAAGTGTGCTATATAAATCAAATGTATTATTATTATTAGTATAACATGTTCCTTTTCTTTTGTTTCTCCCTCTCTCAGAGCCGCAACGGACAGGTCCAGGTTCTCAACACAAAGCAGGCCCAAAGGAGAAGTCTGAAAGTAAGAAAGTGTCTATATTTGGTCCCACATATGGATAACACTCAAGTTTATTCGCAACAAATTCTACCTTTTTATGAAAGTTATAATATTCCGTTTTTTTTAAGGAGGTGTTGATTCAACTTAACGTCATTTTGGATGTGGTAGTTTTGGTGCTATTGAACTCTTAATGTGTCCTACTGAGACCTGTTATTAATATTTTGTCCACCCCATTTATATCAATGAGAGAAAACGTGTGTGATGTGCTTGTACTTGTTTGTTGTTTAGTGTAAGAAGTATGTTTTAATTGTGCATGTTGATTTGCAATTGAATAAGACTTAAAGGGATAGTTTTGAAGTGAAGGCAAGTTTTATTTCTCTATAGTCAGTACGTAACATACAGTAGATGGCTGTTGGCACGTCCCCAGCTTCGAGACAGACACGTTTTATTTATTTTTTAGATGGCTAAAATAGATTTCGCTGCTGCCACTGTCCACAGCAGTTCAATATACTGTATGTTTCTTCAGACTGGGGTGTTCTGACCTTTTTCTCCTGTACCTTTTATACAAACCCTGTTTCAAAACATCAGAAATATCCCTTTGACAGCTCTTCAGAATGATTACTGCAGTTAAATAACAAATGTACTATCTTTTTTTATCTTCAGAACCAAAACCTCTCAAAGCTGCAAAAGACAATATTGGACAAAAGAATGAAGAACGCTCAACAGAAAACCTCTTGGACCTCTTAGGTGGGATAATCCAACCCAGAAGCAGTACTCCTCCACCTTATTTTAATAAACCAGGTAGAAGCCATTCAATAAAAGAGTGCTCCACTGATTTACTATGACAACATCTTTTGGAGTAAGAAAAACTCAAATCGATTCAGCTGCACTAGATGATTTTATTCTACAAATGTTCTCAAAACCTTCCACCTAAATTGCAAACAGGAAATTAGCCAGTCTGCCTTCTTTTTTTAAACGTGTCCACCTATGCATTCACTAGTCGTCCTCAACACCTGTGAACAGACCTAAATGGTAATCGTTGGAGATGCCATTTTTTAAGATGCTCTTTTCAATTGTTTTCTTTGTTTTGTTCCCTTAGCCTGAAGACAAATTAATTTGGTGTCTTCTGTTGCAGAAATGTCGGACATTCCACCAAGCATAACATCTGCTGAAAAAAGAACCGAACTTTTGAAATGTAAGTGTATGATTGTTGGAGGCATCATCCCCTATTATAGTATCAACAAAGTTTGTTGTGAAAATGTTGATTTTTGTCCCTACCAGATGGTACAGTTCTCACTTTGGATCCAAAGACGGCCCACAAACGCATCGCTCTGAGTGAGGGCTTCACTAAGGCCTCGGTGTCAGATGAACACACAGACTATCCCGACTGCCCTGAACGCTTCTCGGTCTGCTCCCAGGTGCTCGCTCGTCAGAGTTTCTCTCGAGGCCGCCACTACTGGGAAGTGCGACTGAGCTGCAACAACTTCATTGGCGTAGGCTTGGCTTACAGAAGCATTGACCGCAAAGGTCCCACCAGTCGACTGGGCCGCAACGACCAGTCCTGGTGTATCGAGTGGTTCAACGTCAAGCTGTCCGCTTGGCACAACAGCAATGAGACCGTGCTGGTCAATCCCAATCCAAAGCGCGTAGGCGTGCTGTTGGATTGTGACGAGGGCACTGCTACGTTCTATAACGTGGCAGACAGGGCGTATCCCTTCCACACCTTTGTGTTCCCCTTTGCCCAAGCTGTGTGTCCAGCTTTCTGGATTTTCTCAAGTGGCTCGTCCATTTCTGTGTGCAAGCTTCAGGCATGAGGAGCATATGCACAGAATTGGCATGCGGGCACACTCGTAATACACAGCCTTTTCTTCTAAATACACTCATAATAATGGAATATAATACACTGCTTTGTTCACTTATTAAGACATTCCCTGTTAACCCACCTCCAGCTAACATTTAGTCAAAATCAATGTTGCCTTTTTGAAGTTGAAGTTGCAACTAAATGGTTCTTTGTGCTGTTGGAGTGTGTCAGGTGAAACTTGATTATCCCCACTATTAGTGCTCGCTGATTTAGCTTGGCTTTAACAAAGAAAATGAAGGAATAACTCAAATGTGTTTGTCTGAAAATGTCAGCACACAGTCCTTATCTTCTAAACTTAAATGGACTCGGATGCAAACGATAGCGCCATCGCTGTTGTCGTTAGCTATGCTAGCTGTGATTTACAGCAGCTGAATTTTTGGTTATGTGACCAAAAACGATTAAGACGGCTTTTCTAAACACGTAAAAAGCAACATGCTTTGTGTTTTCCAGTCTATAAACTGCATCCCAGGCGGTTTGAACACACCTGAGCATCGATATGACTTCTGTTATTAGGATTATAAGAAGAACGCGCACTGTACTCTTACCGTACAGCATGTGTGTGCTAGTCTTTCTCCTGTATTGTGACTGTGACTGGATAAAGAAGTGAATTATTACGTCACGCTCCAGCATGTGTCAGTACAGTGTTTTCATATGTCCGCATGTGGAAAATGTACGATCGTTTTGGAGTGCATTGAAGTGAAGCTCTTAAGGTTATAGGGCTGGGCGATATGGCAAAACATTTGATCAAGTTATTTGTTTTTCATTCTGATGACCTTTAAAAGATTTCTTAGTCTCTAAATCGTTTTACCTTTTGATCCAAAATCAATAATCAACCATCCGTGTTTAATGGCTTGTGCATTTCAGACTACTTTAAAAAAATGCTAATAATTATGATAGAGATTAAGTTAGAGAAAAAAACGCCAATGTTCTTTGATACTATACAGGTATACATTTGCAAAAGAAACTGAATTGTTCCCGCAAGTTAATGCCTCTTATAATATGAGAATATTGGAGGGTTTTTTCTCATGATTGTTCAGTTTTTATATTAAAACCCTTCTCCCTAACTTTCAATTGCTAATTTACGCCACTGTAAGGTTGCAAGTTGATTGGCTAGAACATAATTAGTTTCTGCGATGTGATTGGCTGTTCCATGTGCGAGAGCAGAGTACAATGCAGTAGACTTTCGCAGTAGTTGGCATTAGCGGTGTTACAGTGTTTTTACAAATGCTGATTAAATGATGTGCCCGACAGCCATTCAACATAAAAGTATCAGAATCTTCAACAATCTTTTCTTGTTATATCTCCGGTGTAGTCAATAACACAGGTTATGTCTCCAGTTTATTAACCGGTGGAAAAGGTTTCCTCAACCGTGGCATCGCTTCCCTACTGACCATGTATTGACATTTTGTTTATCAAGAAAAGTGCATATATCGTTATCGCCCAGCTCTAAAGCGTCACTTCCTCAACTCTCTGACTTTTTTTCGGCTGATGTGAATTAAAGTCAAATAGACAAGTTCCATCAAGTTTTGATGAATCTTTCCTTTTGATTGTTTTTATGGGATTTTACCTTTTATTGGTGACGTGAGAGGAAATAATTGAGGGAAAGGAAACGGGTGTCGTTCTTGCATCCTTTACTCCATAGATGTACATTGATATACAATTTCACATCTATGGTGGGCACATTAAACTAACAAGCCATCAGCCTGGTCTGTTGGCTTTGTGTAAGGTGGTATGAAGCTAGTTAGCTGTATAGTTTCACAGGGGTTAATTATTTGTTGTGTGATACAAAGTTTACCCCGGCTTGTAAGATGATGATGTCCCGCGATGGTGCTCATCTTGCAGGTGCTAAATCGTGTGAAACAACAAACTGTATGGGTGTCTAGCAGTAGAGATCTGTCTACACAACATGCGGTGGTACGTTCACGGTGAACTTAGCCGTTTGAACACAGTTCTCTGTTCTAATAAGCTCACAGGTTTTAGCGGTTCAGAAAAAAAAAAAAAAAAATGTCTTGATGATTTTGCTGAAAAGCTGGTAAAGGTTTGGACGTGATCTCAGTTTTGAGTCTTAATGGTTGGATAAGTTCAAATATCTCAGATTCGTTTCAGGCAATGCACTTCAGGTACAGTGTTATTATTAGGCTCCATGCTATTGTGTGAAGGAACAGTACATCATTGCATGTAAAGTCTGAACCTGTATAATGAAATCTGCTGTTTTCTGTTAACACAAGTCAACACAATGAAGAGCTGTGGTTTGGGACACAGCTCCGCAGACTCCTGTGACGTGATGATCATTTTGTTTGTTTGCCGTGCATTTACTGAAACTGTGTTCATTGTTCTTAGCATCATATATGGTCGAGGGTTGTATAACACTTGAACTGTCAAACCAAACCAACCTTTGTGTAATGCTTAATGTACGGTGGTTGTTTTCAGGTGTTTGCCATTATCTTAAAATTCCAGTGATTATGGCTCTTTTACATTAAATCAATCTCTAAATAAATAAACCAATGCTTCTTATTAATAAAGTGTGCTCTATCAAAAACGTTTCTTTTCTTTTTGCGAAGACACTGGTGGTTAAAAGAGCACTAGATTTTGGGAAATTCTCCCTTTGTTATTTCTTACCAATAAGTGATAGAATCGATATCTACAGACATCTGTGGGCCGTTCAGATGCAGAGAGATTACATTTATATATTGTCCTCACGGGAAACTTGAAAACTATATTTGATCCTCAAAATGTCAGTGTTACTCTTAATCTGATGAACATTTGGGAATCACATTAAACATGCTTTTCCTGCTCGTTCTCATCTATTCAGAAGTAGAGGCATCACGCAGCTAGCAACTAGTTGCAATTCAGCCTAATGAAAAGCCATTTTTAAAAGCAATATACATTTTTATCTTTGCATCATTGGCTTGCAATAACATTGTAACAATGCCATGGCCATTAAAAGAAACTCTAGGCCTTCAAATTATATATTAGGATACCTGAAATAGTGTACCATATAGTAAAACCCTCTTTAATGTCATTTAAATGAGCCATTGATGCCCTAATGTCTTATAAAATTGGTGCTAGATTTGCTATCAATAACATCTCAGGTGACTTACTGTATTGATTTATTTGAGAGACTTTCAGACACACACATCCCACTTAGAATTAGTTTGATTCATGAAACATAGCCGCCTACGCTCATCCATTCATTAGGACTTGTATGTATTTTTTTAAATGGCTTGAAATCAACGGCTATTATCTTTATATGTCTTTGTGGTGTTTGCAATGAATTGCTTGCGGGGAAAAAAATCAGGATTCCTCCCAAATCAAAAAGATATGCTCAGTACAACATTCTCCTTGTTTATTTGGTCAGTGCTCTTCAAAGCATTTCAATATAGAGACTGACCCAATCCTAAAGAGTAGTCACTGTGTGACTTTACTAAATGAGTAGAGACCACATATAAGATCGGTAACACTAATAAGCTGCAACTGTTGTTTTTTAAGTTTATTTGAAAAAGAAAGGTATTAATCAAAAAGTGGGATTTGTTTTACTGCATAGATTGAGCCTAGAATATTGCAGGCACACTTTAGACCACTTTATTAATTTCATGTTATACCGTATGCCAAGCCTCGGCAGCACATCAGCCCTACCCTCCGTCACCTCGACTGGCTCCAGGTCAAGTCCTGCATCACCTATAAACTCCTGCTCATCCCCTACAAGTCCCTCCATGCCATTTCCCCTCAGTACCTCACGGATCTCCTCCACCCATACATCCCGTCACAATCTCTTCCATCATCAGACTCCAGACTGTTCTCCATGCATCTGTGTAGTCCCAGCATGTTCTGTTGTGTGTTGTTGTTCCCTCTGTACAAGCGTCCTTGGGTTTATGAATACATTTAAGTTATAATAATTATTATTATTATGATGTTGTTCATCGCTAGACATTATGCAATACACACTATCAAATATGCCCTCTTTAATTAGGTGATACTAAATATGCAATAATGTTTGGGCTAAAAGTAGGCCAGAGGTGGGAGAAATACTCAGATCTTGTACTTCAGTAAAAGGAGAAGTACCAGAATGTAGGAATACTCTGTTACAAGTAAAAGTCCTGCAGTCAAAATGTTACGTAATGTAAGCTTAAGTAGAAAAGTATTGGCATCAAATACACTTAAGGTACCAAAAGTAAAAGTAGTCATTGTGCAGATTGGTCCATCTCAGAATAATATGATATGTTTAATAATTATTGGTCATTGAAGTGTTATCAAAGCTGGTAAAGGTGCAGCTAGTTTGAATGACTTTGAATACTGCAGGGTAGCTTGTGAATTTACTCCAGGTGGAACTAAAGTCTGATTTAAGAGTTGATTATATGTCACACCATTAATCCAAATCTGCACAGTAACTAAAGGTATTAAATATAGTGGAGTAAAAGTCAATTTAACCTCTGAATTGGAGTGGGGTAGATCAGTTGTGCATCTTAATTACAGTTTACATTATGTATTAATCACGTTATAATCATTTCTGTGGGCTTAAAGTGGTCAGAGAGAGAGAGAGAGAGAGAGAGAGAGAGAGAGAGAGAGAGAGAGAGAGAGAGAGAGAGAGAGAGAGAGAGAGAGAGAGAGAGAGATTTGCTTCGTCAGAAGTCATGAGTTTCTCCCTCTTATCAGAGAGATAACACACACTATATTGCCTGAATGTTTCCCAGAGAGCTTAGTTAGCTGCACCAGCGGAGAAGGTATGTTGGGGTCAGAGGTTGCGCTAGACTTTTTCGCTGCCCGTCATTTTGACGGACAGGATCGTAACATTTCCGTCAAAATCCATTATAACCCGTCGGCCTGTACACTACTCTACCGGAGGAGGCACACTCGCTTGTGAACTGTTAGCGCCGTGTTATGCATGCCCACTGCACCTCGCAGGAGCGCGCGCAGCGTAAAGCAAGTACTCACAGACATTTCAATGATCTGTTCGGCAAAATTAGGTTTGGAAACTATATCATTTCCTTTTGGGAGGGCATGCATAATAACATGGCATAACACCGGAGCCCCGCTGCGGGGAAACTTTGGTGCTGTTCTGAGTTTGATCTAATCTGTCAAAATGACGGACGGCTTTCAGATTTTTCCGTCATTGTTAAAAAAAAAACGTCATAGACGGAAAATATTCGGTTAACGCGACCTCTGGTTGGGGTAAATGTAGTGTATAGACATACGACCTGTTAAGATACATATTATGTGTTTCTTGGTTTACACATTTATTTCTATAACAGGAATATTGTGAGATGATCGATTGTATGTTGAGAGTTGTTTGAGCAGTGAAAGCTTGATGTTTTTTTACAATGTTACAACTTTAACGATATATTTAGGTTGTAATTGTTTTATTTGTATACATATAATGTGTGTTTTTTATATTTTGAAAAATCTTCTTACAAACAAGGAGTATTTTTTTTCTGATTCTGTACTTTTTTTTGTCAATGTCAGATTATTTAAATAAATAATAATTATGTTGATGAATCTGTTGTTGGAAGGGCCCCCTGGAAATGTTTGCATAGACAGACTGTAGAAACGCCACTAAGAACATCATGTTGGTGTGGAAAAAACTCTATTAGGCCACTTGGTTTTCCTGAAATAGAAAAGTTAAGTTTCGTTTCTCCCTCGCAGCTCAGAGCCCAGCCCACTGGAGTTTCATGATGGCGGCGATGGACCAGAGTCCGTTTTCTCTGTTGAGTCTGGAGGAAGAGCTGAGCTGCAGCATCTGTCTGTGTCCCTTTGACTGCCCGGTGACCATCCCCTGCGGACACAACTTCTGCCAGGACTGCCTCCTCGCCAGCTGGAAGGACTCCTACAGCTGTCCTCAGTGTCGGACCCACTTCCCCATCAAACCGGAGCTGAAGAAAAACACGGTCCTCAGCACCCTCGTGGAGACCTTCAACCTGCGGACGACCAAGAGCGAGGCCGACCTGGGGACAGCAGAGGACAGCCAAGCCGAGAGCCAGGATGTCATACGCTGTGATACATGTATGGAAGCAGAAGCGGCGCAGACCTGCCTCACCTGCATGGCCTCTTTCTGCGAGGAGCACCTGCGGCCTCACCGGGAAAACCCAAGATTTAGAGTCCACCAGCTGAGTGAGCCTGTCGGCGACCTGTCCGAGCGCATCTGCCCGGACCACCACAAGCTGATGGAGCTCTTCTGCAGCCAGCATTCCCGTCCCATCTGCAGCCTCTGCCTCCAGCAGGTCCACAAAGGCTGCTCCTTTATGTCCCCGGAGGAGCAGAGGAACCTGAAAGAGGTGTGTGTGTTTGTGCAGGAGCCAGCAGCTGCTTGGCTTCGTTTGAAGGGGTATTCTCCCCAAATATATGGAAGATAGATTATTGTTTGTTTTTGTGCTCACTGCATCAGTGGCGGTTCTAGACCAATTTGACTGGGGGGGGCCAGGCTGGGGCCAGTTATTTTCTGAGGGGGGCACAATAAACGCAGGACGAAAAAGACAAAAACAGTATGAAGTAATTGCGCGTAAGAAAACAATGCAATACAGTTATTGGTATTTGTTTCATTACTCATTATTATATGCTTACCTTTAACCTTTGTGTGCTGTTTGGGTCTGTGGGACCCGTTTTCAGTGTTTACTAAAAGAAAATGTATGCAAATTAATTATTTTAACCTGCTTTATCTGGGGGTGGACCTCACATCCTCTGGGGGGGTCCGGGGGCATGCACCCCTGGAAAGATGTTTTTTTAAATGTTGAAGTTAAAAGCATCAATCTGGTGCACTTTGAGAGCAAAATTAATTTATGGATACAGCTCTCAACACTCAGATGAAAGAGAGCTGTATACTTTTCAATAATCCAAAAAATCTTTAGAATATGATCACAACCAATAACAAATCATTTAAACTGATTTATTCTTATCTTATGTTACCTAGTTAGCATTCTTTCTTTTTATTTATGCATATTTTACTAATCACTCCCCTTTTAAACTGTTTTTTGTTTTTTTACTGTCCTATAGTACACATTGGAATGATTTATTACTTTATTTTTTACAACTATATTAAATAGATAAAGGTGTGCTCTCTCGCTCTCTGTCTCGCTCGCTCACAGAGGCCTCCGTGGCGATGATGGCTTGCGTTAAAAAAATAATTAAAAAAAAACATATTTGTAAAGTGGGGGCTATAGAGGGCTTGCTACCGGTAGCTCGCGATCGAGGTGTTGGAGACCCCTGCACTGCATTAAAACGTTATATGCCATACCACACAATGCTGAGATTTGACAAGTAATGTTACAGGTTTAAATTTACAAAATAATCTTAATAATACTTTCCCGAATGAACTGAATGTGTCCTGTTTCTCTGTTTTATAGTCCGACCTGAGAGGCAAGTTGGCTATCCTGGACGAGAAAATAACGAAGAACGAGAGAGTTATTTCGCATATTGGTGACATGGAGGACAAGCTAAAGGTAGTCCTGGATACTTGACATTTCATTATTTATAATTCTTATGAATTCCAAAAAAATAGTTTCTTGAAAGAAGAAGAGTGAATAAAGGAAAACATTAACAAGTGATTATTGTTCATTTGCAAACCATAACACTGAGATGTTGCTTTGTGTGGTAGAACTGTCATTTTCTCTAACCCCTGTATTTACTTTTTTCCTTTTGCCTACTGATGTGTTCTGATTCTCTTGTAGGACTCAGCGACCAACAGGAAGAAGGCCGTGGCAGCTGAGTATCAGCAGATCCGGGATATGTTTGCCCGAGAGGAGAGTGAAGCTCTGAATGCTGTTGACTGCGAGCTGCAGAGTGGTCAGACTAAGCTTAAGGGTCTCTCAAAGAAGTTCAATGAGAACGTTGTTCATATGAGTAAAGCTAAAGAAGACATCCACAGTCTGCTGAGTCAGTCCCAGACTCTTGCCTTCCTACAGGTGAGTCAATCAATCCGCACAGTTTCATGAGTGTGTGCGAGAGAAACTCCCTCTGGAGGGAACACAGGGATTTTAGCCTTTGCAGACCATTTACATGCACACAAAAACATATAACGCACTACAGCGAAAACCCAAAAAAGCATGACAGGGCTTCTTTTAAATCAATGTGTCTTTTTAGTACAACATTCCCTATTGCTTGCATGGAAACTGTACTTCCAAAAATGGGAACATTATAATCCCAAACAGAAGAACTTGCTTGCAAATTCATGAGGTTTGTGAGTAGCATACACTCAAAGACATGAAGTTACTCTGCCAAAATCCTAAAAATAACGGGTGTAAAAATCAAGCGTTAATATGTACTTAAAATAATTGAACTTATCCTTTAAAGGTAGGGTAGGTAATTTTGGAGAAACCAGCTTGAGATCGCTAGAATTTGAAAATACACAGCCGGAAAAAATCTGCCACTTCCTTACAGAGCCCCTCCTCCAACACACACGAACGCGCACATGACCAATGAGGGCACGAGATAAGTTTGTGCACAGATGGAAGGCTGACAGGCAGGTAGGCCATCCAATTATTTTAGCCGGGCCGGCTAAAATAATTGGTCGTGCTTTTTACAGCACTACGGCTTCCACAGATGACATTTTTTTATGGATTTTTATATAGCATTTAATATATTCATTGCTATCAGGATGTTAAGAGCATTCCATGGAATATAACAAAAAGTGTATCTCGAGACGGTTTCTCAAACTTACCTATCCCACCTTTAAACAGCCTACAAAGACACTACATTACATTACATTACATTGCATTTAGCTGACGCTTTTATCGAAAGCGACTTACATTAAGTGCATTCGACCAGGAAGATACAAACTTGAAGAAAACAGAAGTACATCAGGTTTCATAGAGCCAAAACATTTCAAGTGCTACTCAACTGGCTTTAGATAAGCTAATCACGCTGTCTGTTTAATAGTGTTAATAATGTTATATTTAAAATCACAACCTTATATATTTTTTTTAAATGACAGTATTCCACTCATAATAGATACACAATAGAAAATAAAAAAGCTTATTTCCAATGTATTGCATAAAAACAGTTTGTTCTTCTGCCTCCAGGCTTCATTCAACCTGCCAAAGGCTGCAACCTTTGACCCTTACACCCCTCAAATCAACCTGGATTCTAAGAAGGTGAAAGCCATGCAGGCCTTTTGTGCAGACCTGAAGGAGCACCTGACAGAGATGTTTAAACCGCCTGTTGAGGACAGACTGCTGATACGCAAACCGGGTGAATGTGCAGTTAAACTTTTAATGGGAGATTTAACATTTTGAGGTGCATAATGGGATAATGATAAAGCCAACTTTTGTTGCAAAACATAACATGGGCGTCTGGAGAGCTTGTGTTGTGAGATACTGGAATTTAACTCCAATGTCTTGTCTCTGCCAGGCGTATGCCAGTAGGGAGACGTATGTGTTTGTGTATCTGTCTGTCTGCATCTCACACACTACTGGACAATTCACCCTATTATTTTATTTTGTTCATTCATGGATGAAAAACAGTTTATGCCTTAGCACCAGAAAGCACTGGCCCAGCTAGAAATGTTTTGTTCTAAAAACATTCTGAGAATGTTACATTCATTGTTCTAGGAATGTTTTCAGCGGGAAGTTTTCTTTTGGTTCCCAGAACGTTCTTCTGAAAGGTAGGATAACGTTCTCTAAAAACATTCTTAAAATGTTTTTGATAACGTTAGAACATTATGCCCTACTGTTCTTAAAACGTTTTCAGCTGCAAGTTAGATTTTTTTATGTTGCCAGAATGTTATTATTTTAGAGAAGGATAACATGCTTTATGTTTAAAACATTATGCAAATGTTCTGTGGTAACAATTTACTAAAATATTTTTACATTATTAGAACATAAAGACATAATATTCCTGTAATTGTTCAACTCAAAATTCCTGGGTAAGTGGACTGACCACTGTGGTCATTAGGATGATTTTGATAGTTTACTTAACTATTGGAATTTGACTATTAACACGTAAAAGGATGAATTGGAATCAGCTGGTGAAAGTAACATTTGTTTATTAGAAAAGGGGAGCTGGGAGTGGAGGTTGGTTATGGCAGCAGTGGGAAGCAGTTGTTCCAGGGTGGGTGGAGAGGCCTGGCTGGTCTTGGGAGTGTGTAAGGCCTTGGATTCCTCCTGGGAGAGACATAAAAATGAGTGTGAGGCAAAAGCAGGCAAAGTTGTCAAAGAATATGCTGGCAAAAAGCTAGAGCGGCACGCAACAAACCGTTCACGGCAACAATCCGGCAGGGAATGAGTGCAGGCTGCAGGCTTTCATAGTGTGGCTGATGAGCAGGTTGCAGGTGTGGTTGATTGGAGATTGCTCCCAGCCGTGTCGAGCAGACCAGCAGGCAGAGAGAGAGACACACAGTAGAAACACATACAAACACTAACAGGGGTTTCAGGGACGGGCAGTGATAGTCGGTCCGTTCTTCTATATGTCTGTCTTTGGTTTTCTAAGTGTTATTCGATCCATATGACAATAGAGATATGTGCATAAACAACAAAAACACTTGGGGTATAATGTTCGAACAATGTTATCAAAAACATCTTAAGGTTATCACCAAACATTTCAAGAATATTTTTAAAGAACGTTATCCTACCTTTCAGAAGAACATTCTGGGAACCAAAATAAAACGTCCCGCTGAAAACATTCCTAGAACAACGAATGGTAACAAACATTTCTAGCTGGGAACTCACACATGCCACCGCAAACATGCAATATCTGCTTACAGCTTATCATGAATTACGTGCTTGTTTGTTTTTTTCAAAAGGAAAATATGGTGACATCAGATTTTTTTTTTTTCACAGGAACGTTTTATAAAAAAAATAATAACCTCCTGAAAACATAATCCAAATGTTGCTTTCAAAATGTTCTTCTTTGGTTATCATGTAACATTGAGGGAATGTTTTATAAAGAACATCTTTAATGTGTTACCCAACAACGTCCAAAACACATCCTTAGAATGTTGCAGGCAAAACGTTCCACCTTTGTTAACATATCACATTAAAGGAACGTTTTATAAAACACTTTCTGTCATCTCAGGCCTCAACAACATCCTCAAAACATCCTCTGAATGTTGCAGTTAAAACGTTATGTCTTAGTTAACCTTAAACCTTATAGGAACATTATTTGAAATAATAAAAATCCTAAAAAGGTTCTTTGAACATCAGATTAAAACGTTTCTTTAAAACCTTATTAGAACCTGTAGGTAATGTTAGCCAAAGTTGTGAGAACGTGTGTCTGTCGGTCTCAAATCTAAAGGGTGCAATAACGATTTTTATCCAATATGCATAAACAGCGGACACTGTTTATAAGCAGCCCTCACAAACCACACACGGCCAGATAGCTTATCCAACAGTTAGAACCTACATACGAGACACAACCTTTATAGTCAGAAAAAAGTGTGATTATTTTCGGATATTTTACACATATTATATTATGGATACTGTGGGCCTACATACCATAGTGTGATTATAAGTGCATGTGAGTGAATATTGGCATGCATAAATTCGTTTTTATACGTCCTATTCATTGTCTCAATGCGCTCATACATCTTAAGAAAGCTATCACCAAAAATGTTAAGAATGTTTTTAGAGAACGTTATCCTACCTTTCAGAAGAACATTCTGGGAACCAAACTAAAACGTCCCGCTGAAAACGTTTTAAGAACAGTAGGACATAATGTTCTAACAATGTTATTAAAAACATCTTACGAAGGTTATCAAAAACATCTTAAGAAAGCTATCACCAAACATTTCAAGAATGTTTTTAAAGAACGTTATCCTACCTTTCAGAAGAACATTCTGGGAACCAAAATAAAACCTCTCGATGAAACCATTCCTAGAACAACGAATGGTAACAAAAATGTCTAGCTGGGAACTCACACATGCCACCGCAAACATGCAATATCTGCTTACAGCTTATCATGAATTACGTGCTTGTTTGTTTTTTTCAAAAGGAAAATATGGTGACATCAGATTTCTTTTAAAACATTCTTTTCAAACAAATGCAACAAGTTTGTTTTTTAAAGCGCTCTAGAAATAAATCTGATCATGACCGTGTTAATATTTGCCATAACAGGAACGTTTTATAAAAAAAAGAATAACATCCTGAAAACATTTTCAGAATGTTGCTTTGAGAATGTTCTTCTTTGGTTATCATGTAACATTGAGGGAATGTTTTATAAAGAACATCTTTAATGTGTTACCCAACAACGTCCAAAACACATCCTTAGAATGTTGCAGGCAAAACGTTCCACCTTTGTTAACATATCACATTAAAGGAACGTTTTATAAAAAAACTTTCTGTCATCTCAGGCCTCAATAACATCCTCAAAACATCCTCTGAATGTTGCAGTTAAAACGTTATGTCTTAGTTAACCTTAAACCTTATAGGAACATTATTTGAAAAAATAAACATCCTAAAAAGGTTCTTTGAACATCAGATTAAAACGTTTCTTTAAAACCTTATTAGAACCAATAGGTAACGTTAGCCAAAGTTGTGAGAACGTTCCCCGCTAGCTGGGGGACCTCATCCCAAATATGGTATGTTAATCTCTGCTTTTAACCTATAATACAATATCGGCCAATGTGTATGATAAACTCACGTCTGCACAGCTTTGCAGTCGCTAAGAAATGCTATATGTGAATATTTGCTTCACGATTGTAAAGGCAATTTAGGTGTTCCTATATCCTATTTGTATACTGTTATCGTCTGTAGCTGTTAGCATCTGCCTTGTCTGGTAAGAACAGACCCTGTGCAGCTAATAAACTCGAACAAGTGTTCAAAATAATACTGCATGAAGAATCTAAACAAAATAATATAACATCCCAATCATTTTCATATATAGATCCTACACAATACTGTATTGTACTGTCGTTTTGATAAAATAACGTTTAAAATATCTGTGTATGGCAAATATGTGCTTTTGCATTTTGTGATACAACGCGTATGAGTGCACAAAATGTCTTCTTATTTTAACTTCTCTCTTTCAGAATTCAACAATCCTCCAAAGCAGAAAAGGCCCCCCAGGTCCCACAGTCCAGGTCGTCCCCTCATCGAGTCATTATACCAGCCAGTTTACATGGGGTCACATCCACACCACAATGCACCCCAGCATCAACCAGGCTACAACAGGGATCCCCATTTTATGGCAGGACAAAAGACAAGTAAGAAAGGTTTAAATTGTACCATTGTACTCGCAGAGGTCGAACAGCACACCACCAATCTTAATCAATATCGTAGCTCTTTAAAACATCTGCCATCAGAATCTTTTAGAAGATGCTAGTGCAGGTCCATTTCAAAGTGGGAAACTTTACAGTTGAATATGGATTGAGAAAGAATAGTGAAGCCAATCATGTTCAACTTTGTTGCAGATATTAACCCTGGCATTTTAGGTGAGTTGGTTTATGGTTCTAGTCAGAGCGGAGCACGACTCATGACATTTCCCTGTGTTTGACTTTTATATTTGCTGTTGTAATTTATTGTCTTCTGTTTGCGATCGCAGTAATGTGTTTTTTTATTTGCAAATACAGCACTTTGGCTCGACCAAAAATCGTTTTTAAAATGTGCTATATAAATAAAACCTGATTTGCTTTGATTTGATGGTGGAACAAAAAATCCAAGAAAATCAAATAAATGATGCGACTCTTACTCGATTTCAAGATATTCCTCAAATTGGTGCTAATCGTTTGGTGGTGCGGTACTGGGGTAAAAGTTGAATTCTGCATTTAAAAAAAGATTATAATTACACTATCTAATGTGTTCTCCAGGTCGTCCCCTCATCGAGCCATTATACCTGCCAGTTCACATGGGGTTTCAACCAGGCTACAACAGGGATTCCGATTTTATGGCAGCACAAAAGACAAGTAAGAAAGGTTTAAATTGTACTCGCAGAGGTCGAACAGCATACCACCAATCTTAATGAATATCGTAGCTCTTTAAAACATCTGCCATCGGAATCTTTTAGAAGATGCTAGTGCAGGTCCATTTCTAAGTGGGAAACTTTACAGTTGAATATGGATTGAGAAAGAATAGTGAAGCCAATCATGTTCAACTTTGTTGCAGATATTAACCCTGGCATTTTAGGTGAGTTGGTTTATGGTGGAACCAAAAATCAAGAAAATCAAATAAATGATGCGACTCTTACTCGATTTCAAGATATTCCTCAAATTGGTGCTAATCGTTTGGTGGTGCAGTACTGGGGTAAAAGTTGAATTCTGCATTTAAAAAAAGATTATAATTACACTATCTAATGTGTTCTCAGGAGCTTATGGGGGAAATTCACCCTTTGGCCCTGGAACTTACAAGGAATCAGGTATGTTCAACTATCGCAGTGTTTCTCAAAGTGGGGGGCGCGCAGAGGCATGACAGGGGGGGCGCGAGAGACCAGGAGGAAAAATGGTTTTGAAAAAAAAGAAATCATAATTAGAAAAATTATTGATTCGAAAATAATATGATACAGTACAGTACAAGTACGTCTGGGTCTCTGTGTTTCATTCAAGCTCGGCTCTGTGTGTGTATGGAACGAGCCATTTTGTGTGCGTGCGCGAGCGAGAGAGAGAGAGAGCGCACCGGTACCGGAGATCGTTGTTGTTAGCTTCTGGTGCTAGCGAGCTAGTGCCCGGGTCTCAAACGTTTTGGTCACGATTAATGTAAACAATTATTTCCGAGGCACGCGTTTATATGATCATTATAGTTATAAAAAAACAAGAGAATAAATGAAAAACAGGTATGAAATACTATATGACAGTAAAAAAATAATAAAGTTTAAAAGGGGAGTGATTTGTAAAATATCCATAAAGAAAAAGTAAATCTGTTTACAGTTCTGTTTCAAATGGTGTTGAGAGAGGTATCCATAGATCTCTTCATGTTGCTCTCAAAGTGCACCAGATTGATGCTTTTCACTTCAATATTTAAAAAAAAATCTTCCCGGGGGAACATGCCCCCGGACCCTCCTATGTTAGGTCCACTCCCCACTTATAAAAATAGCACTTTACCCCTGCTTACACCTATGCCATGAGCTGATTATCGAGCCCATTGTAACAGTCGCGGGTACATTGTGTATATGCGTGGGGAGTGTTGCAGTAGAAAATTCCACTGTAGCGCCCGGTACATTAATGGGAAACCCTAAATGTTTGAGCACCCTCTATGAAACGTCAAGCTACCCCACAGCACCCCCAAAAGAAATCTCTGGCGCCGCCACTGAGCCTGCAACCCCGTTTTGAAGAAATGTGCAGTGCAACACAGGCTCATTGCAGCCACTAATGATGAGACACACTTTTTTGCCAAATATCAGCATTTTCTTTCTTTACATTTTTTTGCACAGATTGCAAAGTGGCAAAGTATTATAACTTATTGTTCTAGCAAAGGACAATTGTATTATGTATTTTTTTTTTTTGACAACACAGACTTATGGAGCATTGTTTTATTATCACTGTTCTAGCAAAGGAATGCTCACGTTCATATTGATGTATTTTAATAAATGTTAACTTGGCCTATTACGTGACTATTTGTGTTGGGGGGGGCCCGACTTTTTTTTTTCTCCAAAGGGGCGTCCTGACAGAAAAAGTTTGAGAACCACTGAACTATCACAAGGTGAATTAATTTTAGTGATCTCATTTCTAAGTCTCATCCAAAACAATTATATAGTTTTGTTAATGACTCAAATACAAGATCAGCTTTCTAAATAACAATTTTTTTCTATATTGAGAAAACATTTCTCTCTGACACACTTAAAAAAGAAAGAGCGGTTTGAACAATAAAGCATGTAAACATGTCTCAGTATTGTTGTAACTTTTTCTGTCAGGCCCCCCCCTTTGGAGAAAAAAAAAAGTCGGGCCCCCCCAACACAAATAGTCACGTAATGGGCCAAGTTAACATTTATTAAAATACATCAATATGAACGTGAGCATTCCTTTCAAAAAAATAAAAAAATCACTTCGCTAGAACAGTGATAATAAAACAATGCTCCATAAGTCTGTGTGGTCAAAAAAATAAATACATAATACAATTGTCCTTTGCTAGAACAATAAGTTATAATACTTTGCCACTTTGCAATCTGTGCAAAAAAATGTAAAGAAAGAAAATGCTGATATTTGGCAAAAAAGTGTGTCTCATCATTAGTGGCTGCAATGAGCCTGTGTTGCACTGCACATTTCTTCAAAACGGGGTTGCAGGCTCAGTGGTGGCGCCAGAGATTTATTTTGGGGGTGCTGTGGGGTAGCTTGACGTTTCATAGAGGGTGCTCAAACATTTAGGGTTTCCCATTAATGTACCGGGCGCTACAGTGGAATGTTCTACTGCAACAATCCCCACGCATATACACTATGGCTGCGTTTCACTTCTCTTATTTTTCATTTCCTCGCTCCTCGGTCTCGGTCTCACCGGAAGTTGATTTGTCTGCGCCATTTTGAGTAACGTCCCAATGGCCTTATTTTTGCCGGAGGACCGAGGATCGAGGAGCGAGGAGCGACAATAGAGGAGCAATAATCGAGGAACCACCAGACCATCCTTCGATGAAATCCTCAGCGACTCGCCCCGCCCCCTTACTGTGTATCGCTCACTGATTGGACGGTGCAGCGCATGCACTGATCTGATGCTTCTTGACAGGAGAGCAGAGTTTCCCAGCGGAGTGAAGAAAACACATGAAACTCACGGGACTCACTCCTCAGTTTATACTGTGTTTTGTTTCAATGAATGCATCATTTAGTTACAAATATGTGATATATCTGAACAAAAAAGTGGACAAAAATCATTTCATTCATTTATTGGAAACATTTTCGTGATCGCTTTTTTCGTTTTACATTTTCATTTATTGTCATTTCCATTCAGTCAGTCATTAAGTGCTATTTAACATGTTAATTTGCTACATATCCACACAAAGTGTGCAATCCAGTTAATGTTAATCTAACTGGGTTTTGATAGATAACATATCTCTTTTTCTTCTCACAATTATTTTATTTATATTGTGCACTGTAATCAATATTAACCAAACTAATAGTTCGTTTATACATTTTAAGAATGGCGTTTATGTTTTTTGTGAATTAGTTCTTATTTTATTTTATTTATTTGGGTCTACAACAGATGATACACATGTTTGTGTCAGTAAATGTGTACTAACAGAGGGTGTGTGTGAAAATAACGGGGACAGAGCTGGCTGCTGTCAGACGATCAGCTGTGCAGCGTCATCACAAACGGACGTCGCTTCACGTGACGCTCCGGAGGAAAGGACGTCCCATTGCCCTTAAAACTCATTTCCCTGCTTCTCGTGGTTTCCTTGCGTCTCTCCATGCTTCCCTGGTGGGAGGGACTAAACGCAGGGAAACGACGCAAGTAAGGGACGCAAGGAATCCATTTAACCGAAGTGAAACGCAGGCTGCGTTTCACTTCGGTTAAATGTTGTTATTTTCCCAAACACCCCCGCCTCTGTTAGTACACATTTACTGACACAAACATTTGTATCATCTGTTGTAGACCCAAATACATTAAATAAAATAAGAACTCATTCTCAAAAAAGATAAACGCCATTCTTAAAATGTATAAACGAACAATAGTTGGATTAATATTGATTAGAGTGCACAATAGAAATAAAATAATTCAGAGAAGAAAAAGAGAAAACCCAGTTAGATTAACATTCATTGGATTGCACACTTTGTTTGTTTGTGTGGATATGTAGCAAATTAACATTTTAAATAGCACTTAATGACTGACTGAATGGAAATGACAATAAATGAAAATGTAAAACGAAAAAAGCGATCATGAAAATGTTTCCAAAAAATGAATAAAATGATTTTTGACCACTTGTTCAGATATATCACATATTTGTAACTAAATTATGCATTAATTTAAACAAAACACAGTATAAACTGAGGAGTGAGTCCCGTGAGGTTTCTTCACTCCGCTGGGAAACTCTGCTCTCATGTCAAGAAGCAACAGATCAGTGCATGCGCTGCATCGTCCAATCAGTGAGCGATACACAGTAAGGGGGCGGGGCGAGCGTCTGAGGATTTCATCGAAGGATGGTCTGGTGGTTCCTCGATTATAGCTCCTCCATTATCGCTCCTCGCTCCTCGATCCTCGGTCCTCCGGCAAAAATAAGGCCATTGGGACGCTACTCAAGATGGCGCAGACAAATCAACTTCCGGTGAGACCGAGACCGAGGAGCGAGGAAATGAAAAATAAGAGAAGTGAAACGCAGCCAGTGTACCTGCGACTGTTACAATGAAGGCTCGATAATCAGCTCATGGCACATAGGTGTAAGCAGGGGTAAAGTGCTATTTTGTGGGGAGTGGACCTAACATTTTTTTTTAAATATTGAAGTTAAAAGCATTAATCTGGTGCACTTTGAGAGCAAAATGAAGAGATCTATGGATACATCTCTCAACATCCATTTGAAACAGAACTGTAAACAGATTTACTTTTTCTTTATGGATATTTTACAAATCACTCCCCTTTTAAACTTTATTATTTTTTTACTGTCATATAGTATTTCGTACCTGTTTTTCATTTATTCTCTTATTTTTTTATAACTATAATGATCATATAAACACGTGCCTCAGAAATAATTGTTTACATTAATCGTGACCAAACCGTTTGAGACCCGGCCACTAGCTCACTAGCACCAGAAGCTAACAACAACGATCTCCGGTACCGGTGCGCTCTCTCTCTCTCTCGCTCGCGCACGCACACAAAATGGCCCGTTCCATACACACACAGAGCCGAGCTTGAATGAAACACAGAGACCCAGACATACTTGTACTGTACTGTATCATATTATTTTCGAATCAATAATCTTTCTAATTATGATTTTTTTTTTTTTTTTTTTTTCAAAACCATTTTTCCTCCATGCCTGTCACGCCCCCCACTTTGAAAAACACTGCAGTCGAGGCACAAAATACACATTTTAAACTGAAAATGAGCATAATAAGACCCCTTTTTAAGATAAGACTTTAAAAAAATGGATCACCAGAATTAATTGTTCTCACTTGCCTTATGATGTATGTTTTTTTTTTAAACAAGGAGCTTTTAAGAACACATGAGGATTGCGTCATGGCTCTAGTATATAGTATAACATGTTCCTTTTCTTTTGTTTCTCCCTCTCTCAGAGCCGCAACGGACAGGTCCAGGTTCTCAACACAAAGCAGGCCCAAAGGAGAAGTCTGAAAGTAAGAAAGTGTCTATATTTGGTCCCACATATGGATAACACTCAAGTTTATTCGCAACAAATTCTACCTTTTTATGAAAGTTATAATATTCCGTTTTTTTAAGGAGGTGTTGATTCAACTTAACGTCATTTTGGATGTGGTAGTTTTGGTGCTATTGAACTCTTAATGTGTCCTACTGAGACCTGTTATTAATATTTTGTCCACCCCATTTATATCAATGAGAGAAAACGTGTGTGATGTGCTTGTACTTGTTTGTTGTTTAGTGTAAGAAGTATGTTTTAATTGTGCATGTTGATTTGCAATTGAATAAGACTTAAAGGGATAGTTTTGAAGTGAAGGCAAGTTTTATTTCTCTATAGTCAGTACGTAACATACAGTAGATGGCTGTTGGCACGTCCCCAGCTTCGAGACAGACACGTTTTATTTATTTTTTAGATGGCTAAAATAGATTTCGCTGCTGCCACTGTCCACAGCAGTTCAATATACTGTATGTTTCTTCAGACTGGGGTGTTCTGACCTTTTTCTCCTGTACCTTTTATACAAACCCTGTTTCAAAACATCAGAAATATCCCTTTGACAGCTCTTCAGAATGATTACTGCAGTTAAATAACAAATGTACTATCTTTTTTTATCTTCAGAACCAAAACCTCTCAAAGCTGCAAAAGACAATATTGGACAAAAGAATGAAGAACGCTCAACAGAAAACCTCTTGGATTTAGGTGGGATAATCCAACCCAGAAGCAGTACTCCTCCACCTTATTTTAATAAACCAGGTAGAAGCCATTCAATAAAAGAGTACTCCACTGATTTACTATGACAACATATTTTGGAGTAAGAAAAACTCAAATCGATTCAGCTGCACCAGATGATTTTATTCTACAAATGTTCTCAAAACCTTCCACCTAAATTGCAAACAGGAAATTAGCCAGTCTGCCTTCTTTTTTTAAACGTGTCCACCTATGCATTCACTAGTCGTCCTCAACACCTGTGAACAGACCTAAATGGTAATCGTTGGAGATGCCATTTTTTAAGATGCTCTTTTCAATTGTTTTCTTTGTTTTGTTCCCTTAGCCTGAAGACAAATTAATTTGGTGTCTTCTGTTGCAGAAATGTCGGACATTCCACCAAGCATAACATCTGCTGAAAAAAGAACCGAACTTTTGAAATGTAAGTGTATGATTGTTGGAGGCATCATCCCCTATTATAGTATCAACAAAGTTTGTTGTGAAAATGTTGATTTTTGTCCCTACCAGATGGTACAGTTCTCACTTTGGATCCAAAGACGGCCCACAAACGCATCGCTCTGAGTGAGGGCTTCACTAAGGCCTCGGTGTCAGATGAACACACAGACTATCCCGACTGCCCTGAACGCTTCTCGGTCTGCTCCCAGGTGCTCGCCTCCCAGAGTTTCTCTCGAGGCCGCCACTACTGGGAAGTGCGACTGAGCTGCAACAACTTCATTGGCGTAGGCTTGGCTTACAGAAGCATTGACCGCAAAGGTCCCACCAGTCGACTGGGCCGCAACGACCACTCCTGGTGTATCGAGTGGTTCAATGTCAAGCTGTCCGCTTGGCACAACAGCAATGAGACCGTGCTGGTCAATCTCAATCCAGAGCGCGTAGGCGTGCTGTTGGATTGTGACGAGGGCACTGCTACGTTCTATAACGTGGCAGACAGGGCGTATCCCTTCCACACCTTTGTGTTCCCCTTTGCCCAAGCTGTGTGTCCAGCTTTCTGGATTTTCTCAAGTGGCTCGTCCATTTCTGTGTGCAAGCTTCAGGCATGAGGAGCATATGCACAGAATTGGCATGCGGGCACACTCGTAATACACAGCCTTTTCTTCTAAATACACTCATAATAATGGAATATAATACACTGCTTTGTTCACTTATTAAGACATTCCCTGTTAACCCACCTCCAGCTAACATTTAGTCAAAATCAATGTTGCCTTTTTGAAGTTGAAGTTGCAACTAAATGGTTCTTTGTGCTGTTGGAGTGTGTCAGGTGAAACTTGATTATCCCCACTATTAGTGCTCGCTGATTTAGCTTGGCTTTAACAAAGAAAATGAAGGAATAACTCAAATGTGTTTGTCTGAAAATGTCAGCACACAGTCCTTATCTTCTAAACTTAAATGGACTCGGATGCAAACGATAGCGCCATCGCTGTTGTCGTTAGCTATGCTAGCTGTGATTTACAGCAGCTGAATTTTTGGTTGTGACCAAAAACGATTAAGACGGCTTTTCTAAACACGTAAAAAGCAACATGCTTTGTGTTTTCCAGTCTATAAACTGCATCCCAGGCGGTTTGAACACACCTGAGCATCAATATGACTTCTGTTATTAGGATTATAAGAAGAACGCGCACTGTACTCTTACCGTACAGCATGTGTGTGCTAGTCTTTCTCCTGTATTGTGACTGTGACTGGATAAAGAAGTGAATTATTACGTCACGCTCCAGCATGTGTCAGTACAGTGTTTTCATATGTCCGCATGTGGAAAATGTACGATCGTTTTGGAGTGCATTGAAGTGAAGCTCTTAAGGTTATAGGGCTGGGCGATATGGCAAAACATTTGATCAAGTTATTTGTTTTTCATTCTGATGACCTTTAAAAGATTTCTTACAGTCTCTAAATCGTTTTACCTTTTGATCCAAAATCAATAATCAACCATCCGTGTTTAATGGCTTGTGCATTTCAGACTACTTTAAAAAAAATGCTAATAATTATGATAGAGATTAAGTTGAACATTTAAAATAAAAAGCTCAGAAATTGAAAAAAAAACGCCAATGTTCTTTGATACTATACAGGTATACATTTGCAAAAGAAACTGAATTGTTCCCGCAAGTTAATGCCTCTTATAATATGAGAATATTGGAGGGTTTTTTCTCATGATTGTTCAGTTTTTATATTAAAACCCTTCTCCCTAACTTTCAATTGCTAATTTACGCCACTGTAAGGTTGCAAGTTGATTGGTTAGAACATAATTAGTTTCTGCGATGTGATTGGCTGTTCCATGTGCGAGAGCAGAGTACAATGCAGTAGACTTTCGCAGTAGTTGGCATTAGCGGTGTTACAGTGTTTTTACAAATGCTGATTAAATGATGTGCCCGACAGCCATTCAACATAAAAGTATCAGAATCTTCAACAATCTTTTCTTGTTATATCTCCGGTGTAGTCAATAACACAGGTTATGTCTCCAGTTTATTAACCGGTGGAAAAGGTTTCCTCAACCGTGGCATCGCTTCCCTACTGACCATGTATTGACATTTTGTTTATCAAGAAAAGTGCATATATCGTTATCGCCCAGCTCTAAAGCGTCACTTCCTCAACTCTCTGACTTTTTTTCGGCTGATGTGAATTAAAGTCAAATAGACAAGTTCCATCAAGTTTTGATGAATCTTTCCTTTTGATTGTTTTTATGGGATTTTACCTTTTATTGGTGACGTGAGAGGAAATAATTGAGGGAAAGGAAACGGGTGTCGTTCTTGCATCCTTTACTCCATAGATGTACATTGATATACATTTCACATCTATGGTGGGCACATTAAACTAACAAGCCATCAGCCTGGTCTGTTGGCTTTGTGTAAGGTGGTATGAAGCTAGTTAGCTGTATAGTTTCACAGGGGTTAATTATTTGTTGTGTGATACAAAGTTTACCCCGGCTTGTAAGATGATGATGTCCCGCGATGGTGCTCATCTTGCAGGTGCTAAATCGTGTGAAACAACAAACTGTATGGGTGTCTAGCAGTAGAGATCTGTCTACACAACATGCGGTGGTACGTTCACGGTGAACTTAGCCGTTTGAACACAGTTCTCTGTTCTAATAAGCTCACAGGTTTTAGCGGTTCAGAAAAAAAAAAAAAAAAATGTCTTGATGATTTTGCTGAAAAGCTGGTAAAGGTTTGGACGTGATCTCAGTTTTGAGTCTTAATGGTTGGATAAGTTCAAATATCTCAGATTCGTTTCAGGCAATGCACTTCAGGTACAGTGTTATTATTAGGCTCCATGCTATTGTGTGAAGGAACAGTACATCATTGCATGTAAAGTCTGAACCTGTATAATGAAATCTGCTGTTTTCTGTTAACACAAGTCAACACAATGAAGAGCTGTGGTTTGGGACACAGCTCCGCAGACTCCTGTGACGTGATGATCATTTTGTTTGTTTGCCGTGCATTTACTGAAACTGTGTTCATTGTTCTTAGCATCATATATGGTCAAGGGTTGTATAACACTTGAACTGTCAAACCAAACCAACCTTTGTGTAATGCTTAATGTACGGTGGTTGTTTTCAGGTGTTTGCCATTATCTTAAAATTCCAGTGATTATGGCTCTTTTACATTAAATCAATCTCTAAATAAATAAACCAATGCTTCTTATTAATAAAGTGTGCTCTATCAAAAACGTTTCTTTTCTTTTTGCGAAGACACTGGTGGTTAAAAGAGCACTAGATTTTGGGAAATTCTCCCTTTGTTATTTCTTACCAATAAGTGATAGAATCGATATCTACAGACATCTGTGGGCCGTTCAGATGCAGAGAGATTACATTTATATATTGTCCTCACGGGAAACTTGAAAACTATATTTGATCCTCAAAATGTCAGTGTTACTCTTAATCTGATGAACATTTGGGAATCACATTAAACATGCTTTTCCTGCTCGTTCTCATCTATTCAGAAGTAGAGGCATCACGCAGCTAGCAACTAGTTGCAATTCAGCCTAATGAAAAGCCATTTTTAAAAGCAATATACATTTTTTTCTTTGCATCATTGGCTTGCAATAACATTGTAACAATGCCATGGCCATTCAAAGAAACTCTAGCGCCTTCAAATCATATATTAGGATACCTGAAATAGTGTACCATATAGTAAAACCCTCTTTAATGTCATTTAAATGAGCCATTGATGCCCTAATGTCTTATAAAATTGGTGCTAGATTTGCTATCAATAACATCTCAGGTGACTTACTGTATTGATTTATTTGAGAGACTTTCAGACACACACATCCCACTTAGAATTAGTTTGATTCATGAAACATAGCCGCCTACGCTAAGGCTGAAATAGGGTTACATTTGGTTGAAAAGTTGTGTTTGAATAGTAAACAGATGTCACGCCCATCCATTCATTAGGACTTGTATGTATTTTTTTAAATGGCTTGAAATCAACGGCTATTACCTTTATATATATTTGTGGTGTTTGCAATTAAACTGGAGGGGAAAAAAATCAGGTTTCCTCCCAAATCAAAAAGATATGCCTGCTCAGTACAACATTCTCCTTGTTTATTTGGTCAGTGCTCTGCGCTACTAAAGTCTGATTTTAGAGGTGATTATATGTCACATCATTCATCCAGATCTGTAAAATAACTAAAGGTATTAAATATAGTGGGCTAAAAGTCCATTTAACCTCTGAATTGGAGTGGGGTAGATTTACGACTTCAGTTGTGCATCTTAATTACAGTTTACATTATGTATTAATCACGTTATAATCATTTCTGTGGGCTTAAAGTGGTCTGAGAGAGAGAGAGAGAGAGAGAGAGAGAGAGATTTGCTTCGTCAGAAGTCATGAGTTTCTCCCTCTTATCAGAGAGATAACACACACTATATTGCCTGAATGTTTCCCAGAGAGCTTAGTTAGCTGCACCAGCGGAGAAGGTATGTTGGGGTAAATGTAGTGTATAGACATACGACCTGTTAAGATACATATTATGTGTTTCTTGGTTTACACATTTATTTCTATAACAGGAATATTGTGAGATGATCGATTGTATGTTGAGAGTTGTTTGAGCAGTGAAAGCTTGATGTTTTTTTACAATGTTACAACTTTAAAGATATATATAGGTTGTAATTGTTTTATTTGTATACATATAATGTGTGTTTTTTATATTTTGAAAAATCTTCTTACATTTGGAATATATATAGGCTATATATATTTTTATGTCAGATTATTTAAATAAATAATAATTATGTTGATGAATCTGTTGTTGGAAGGGCCCCCTGGAAATGTTTGCATAGACAGACTGTAGAAACGCCACTAAGAACATCATGTTGGTGTGGAAAAAACTCTATTAGGCCACTTGGTTTTCCTGAAATAGAAAAGTTAAGTTTCGTTTCTCCCTCGCAGCTCAGAGCCCAGCCCACTGGAGTTTCATGATGGCGGCGATGGACCAGAGTCCGTTTTCTCTGTTGAGTCTGGAGGAAGAGCTGAGCTGCAGCATCTGTCTGTGTCCCTTTGACTGCCCGGTGACCATCCCCTGCGGACACAACTTCTGCCAGGACTGCCTCCTCGCCAGCTGGAAGGACTCTTACAGCTGTCCTCAGTGTCGGACCCACTTCCCCACCAAACCGGAGCTGAAGAAAAACACGGTCCTCAGCACCCTCGTGGAGACCTTCAACCTGCGGACGACCAAGAGCGAGGCCGACCTGGGGACAGCAGAGGACAGCCAAGCGGAGAGCCAGGATGTCATACGCTGTGATACATGTATGGAAGCAGAAGCGGCGCAGACCTGCCTCACCTGCATGGCCTCTTTCTGCGAGGAGCACCTGCGGCCTCACCGGGAAAACCCAAGATTTAGAGTCCACCAGCTGAGTGAGCCTGTCGGCGACCTGTCCGAGCGCATCTGCCCGGACCACCACAAGCTGATGGAGCTCTTCTGCAGCCAGCATTGCCGTCCCATCTGCAGCCTCTGCCTCCAGCTGGTCCACAAAGGCTGCTCCTTTATGTCCCCGGAGGAGCAGAGGAACCTGAAAGAGGTGTGTGTGTTTGTGTGTGTGTGTGTGTGTGTGTGTGTGTGTGGTATTCCCCTGATTGCTAATTGGGCTTATGAAAGGAATATTTAAGGAATATATATATAGATAAGATATCTATATAGATATATATATATTTAAACCCACACAATGTTAGCTTATAGCTAAGGATAAAGACAGACGGACTCAGCCAGCCTGGCCACAAAGACAGAAATAGAGTATTAAAAAGAACAAAATGATTGGTAAACAACTTGTTTCAAAATAAATTATGCAAGAATGAACTATAAAAAAAGCAGTTAAAGTGACAGGTAATAAGGTAAAGGTCCAAGACACATTTTACATTCTATAATAGAACCTGTTAATAAGTTAGCGATATGTGCTGATAAGCTGAGTTTGTTTGTCCTCTTAGCCAGGTTAGCTGCTCCTCCTTTTTCCTGTCTATGTGCTAAGCTAGCTACACATACCGTACAGTCAAAGGAGTTAAATAATCAGTCTCTATAACACATTATATTCTAAAGACTCAGTAGTTAACTAAATAAAGGATACAAGAAAGAAAACAATAACGTATGTTATAGACTTCGTAGACTTTTGTAACAACAAATACATAAAACCGGACATAAGATTTAATTATTGTTTTGTTCCTTGTCTCTCCTTTATTTGGCTCTTATAGAAGTGTGTTTTTATGGAGCGGAGTAAGGAAAGCTCTTAGGATGATACTCTACTGCCCCTTTTTTATATCTGTATTACAATCAGATTTCCTCTACCTTTTAATGTTAGTACTTCTGTTATATTCTTTTTTTCCCTATATTTTGATTAGGATCTTCAATTCTTTAAAATTATTTGTTTCTACTTTCTTATTATTTTCATCATTGTCTGGGATTTGTTGCCTTTTTTCTCACATACAAATAAGAGAATATGAGACTTGCATTATGGCTTTTTTTGTCTTTTTTTTTTTTAAGTATATCAAAAGATTAGTTTGTTTCTTTTGAGGGAAAAAAATATGTGTATGTACGAAATTGGTCATTAGAGTAAAATATCCAGCTGTGTGGAAGCAAGCTCTGGTATCGCCCCTCTTGAAAGCTGGTGATCCCACGGAGTTGAATAACTATCGTCCTATCTCAAATCTTTCTGTGTTATCAAAGATTCTTGAGTCCCTTGTTTCTACTCAGCTAAAACTTTTTTTAAATTCACACAACATCCTTAACCCTATGCAATCTGGATTCAGATCAAAGCACAGTACTGTGACTGCCAGTCTGAAAGTCTTAGACGATATTAAGGCTGCTTTGGATAAGAAATCAGTTTGTGTTGCATTGTTTATTGACCTAGCCAAAGCATTTGACACTGTAGATCACCACATTATGTCTAATGTTATGTTTGTGTCTCGTTTCGGTCATAATGCCATTTGCTGGTTTTAGAGTTATCAAACCGACCGTACTCAATGCGTCAGGTTGGGTAGTACTGTCTCTGACCCTGTCACCTTGGAGAAGGGAGTTCCACAGGGCTCTATTTTGGGGCCCTTGCTCTTTTTATTATATGTAAACAATATTTGTAATCAGATGCAATTTTCTACCTATCATATGTATGCTGATGACACTATTGTATACTCGTGTGCTCCTTCTCTGGATATGGCCGTTTCCAATTTAAAATCAGATTGTATCACGCTGCAGCATGCACTTCTTGATTCCAAACTGCTATTGAACAGTAAGAAAACCAAAGCAATGCTTTTTGCTCCCAAGTCAGCGTCCTCCTCTTGCCTCTCCATTGACACCCTTGATGGCGTTTCTGTTGAGTTTGTTGATACCTACAAATATCTGGGCTTTTGGTTGGACAGTAATCTGAACTTTAAACGCCATATTGAAGTTTTAACAAAGAAATTGAAATTCACTCTTGGCTTCCTTTACAGACTTAAATGTTGTTTTTCAACTTCATCCCGTAAAAGGTTGGTCTCTGGCTTATTCCTGTCCCAGCTGGACTACGGTGATACAATCTATAGATTTGCCTGTCCCACTGTTTTGGCCAAACTTGACCCACTCTACCATGCTGCACTGCGTTATATATCAAATGCACCCTATAGGACTCATCATTGCACACTGTATAGCCTAACTGGATGGTCCTCACTTACTATGCGTAGGATGCAGCACTGGTTTGTATTAATGTATAAAGCCATTTTAGGTAAGCTTCCACTCTACATATGTGTCAGATTTGCTCCAGTTTGTAACTCTTACAACCTCAGATCCAGTGCCTGGATACGGTTCCAGGTTCCTACTGTACGGACTGAGGCTAGAAAAAGGAGTCTTTCTTATTATGGTCCTTGGTCTTGGAATGACCTTCAATCAAGCCTAAAACTGATGGCACTTGTCTGAAGTCCTCACCACCAGCTGCTCTTGCAGTAACAAGTAGTGTACTTTTCTTACTGTCCTAATGTGCACAATGTAGTGACTGCTTTTTCGTCTTTTGTTTTCTTAGTTATGTTCTCTGTATTTTATATGTTTGTGTTATGTGTTATGTGTAACGTTGCTGCCTTCTTGGCCAGGTCAGCATTGAAAATGAGATTTTATCTCAATGTTTTTATCTGGTTAAATAAAGGTTAAATAAAAAATTTAAAAAAAAAGATTAAATGAAGGTGACATTTGGTGCTGAAAAAGCCTTCCTTTGAAGCTGTGTACTGAAGCTATGTTTCACATCTGTCTTTGTAGTCCGACCTCAGAGAAAAGTTGGGTTTGCTGAATGGAAAGATTGAGAAAACAGAGACTTTAATGTTTCAGATGAATAACACGCAGAGCAAGCTGAAGGTACTTTTTCAAGTTTGCTAAACAATAGAAATTAACTATTCATTCCTTTACAAATGAAAATTTGCCAATTTGCCTTTTAACTGGTTCCTGTATATATTTATGGTGTTTGTCTAGGATGCAGCCACAAAAAGAAAGACAGCATTGGCAGCTGTGTATCAGCAGATCCGGGATATGTTGGTCCAAGAAGAACAGAACGCCCAACATGAGGTGGACAGCGAGCTGGAGATTGGCCAGACGAAACTTCAGGACCACATGAAGAGGTTGACTGTGAATACTGAGAAGATGACAAAAGCCAGAGAATCCATCAACAATCTGCTGAGTCAATCCCAAACCATGGCCTTTCTACAGGTGAGATTTACAATGTCACAGGAAAACAAATGAGATGGAATATACAAAGAGGGATGACAATTAAAATGTGGAAAGTGCTTTCCATATGTACTTGGCTACACTGCAGCAATGTTGGGGTCAGCTTAAACGATTGGGTGGATCTAGTTGGAATTCCCTATTTGCTGTTGCTCTTTCAAAATCAATTACAGAAAAGGTGGTTCCTCTAGTTTCGTTTTTGATTCATAACTACATTTATTACTAGACACTACTGCTGACTCTCACTGTTATATAACTGGGACACAATGAATCACATTGACCATACACAGTCCAGTTATGTGTCTACCTGTTTAAAGATTGACAGAAAACAAACAAGTACTGAAAAAAGAATCAGCAACAAATTTGAAAAATGGCAAGGAGTATTTTTTTAAAGCAAAAATCACCATGAAGCATCAAATCTTCACAAGTGAAGATTTGATGCTTCTCTCTGTGATATTTAATAGTGAATGAAATATATTTTGGATTGTTTCAAACATGCAGTTTTAATACCTCAGCTTGAAAAACGACATCTAACTAAGATGGAAGGAGTCTCTGTCTCCATGTCTATTCTTTGTTTTTCTCGATAACGGTTCATCCCATAAACTTCACACTAGTGCGGTTTGTACACACCGTGTAGTGCAGCGGTGGCCAACCAGTCAGAGGTTAAGAGCCAAAAATGTTACTATGTTACTGCAAAGAGCCACATCAAACACACAGTCACAGATGCACGTGCACCCCCCCCCCTCCTTCTCTCTTTTGTTCTCAGCCTTTCTCTGTGCTCCTTCACTTTCTTCCTCCCCTCTCTCTCTCACACAGATAAAATGAAAATCTAAAACTTTACACACACACACACACACCCACACACACACTCAAAGACCCTCCCCACACAGAGAGACACACATAGCTCTGCTCAGACAGATTTATTGTAAATGTCACACACCATAATATTGACAGAAATTGAATTAAACCTCTCCTACCAGTATTCAGAGGCCAGTTAACATAACAACATAACAACATAACAATGAACATTGTCAAGGTGTTTATCTTCTGCTTGCGAAGTTCCGTACCTTTTGGGAAGTCCTGGTCGATGTTAGCATGGAGTGAGGTGAAATGGCACTGAAGATTTGAAGCCTTGAAATGGGTTAATGCTGTCTGGCATATAAGGCAAAATGGCTTGCAATTGCGTTCGATAAAAAAATATGAACTCTCCCACTCTACTAAAAACGTCCTATGTTCGTCTTCATATTTTCGCTTAGCTGTGCATTTCTTCCCTGCCATTTTAGGATCAAACTCAGTTCATGGTCAGATAGTGTTTAATCAGCGATAGGTTTTCCCCCACTCAAAGGTGAATGGTTCACTGCATCGCAGGTATTATTGTGATTGGCTCTTGGGCCACATTAAAATTAGATGCGCTGTCATCCTCTCATACTGACACCTGACACCACATATACACACGTAGGGAGAGCCGGGACTAAAGTAACACGGGACGAAAGTAACGGAGCGATTTTATCCGAGCCCAAACAACTTTGACCGGCCAAATTACGTCAGAATTATCAGCATTCAATACTTAACAGACCTACTAAATATCAGGTTTAACTGTCAGGAGTCCGTGTCTCTCCCCCACACTCACACATATAACATTCGATATGAACTGAAGAGCCGCATGCGGCTCGAGAGCCGCGGGTTGGCCACCCCTGGTGTAGTGTATTAAAGGGATCCTTACTAATGCTTGTACATAATTGAGTTATCCACTATAGTCCACTAAATGTATGTGTTATTAAGGTTGCTAAAAAAAAAGAAACCCAAGGAAGCGCAATACTAGAGCCGATGCAATTGGCCCGTTCTGATCATGCATGTTTTGAACGGGCATTGTACCAGTGTTTATAAATACAAAACGTACTTGCATCATCGTGATTGTTAAAAAAAGAGCAATGCATTGTGCTCTACCCTACACCTAAAGCCATGTTTTGAAAGATTTGGGGAAAAACTCATCCATTCATTACTAGTTTTCCCCTTGTTCCTCACAGGCTTCATTTAACTTACCGAAGGCTGTAAAGTTTGACCCTCACATGCCTCAAGTCAACCTGGACTCTAAGAAGGTGACAGCATCACAAGCCTGCTCTGCTGCTCTGAAGCAGCACCTGGCAGAGATCCTCAAACAGCCTGTTGAGGCCCGACTGCTGACATTTAAACCAGGTGAATATACAAGTACATTTTATATTTTGTGTTTTGTGATGTATTATGAAATGATAATTAAGTCAATCCTGTCGAGTTTTGTTCGAGATCAAATTGAAATCGTATTGGTGTTCTGGAATTTGACATTCTGAGTATTAAAAAAACCTGTCCCTTGTGTAATCATTACCACAGAGATGTACTAATGCAGTCCATTTAATGTTCACAGAGCAAAAAGCAGAGACTGTCTCAGGACCTGCAACTAAAAGTACTGGATCTCAGCCGGAAGATAGTATGTTCATCTCTATAATTATACCTATGTTAAAACATCTGTCATGTGTTGGATAAGCACACACACATTTCTGTGCACGTCCTAGCTCTTATTCACATAAAAAAAGACATTTGTGGATATCTTCTAGTCAATACGTGTGTATTGTGCTTACTGAATCTCTGAAGTGTTAATAAACAATAAGGAAAATATTTTAATCCATGACTGTGGGTTCACAAAATGTCTTCTGACCTGTTTCCGAAGTAACCAAGCCTCCAAAGCAGAGAAGAGCGCCGAGGTCCCGCAGTGTGGGTCGTCCACCCATCCAGCCATTACTCATGCCTTTTAATGTGCCCATTAATTCTTTTATGGGCACACACACAGGCTGGCATTGGAATCCTCCATACATGGCAGGACAACAGACAAGTGAGTAAGATACAATCATACACACAATGTTGTTTCACGTTAAAAATTGACATCAATAAAATCTGTTTACTTCACTTTGTCGTCATGTGGGGGCGGCATCAATTACAATAACATTGCGTAGAGACGCACATCGCTCACAAATACGCACAAACAAACAAACAGCAACATCCAAACCTCTTTTGCAAATGTGCATAGTGCACTGCGGCAATAACACAGGTAAACATCAGCATGCATGAGCTTGTGCGTAAAGGCACAAATTAAAAACCAAAAAACATGAGAGCAACAGCATTGCTTGGGCCTCACACTTGGCTAACCGCTGATCACAGCAGCAAACAAGTTCACACCATGCAGAGCGACATTACGCAATAAGCAGCAGAAGATCAAATTAATATGGAAATAGTCTACTCACCGCTTAAGGCCAATACAGCGTGAGACTCTGTTCCTTGTTGTATAAAATCCCCATAACAAACTGTTTTAAGTAGTTCAAACTAGTGGTTTTAAGCCGTTTCCTGATGTCAATTTATTTTTTGAAGGCTCCAAACTCAGAACAGGCGGCCGAGTGTAACGCACATAAACTTTCTTACGTGATGTTCTGAATAGCGTTTGGTCTAAATGTGGGCTCATCGCAAAGTCTATACAGTAATACACGCTATAGATTGTAGCATTAAAGTGCAACATTTAAAACAATATAATTGTAAAACTGATTTTGTTTGCGGGAGAACCTGGCCCTATCATAGACGTGTTATAAATGGTTACACTACAGGAGTTAGTCCATATCCAGCTAGCAGGTAACGCACCTGACACACTTGTCAATGGTAAAACTAAGATAAAGTACTATACAAATATATTATCTGCATTACCGCTGGTTTGTCGCACGTTTACATACATTATACATCCGTGTCAGTACTTCAATACATATTTTCATAACTTAGGTCATAAAACACAAGCACATACCTGAATGAAGCTGCATACTCTTGGCACGGTCTTATAGGTGATACCTTTACCTCTTCTGCGTTCTACCTGTGGGACCCCTGAGCTGCAGTCTGTGCCTTTGTGAACTTTACTCCTTGTAACTATAATTTCACCTAATAAATATTAAAGTTTGCATTGCAAATGGAAATATATTGGAGAATTACACATTTTTAAACACCGAAAAATACAAAGTGCTTTTGCAATATAATGCAGTTTAATGTCCATTACCAGGCAATATATGACTATGGGCCCCACAATATGGTAACAGTATGATAAGAAACTCCAACAAAGAGTAGCTGATAAAACCCAGGACACTGAAACGAAACTATAGAGTGACAGAGACTATACCATTTCCACTGTAATTATATTTCGCTTTTCTATAAAAAATCTCATAATGTCAGTTTATGTTGCATACTTACCGTTTCCCACAGGATTTTGAGAAAATATGGAAAGTGGACCTCTGACTCTCTTGGGGTATCCAAGGGCATGATCCCCAGTAAGGAAACATGTGTACATTTTAAGAAAAAATGTAAAGGACTTTTTCTGACAGTTTTCTGCTCCCCATAATAACTCTTTCTATCTCTAGATTTGCTTTTATTGTATCTGGTTTTTAAACAACATACCTATCACTGTAGCCAGTGGTAAGTCTTTTTATTTTTGACTTGCCATGCTTTCACAATGATTCATATTGGGTGTGGATTTAGTTTCTCTTGCCAATAGTCAACAGTAGTGACTATGTGGTGGCCCAGTATTTATCATGAAGGTGGTGGCACAGTGAACACGTTGATCAGGGTGTTTTTCTTGGATGTTTTCCATGAACATTCCAACATTGCAATGAAACCCGGCCTGGACAACTTGTAGATACAGAAATAATGTGTTATTTCATCCTGACTGTTTAAAGGTCACGCCCACACAGGAGACCAAGTTTGTTAAGACCCCGCCTGAAACTTTACTTTTGTAACATATCACTATCATTATCCAAAGCGACTTACATACTCAATACTGTAGGCAATTTGGGGTGAAGTGTCTTGCCCAGGGACACAACAACATGTTGACTGCAGTGGGGTTTGAACCTGTGACCATCTGATGCCCATACCAAGGCTCTATCCACTGCGCCACACGCCTCCCGTCACTAAGAAACACATGAGTTTCTATTGGCTAGCGCAAGCGGTTGACCAATCACAACAGAGCCGGCCAGCTAACCAATCAGAGCAGACTGGGCTCTGGTTTCAGACAGAGGGTGAAAAGAGGTGCTGCAGCACAGGCAGTATGAGAAGAATAAAGAGCTTTTTGAACATTAAAGCATGGAGACATGTCACAGTAGAAGCAAAACAAATCTAATTATAAAAGCTGAAAGGAGCTTCTACAGTAATTATTATGTGTCACAGATGTCGTACTAGCTTACAGCCCTTGTCATAGATTTGCAAAACCTGAATAGCCTGTGTGTCAAGATTGAGGCTTGAAGAGCAACTACAACAGTTTTCAGTAATAACTACACACGTTGTACTTAAGCTTTAGAGAATTTAGTTCCAGCATGATTTCAGACATTTTCAGTTTGACAAAACTCTCACACTACAAATGAATTAATAAAGAAACCTTTTTTGTATTTTTCTATAGAACAGGACAGAAGGCCGCCACACAATGCACCAGGAGGATATAAGCCAAATATGAAAGGAAACCAGTAAACACAGAAGCCATCAGAGAAATCAACTACAAGTTACACACAGCCTTATCAAAATGACTTCTAATGTGGAGATTATTGATCATCACTTCACATGACAGGGAAGGGCACTATTGTGAGGCTTAAATAAATGGCATACACACACATACACAGAGCCAGCATTTGGTGTTTTTCACTTGGAATAATAATCGTTATAGATAGGTACTGTATATTTTTTAATGAGAATATGTGTATGTGTAAATTATGGAGAATGGTAGCAATTACATTGTAATGAACACCACATTTCAAAGCCATTCAACTCAACCTGTGGTAAAATGTAAATGATATCCCGCTATTACAATGTCAGTGTGAGCTTCTGGCTGCTGGGACATCTAACTAGAGATCATAGCAGCAGTCATTTTTAATACATCCACTTAAAACACAGACACATGTGGCTTATATATGAAAATATTTATGGGAATGTCTTTCAATTCAAAAGATCATTACATTCAGTTCAGTCAAAATCCATTTAACCAAATCCTATTTTTGTAAACAGCTATGATTACATGATTGTTACCAATAAAAGCTTGTTTTCTCCCAAAAACAGTTCCTTTGTGTTCTCATTCCTGTTCAGCAGAGGCCACGTAAGGCTTGCTCTTAAGAATAAATCTTAGTCAAAGTTAAATAAATGGCACATTCTTGTCAGTCTTTTTGACACATATTTGACCGCAGAAAATATAAGTATATTCAAATATATATTCATTATTAACGAAAGCAATTTGTAACACAGAACACAGTGAATTTTTCCTTGATGAATGGATTCTATATAAATACTGCTATATCGGCCAAGATTTAACAAATAATTAACTGAAAGGTTTGAATTGGAAACGTATACAAACATCAGTCATGTCCCTCAACCCATAACAAGAAAACAAGTGAACGTCATTAGCCACGCCAGCAAGCTTGTAAGGTGTAATAGTCAGGATACGCCTGGAAACACGTGTTGGATGGTTTGAAAATGAAAAGAACAGCTTGCAATTGTTAATCCTTTCCCCAAAAATGTCATCGTGGTAGCTGTGTCTTTACATAAGTCAAAAAGGTTACCCTCCACTTTCATCAGACCAAAGCTTCGCCCATCCAGGCGCATTAACTTACACATTTGACACATTATGGCTTTATCAAGTATCAGTGCAAAATATAATTATCAAACTAAAGCCTACTTACACATCTAGCAGACATTGAGCAACATTCAATTAAAGTAATGTTTTTGGCAACCTGAAAACTCTAACTGCAATTTTCTCTCTTTTTGTAACTCAGTTTGGGTCTGTAGCATCTCCCGGGAAAATGTCTCGGTATTTTGCCACTAAGCTAGCACACTAGCTAGGTGCTGCTTTGTCTGTGTGCCATTTGTGCAGGGCAGGGAACATACAGTGGGGGTTATCAGAGCTTTCTATGCTGAAAACAGCTTTCTGCTGCTGCTGAAAACAAGAGTGATGAGATTCAACCAAAACAGGGAGGCGAAAAGCAAACCTATGAACTGAAAGATGCTAATCTTAGGGGAGTTGGTGAAAGTTCTCTGGGTCTGACACTACCAGTGACCCATTTCACTTGGTCATTTTATAAGATAAAAATAGGTATTAGTGCATGTTGAGCTCAAAACCATTGGTGTTAAGGTCTACCTCTGATTAAGGCGGTAAGCTAGCATGTCAGCATGTGCTGTCATACATACAGTAAATATGTATTAGACTGATATTTAGCATGTTAGCGTGCTATCTAACATTAGTCTCCAACTACATCTTAAGATGAGAGAAATGACATTTAGAACTGTTTTCGTAAAGCACATTTTTGACCCGTTAGTGGCTTTAACTAAATACTGAGTACAACACAATCATTAGGATTCATTCTCAGAGGACCAGCAATATCTGTACAAATGTGCATCCAACAATTATCGAGGTATTTAACTCTAAAGAGTGTTCTAAACAGAACTATGCTGCTAGCGTGGCTAAAAACCTGCCAATAAACCCAACATTTAAGCTAATTCAGTGCAACACAACACACACAACTCTGGTAAACATGGATGATAAGGTAAAAGGTTATACAGGTGTCCTTGAGCAATAAGACATTCATCAAACAAATATAGGGTGATGAAACCATGAGGCTTGGTTACCTGCCAAGGAGGTGCATATTGCAAAAGCATAAGCATCACACGGCCAAAAACTGATCCCTGTTCAGCATCATGTGTAGCAAGTTAGCTTCAGGTTAAGAAGAGAGCAGTAACTAACATCATTCAGGCTTTCCTGGTGTGGCTGTAAGCTACAGGCAACTGTTCTGCACCAAACAGGACCACCTCAGATGGTGAAATTAATTTTAGAGCTGCATCAATTCAATGCAAAAGTCAACGTATTATACATTTGATGGAAATAAAATTAATGACCAATTAATTGTTCAATTGATTCATTGTTGAACAACATTTCAATAAAAATGCTAGAAGATGGTGTTTTCAGCCTTTTGAGGATTGACATGTACTCAATTTCTCTGTTTTATATCCTATTCAAGTTCATATCTATGGGTTTTTGACATTTAAATCACCTTGGAATTCAGAAACTGGAATGGACCTTTTTAACAGTTTTCAAGCATTTTATCGACTAAACAGTTCATTTTCTAAATAATGGGCGGATTTGTCAATAATAAAAATAGTTGGTAGTTGCAGTTCTAACTAATTTCCATAAAAGTTGGCTACCTATAGGCAGAAACCCAAAAGACCTCTTGCAGACATTATGTAGAGAAGACGAAAGATGCCACTAGTAAAACTCGACAGTTAGCGCAATGTGCACCTGAACAGTACACAGAGAAGTACATGCAAGTAACCGATGGTATTACTAATAAACTGTAGAGGTTTAAGTAAAGGACCAACTCTTCTGGACCCCTCTACAGAAAATACTGTCTTTAGCCTGCCGCCCTGTGGTGACCATTGGTAATTCACAAATGATGCAGGAGGATTACTTGAATAAAGTAAATAACAACATAGGACAGCTTAATCTCATCAGCAGTTATCACTTGGCAGCAACATCAACGGCCAGCATCTTTATATAACCTACATCCTAAGCAGTGTAAGGTATATATCAGTGTAAGTGGCAAAACAGTGCAACACAACGGATGTAAACTGGAGGAACTATGTAAAGAAGAGGAAGAACAAAAAGGTTTTACCAGTACTTTCAAAATAAAAGTTGTCTGTTTCCCCGTAGCTCCTGTATCTAAGTACAATCTATCAGTTTTGGGAGCTACTTGAGACAGGGCACCATGAAGTAAACAAAACAACAACAATGTCCAGTGATTGACAACACACTGCAGTTGTACCAGAGGCCTTGCTCCATTTAGATTCAGAGACCTTCTGGCTAACACATTTCAAAGCCTTGAAACAGGTGACAAATGCAGGAGAACCTTATAACTGTGAGCCTGACATAAACAGATATTCTGTGCAGTGTAAACGTGTGCTCTTTCTGGAGTCAAAAGAATAGACATAAAGCTTTGGATATAGCCAAAACTCCTCTTCATAATTGACAACACTGTTTTTTCCTATTATAATGCTGTGGATTTAGACATGGCTTTGTGGGGTTTGAACCTGGACAGCTTGTTAAGGATGGCTCACTGATACCTGCAGGGCTACACTGGGCATTCAACTGTAAAGACAGTATAATTAATACAGTATAGTTTATAGTATAGATGTCTATGGCACAAGGGATCAGTGCAAATAAACAGCAGAGTTTCTCCAAAACATTCACCCCCCCTGACTGTCCCGTCTGTGGCTAAACTACGGGTTACAAATATTGGGGAGCGTGGAGATAAAAGGCAGAGAGAAAATCTGCAATTTTTTAGAACCTAGCTTTCTAACCCCTGCGAGCGCTCTTAAAATATATGAAATGATTACACGGAAACACATATTTTCATCAAAGCAGTTTGAGGATAAAGTGTGTTCAAAGATTTAAGATGAATATACACTGCAGGTGAAGGATTAAGAAACTTAAGAAAAGAGGACCTTCAGATAACATGACGTTTGGGCGGGGTCATGCACGAGCGGAGGCGGGCCCCGGGGGCCTGGGCGAGTCGTGAGGGGTGGGGCTCTCCGTCTCAGAGGCGCTGGATTCGTCGTCGTCGTCGGTCTGCTCGGCGCTGTGGTACAGCATGAGGGCCTGGGTCTTGTGGGTGATGGTGATGGTGCAGGGACCCTGGGCCCACGGCTCTCCGTCCACCTGCATGGGCATCTTGGAGCTCTTCAGAACCAGCTGGAGAGGGAAGGAGGACAGAGGACTTTTAAAGAAAAGACATACAACACTCGGCTGGGAAAATGTTTTTATATTGTCTGAGAATACTTAAAATTGAAGCTTCACTGAGGCTCACAGTGAAGCTTCACTGAGGCTCACAGTGAAGCTTCACTGAGGCTCACAGTGAAGCTTCACTGAGGCTCACGGTGAAGCTTCACTGAGGCTCACAGTGAAGCTTCACTGAGGCTCACAGTGAAGCTTCACTTCATGAGAAAAAAATAATAATATGAATTGCTATAAACATGTTAAAGTTCTGCCTTTCTGATGCTGTAACTATACTGCTGGAATACAACAGCTTGATTGTTGAATGAAGAAAATGTATATATACAATATTTTCAACATTATTTTATTGAACATTGAACTGAGTGAAAGGGCGACAATAAAAAAAAAATACTTCTTTAAAAAGGAATCTCATGGCTTCAACCTCATCACTCAACAATTGCCGCCTGTCATGTTTTATGCCTGCAGTGGATGATCTAATAAAAGAAAAAAAAATATATATATATATATATATCTCTATATATATATATATACTTTTCAATTAGATTCAAAAATCAAAAATATATATTTATGTTTTAAATCAGAAGCATCCAGACTTGAAAAGAGACTGTGAATTGGGCCTATTGAGAGGAAATCAACAGATGGATGAAGAATAGTTTCTTCTTTGCAATAAAACGCATCTTATGCAATTTCTTAGGAACTACCGGATTTCTGTATAAGAAAATGATTAACATATTCTAAAAAAAAAACTTCATACTGAACATCGGTACATTATCTATTGATGCAGTTCTGTCAGTAACACAGCATCAGCATCTCTACTCTTTGGACTGCTATGACGTTTCATCTGATAATCTGATATGAAGGCTGCAGCATGCACTTCTTGATTCCAAACTGCTATTGAACAGTAAGAAAACCAAAGCAATGCTTTTTGCTCCCAAGTCAGCGTCCTCCTCTTGCCTCTCCATTGACACCCTTGATGGCGTTTCTGTTGAGTTTGTTGATACCTACAAATATCTGGGCTTTTGGTTGGACAGTAATCTGAATTTTAAACACCATATTGAAGTTTTAACAAAGAAATTGAAATTCACTCTTGGCTTCCTTTACAGACTTAAATGTTGTTTTTCAACTTCATCCCGTAAAAGGTTGGTCTCTGGCTTATTCCTGTCCCAGCTGGACTACGGTGATACAATCTATAGATTCGCCTGTCCCACTGTTTTGGCCAAACTTGACCCACTCTACCATGCTGCACTGCGTTATATATCAAATGCACCCTATAGGACTCATCATTGCACACTGTATAGCCTAACTGGATGGTCCTCACTTACTATGCGTAGGATGCAGCACTGGTTTTTATTAATGTATAAAGCCATTTTAGGTAAGCTTCCACTCTACATATGTGCCAGATTTGCTCCAGTTTGTGACTCTTACAACCTCAGATCCAGTGCCTGGATACGGTTCCAGGTTCCTACTGTGCGGACTGAGGCTGGAAAAAGGAGTCTTTTTCATTATGGTCCTTGGTCTTGGAATGACCTTCAATCACGCCTTAAACTGAGGGCACTTGTCTCAATAGCATGTTTTAAATTGAAGTTGTCTGAAGTCCTCACCACCAGCTGCTCTTGCAGTAACAGGTAGTGTACTTTTCTTACTGTCCTAATGTGCACAATGTAGTCACTGCTTTTTCCTCTTTTGTTTTCTTAGTTATGTTCTCTGTATTTTATATGTTTGTGTTATGTGTTATGTGTAACGTTGCTGCCTTCTTGGCCAGGTCAGCATTAAAATGAGATTTTATCTCAATGTTTTTATCTGGTTAAATAAAGGTTAAATAAAAAAAAATTAAAACATTTTTTTTTTAAAGTATCAAAAATAATTTCCCAATTTGGGATCAATAAAGAGCCTATCTATCTATCTATCCATCTATTCACAATATGTGTTTACTTTTTCTACCCTTGACTCTGTGTTCCCCCACTTATGACATCAACTCTTCACTGTTGGTTAGCAGAAATGCTTATGGATAACCTTGTACATATCTATGTGAGATATATTAATATATAATTCATATTCAAATCCTTTTGACGTGTTTTGCTATCTGGGGCAGGTATAGTCAGACTCAGGCTGCAGTGGACATTTAATTTAATTTAATCGTTTATTTAGCGGGGACAATGCACATTAATGAACACTTAAAACAATCAAATGTGTCAAGCGTAAATATGCCAGATTTAGCTTTGAGCTATTTTCCATCCGCAGTCCCTCAAAGAACCCATTGTTCCTGAAGGGTTTAAAGGGATGTTTTATCCATGCTCAGTGTAGTTCCTACAGTAGCTGGACGTCTGCATGACCCCACTTTGGAGAAACAGACAGGAGTACTAGCACAGAAGCTTCACGTATTTTAGCTACCTAAAATCGAGGCCCAACCTAAAAAAAATCAGTTTAATCGTTTAATTTAGAGTATTTTCACTGTTTTACCTTGACGTCACACACTTTCTGAAGGGGAACGTTATCTATGACCTCTTCAGAGCCACCAGACTCCATCAATACAAACACATGGAACACAGGAGCTGCGAAGATTGCTTCGTCTTTTTGTGCTTGTGTTATTAGTTGTTTTACAGACTTAATTCAGGTTCACCTCAGGTTTGAGATCATGTATAAATATTCTAAATATAGCAAACACACTTAAACCATTATTGATTTCCACTAAACCTCATACAAGCCCAGTTCCAAAAAATCCAAACAAATCCTTCAGGATTACAATTCAATGAGCAGAAGAAGTTGGTGTATGAGCAGCTGCAGGGGCCGGGTAGCGAAACGTAATCAGATTAGTTCAGAATTAGATTTCATGTGCTGTGACGAGGGCGAAATAAGTGAAAAGGAATGACTACCTTATTGTGTTTCTCCATACCCACATAAACAGGAAGCACTGCTGCTGGACCTTTTAAGTGTGTGTGTGTGTGTGTGTGTGTGTGTGTGTGTGTGTGTGTGTGTGTGTGTGTGTGTGTGTGTGTGTGTGTGTGTGTGTGTGTGTGTGTGTGTGTGTGTGTGTGTGTGTGTGTGTGTGTGTGTGTGTGTGTGTGTGTTACTGCCTCACCCTGACAGTGTGGGCCTGTCCCAGCCGTACAGGATTGGCCAGCTTGACCTGGATCTGAGCGCAGTGGAAGGAGCCGAACACCCCCACCACCTCCAGCAGACCATCGTCCAGCCTGCAGGGGGGGGGCAGGACACATGAACACTTCATATACAAGTGCATCAACAATGACTCTTTTTTTTCCTCCTGCTTTTGATATTTCAGTGATGCGTTCACTGAGGCTCACAGTAAGGCTCCATTCTATGAGGAAAATATGTGAAAAAGGCCGATCTTAAAAAGATATTAATTACGATATACATATTAAAGTGTACTCAGTTCTGTTTTTCTGATCCTTTCACTATACTGCTAGAATAAAACACATTGCTTGTTGAATTAAGAAAAGGTTTATTTTCCAAAACAAATTATTGAACATTAAACTGAATGCAAAGGTACAATACAAAATAATAATAGTTACATTGCAGTTATTTTACTGATCAAAGAACTATAATTTCAATAAGGCACCCTCTCACAATGTGACAATAGGTAACAATATGCTTGAATAGATCTACAAATATTTTTTGGACAGCTCATTAGTTAAGATTCAACAGTATTGCTTTGTCTCGAGGTATTTACCAGATTATTTTACGGGTCAAATCCGGAGCATACATATTCTCAACCTGGGCTTATTGTGAAGCATCTGATTAATTAACACACAAAGCAAAACCGTTTAATATCGCCGAACAGGCTGTTGACATGATGCCAGTCTTACCGTGTGGGGGGGCACGGTTCATCCCCCATCCCCTCCCAGAGTCTGCAGCCTCCGCCCCAGTAACCAATGTTACAAACTATGATGCCCTCCAGACTGGGCAGCGCCACCCTCTCCCCATCCAGCTCCAACTGACACACACACACACACACACACACACACACACACCACACACACACACACACACACACACACACACACACACACACACACACACACACACACACACACACACACACACACACACACACACACACACACACACACACCACACACACACCCACACACACACACACACACACACACACACACACACACACACACACACACAGCACACACACACACACACACACACACACACACACACACCACACACACACACACACACACACACACACACACACACACACACACACACACACACACACACACACACACACACACACAGTCACACACAGCACACTTACACACACACACACACACACACACCACACACACACACACCAATTGTTCAAACGAGTCATGCTCACTCTTACATTGCAAAGAAATGACACATAGCTTACACAAAACATAGCATAGCAAAGATAGTCTACAGATATATATATTTCACTGTCACAGCGTATACATTTTACATTCTATTTTTGTTTTATTTTTCTAAATTTTTCTCTTGTTTTATTTCCACATAATGTGCAATGACTTGTTTACATGCTGCTGTGACGAAGAACAATTCCCGAATTGGGATCAATAAAGTAAATCTTATCTTATCTCATAGCATAGCACAGCATAGCATAGCATAGCACAGCATAGCAAACTAGGAGAGTAGAAATAAAGTGCTAAAGGATTATGTACTAAATGATGTAAATTAGTTGGCATTTGACACTTCCAGTTCCCTCGTTTCAAAGTCAATGCGTTTTTAAACAATTCAAGTTTTTATTTTGGCATTCTGCCTTATTTAGACAGATAAACGTAGCGGTAGTATTGAATTGGGGAGAGTGAGATAAAGAGTTGAATGACATCAAACAAAGGTTCCACAGTTGGAATTGAACCCGTCATGATTCGGAGCCACTTCCCAAAGCATTCCGCTTTTAAAGTTAAAAGAGAGCAAGCCTGCCAGAAACTTTCTATTTAAGCCATGTTAAATCATTTCTTATGACTGCTTGTTGAGAGGCAGATATCTTCCTGATGAAGAATTCAAGTGATCCTCAGCCCAGAACATCAGGAATAGCGAAAAACATTGTTTGAATCTGTGTGACTTTCCTTTTGAACTGCACAGACGAAGAGAGCATGAACATGACGCATGCACAAAGCTACTGTACCTCAATCCTCTTATCCAGATCCTTACATTCCTGCACTAAACAATCTTTGGTGCCATACAGGAAATATACAGTCTGGGGAGAAACATACAGACAGAAAGAAAGGCATTAGTGTGATCATTTTGTGACTGGGACAGAAGCATATTCAGGGGCAATGCAATTCCACATCCTGATTCAAATTCAGCAAACCACAGGATTTGTGTATGCAAAGAGCCTTTCAGACTCTCTCACCTTGTTGACGATGCGGCTGGAGAAGAAAGAGGGCGTTTTCTCGCGGTGTGTGTGGAAGTTGAGCGCCATCAGAGCGTCGGGCCCCACAGAGAAGTAGTTGTTCATGGACAGGACCTGAGGAGTGTTTCATATGTGTCAGAGGCCTCAATCACACTACATGTGTTTAAGTGAGGAGAAGAGTTAATAACAGATCAAACTCACCTTTGGTTTCCGAAAGTACAGGCCTTTTGAAGCCACCTGCACTTTCCACCTAAGAGTAGACAGAGCATTAGCTAGGATTTCCTAAATACACATGGACATGAATAACATTTTTGTATAACCCCTAACCCTAATGTTGAATCTTTTTATTTAATTAATGATGGCGCCTTTAAAGGTAGTCTAAAAATAACAGAATTGGCTTTACCCGCAATGTGTACGTTATTGAACTCCCCCCTTATTTATAAAAACGTCAAGAATCAAAAAGATTATGACCTCATTTCCAAAATAAACATGGATTAGACGAACACAAATTTAAATTCTGTCAAGTCCATGACTTTTCTGAGACTTTCATTTCATGTGGATATCCAATCAGTGTTGATGACAAATGTAGTCAATACTTTATACTGCTGTCTAGTCTGTGGAATTATTCCAGTGAGCTATATCAATATAACTTTCCTACATTCCTCAGTGATGGTAAAGTGACGGAGAAAGTAGAGTTCTCCTGCTCACAGAGCCGTGACTTACATGTACCAGGATGCATTGCGCACAAGCTTCTTACGCAGAGAATCCCTACACAGCTTCTTGTACTTCTAAAAGAACAGTGTATGTGCTGATCATTGTTATCACAGTGCGAACACCTGACTGACCCACCTGTCCATTTTGACCACCTCGGCATCGAGGATGTTCCGGAGAACCTGTTCCACAGGGATCTCTCCGGCGTACCCCGCACCCCACCCTAGAGTGTTGGAGAGGTCATTTCCTGTCCCCAGAGGAAGGATGGTCACCCGGGGCATAAACTGGTCTAGACCCTGACACAGAGAAGTGGTGCTACAAATTCAAAGGCTGTATGGTCATCTACACAGTAGCTGCAGTGTAGTTATATAATGAACAGCTTTTTTATTTTATTTTTCTTGAATAAGGGGCAGGTCAAATAAGATTTTCTTTTCCCTGCTCCTTTACATCATGGTCCTACAAAAACTGCATAAAGGGTACATGTTTTGTTTTATAATAATTGCCATGTGTGGAATACACTAATACATGATTGAAACAATAAAACAAATACAAAAACGATATATATATAGAATAGTGCAAGAAGAAACAGAGAAGAAAAAAAGAGTGCAATATACGCAGGTCATTAAACATATGCCACACTGCAGCACATACAACATCAATACATAAATAAACTATAACAGCCCTCCCACCTTCAGCTTCATGGTATCGATGGCGTCCAGCACCCAGCCCACCGTGCCGTCCCCCCCACACACCAGCACCCGGACGCTGCCGGGGGGCAGCAGGGTGCACAGCTGCAGAGCTTTGGAGGGGGTCAGCTCAGACAGGTCAAACACCTGGAGAGGAGACGGGTTCGATTCATGATTTGAGCAGAAATCTAGACTCATCACCAGGCTTTTAAAACAAAGGATGACATACAAAAGGAGAAAGGAATATTTCAACCCCAAAATGACCATTTGTAAATCCATTCATCACCGTGTGTTACCTTGAAACCTTAAAGAAAACTTTGCTTGCATGCCTCCAGGGTGAACACACACAAAAAAGTAAATAACTCTTGCTTTTTCTCTGGAATCTCACTTTTCTTTTGGACTTGCATGGATTGTGTATTCAGAAATGTATAGAAGTGTATATTGTATATAATAATAACAATTATTATAATAATAATAATAATAATAATAATAATAATAATAATAATAATAATAATAATAATAATAATAATAATAATAAATGAGACTTGAACTATAATGCACCACTTGTGTTTTGGGATATTTTTTTTTAACTAGGCAGGCACACAGGGACAATTATGTTGTTGTTTTTTAAAGAAATCATGGCAACAAGTGGTGTGTGATTGATATACAGATGGGTATTTCCAGGGAGGAGAATTCCTTTAAATGGTTTTGTCTGAGAAAAAGTCTGACCTGCACAGGATTCAGAACGGTGCGAAATTCTCCCAGCAGAGCCTCCCCCATGTTGTTACCGCTGCGTGTGTTAGCCAAGACTAACACTGGAGTCCAGCCACTGCCACAGCAAGATGCCAGCTGCAGAAACACACAATTGCTTGAAACAGCTCCAAGACCCCACCCTGACCCACAGCCTGAGCCCAGTGTCTCTCACCTGGCTGTACTCCTCAGGCTGCCTGCGGCGCAGCTTGTTGACCTGGTACAGGTAGTGAGGAGGGATGATGAGGCTGTGGAACTCTCCCAGCTCACACTGGTCTGCATCCGGCAGGCTGTCCATGCAGTCATCGTGCACCGTGTTCTGACACCACACACACCTAGAGGGAGGAGGACACAAAGCCATCAGAAAAGGCAAGAAATTACACAGAAGAGCTGCGGAGGAAGCAGAACCCTGAATGTTTCCCAGCTGCAGAGATGCAGGTCTGTCCCTGACCTCATCAGGATTAGCAGTCATTTATCAGACAAAACGAGATTAAGCATGGATGTGCCCTGCAACCACAGAGAGGTCCATTAGAGGAAATTAAGGACAGATTAAAATGAAATGTTGTTGCATCACCATATGGTATGACAGCCTTAGAAGGGCAGAAAGGAAGACAGCCTTTCTATACCAATCTATAGGCATGTCAGTGTCTCTTTCTCCTTGCAAAAAGAGCAAACGGCACATATTTTACGCACACACAGCTGCAGATGTACAGTGGGCCTCATACTGTTGCACCCCCCACACTACCTGAAGTCGCAAAGCTTCGGCTGGGTGCCACACTGCTGTCTGCACACTGCACAGTAGCTGGCGAGGGGGACGTTTCCGCGCACCCAGCGGTGCTCCATGCCCCCCCCAGGGCCGCAGGGAGCCATGATCTCCTTGCACAGCAGGATGCGGTCGGCCCGGCGCAGGCACTGCTCGTCGGCGCACACCCCGCAGCAGTCGCAGAAAGCCCCCTGCAGGATGTGCTGCGAGCAGACGCAGCAGTAGGTGGGCTTGTTGAACAGGTCTGTGTAGTGCCAGCCGTGCTTGCTCTTACGGAAGAAATCCTTCATGTGCGTTTTCCGCTTGGAGCGCTGCGCGCTGCACCACAGCGTGATGATGACCGGCACGATGACGGCCAGAGAGGTCCAGAAGAGCAGCGTCCACTCCTCCCGGGAGCCGCAGTCGTCCGGCACCTCGTCCCCCTCCTTGTACATCGCTGCTTGTCGGTAGTGACGGGGGATGCTAAAAAACGGAAATCAGCCTATGTAAACAACAGAGAGGATAGACGGGACGCGCGCGAACTTCTCCCCGCGACATGCATGTTCCCAGACACTCACAAACCGCTGCCACTGATATCAGCTCCGATTTAAACAGGTTTCTGGAGAACTAGCTATAAACAAGGAGACGGCGATGTGACGTTGGGCCAATGAGCTACCTCGCGACCTTAGCTTCAGAGAGTGTTTAAATGTCAAGATGACTCCCTGCACCAACAAGGAAAACACACATGCGCATAAGGGTGTGCCCTAGATCAGACCGTTGACAGCACAACCATATCTGATCCATGCATTCAGCAGGGATGGCTGGAGTATTCAATCCAATCATTCTACTAGAGGAAAATTCATTTAAGCACTTAGCACTAAATTATCTAAGAGGACCAAAAGCTTCGATTTCTTACTGAGTCGCCCCATCAGTGCCGTAGAAGAAGGGAAAACAGGGTTGGTTGTATATTTGTCAAAGGGTGTCAAAAACGATGGGGTTGGTTGTCACTGTTATTTTAATGTGGGATAATAAAAAGTAAGAAGTACTGGATATTTACATTTTGACATAAAAAACACAAAAATGTCCTCTTACCATAATATCAAATGTCTTCTCCTAAAAGGACCATGTGGGTGACGGCCGGGTGACCTCAAATCTTAAAATTACACTACATTTTTTTTGCCCACTATGATTGAGATCTTATTAATGCGACAGCCAACCCAATACAACAATCTAGTATACTCTATAACAAGTAAAAGTCCTGCAAAATGTTACTTCACTATGAGTACAGAGTTGTATTCTGGTTATGCAGAATAATGTACCTGTATTAGGTTTTACACACTGATGCATTTTATGTTTGTAGCTGCCTGGTGGAGATCTTTGTTTGGTGGTTTCCAACCGATTTGTCAGCCCCACAAAGGACCAGAAGGCTGATGTGGTTATGAGATGATTAATGTGAGAGGAAAGAAGAAAATACCTCTCAGAGGGCTCTCTTTGCTGGAACTGCTGGACAATTCAGACATTTGGGGGCCCAGGTACATGGTAAATGGTACATTTTTTTTAATTTAAAATCTTTAATTTAAAAGTTACTGCATCAGTCAAATAAACTTAGAGGATTAACAATATTTTCCTCTGAAATGGGGTGGAGAAGGAGATATTTCAAAATGCAACACTAATTAAGTAAATGTATAGCTACTTGTAGGTTACTATGGTTCATGGCCATTATAGTTGTTGCTCTGTTCTGCAGGTATGCCTTTATGTTTTAAAGAATCAGACACAATACATGGACTGTAGACCTCCAGCAATTGAAGTACAATAAAATGAAGGCTAACAAACTAAATGTCACTTTTATATTCCTAACTTTAATTCAACAACCTATTATAAAATACTCGATCAAATGTGAGATATTTCGGTTATTTCCTGTTTACTTGCTGACATATAAGCGAACACGGAGAATAACACGGATCACCTCTAGTCTTTTATATCATCTCTGATCCTGACCTCCTGATGTGCATCCTGCTGCCCAACATCGCGCATGCGCTCTGCGCTGCATCGTCATTTCATAGCGTGTAAGAAAATCACAATGAGGAAACAAGCTTTTCGGTCATGCCTCAGAAATCAATCAGAGCTACATTATCATTAAAGTGTGCACACTGCGCGAGACACAGGCAGCAAGAAGCGGAAGCGCATCAGTGACGCACAATGACGTACCCCTTCAGACGTCACTGACAGTGCTCCCATCCAGCATAGAGGAATACATAAAAAAAACAAAATAGGAAAACATGGTCGGGGATACATAGGTAGGAATGCGATTTAAAGAGTAAAACAATAAAGCAATACAAATAATTGAGGTGACATTTTGAAACTCCATAAAATCGTTATGATCCATTCTTTTCTCCCCGGGCGCTGTACAATAGCTGCTCCTAGTGCTAGGCTCCTATTGGGTTAAATGCAGAGGTCAAATGTCACTGTGTGTGCATGTATTTGTGACCAATAAAGAGGGTTTCATCCTCCAATTCTATTCTATTTAACAGCAAAGTGCGATGAAAATATTTACACAAACATAAAAACCATTATGTAAAATAAGATAAAAAGAGTGTAGAGTAATGATTCAGGCTACCTGTTTAGAAATGTTGCCTCCAAGCCTCCATGAATCCCAGTGCAACCAATAGCCTACTCATATTTAAATGAAGGACTTATTTCCTAAGTTTTTTTTCTATTTGTTGGAAAAAGGTTATTTATATCCTGACAACAATCAATGAATCAAAAGTTCTGACAAAAAACCCATTACAATTCGGTTCCACAAGGCAGCTATGCGTATTATTTATTCTGCAATTGTGTTGCAATGGAAGCACTTTAATGTGTTTTTCGGGAGGGACTCTGCAGGAAGGGCAATTATTTCAATACATCATGAAAAGGCCCCTACACATCAGTGTTCATAACATGAATTCCAAACTGAGGGCTTATGAACAGAAAAACACAAAAAAACTGGTGGTCATTCAGGAATTAAAGTGTTGAAAAAATTGGTGTTTTTTAAAAACTTTTGAATAATTTCATTTCATTAAGAAAAGCAATAAAAACTGTGGACATTTTGAGTAAGTTACATTTTTGTATGAAATATTTTGCTAAAAATAATCAAATTATTATTTCCAAGTTTGTCTGAAGTTGCCCAACGTAGATTGAAAGTGTGTTACTCTGTGGTAATTCAATTAATGACAACTTTATTATAAATGTAGGACTAAAACTGAGGCCCCCCCTTACAAAGCATGGTTACTTATAAGAAATTCTCATTTGTAGGCTTATATGTTGTTTTTAAGTGATTTTAACCTAAAATATGATCGAAGTACCAAAACCAAGTGGTATGGTCGGTAATTCAGCCTTGACAGGAATGAAAAATAACCTTATGACAGATCAGATGGAAAGGTATTTGGTTGAATAGATTAACGTATGGAAGGATAGACAGGCACATTAACATTTCAACATGATATACTGTAGCCTATTTAATACCTGGCCATTTCTCAAAGTGCTACATTTGTTAAAATGGTCTCCTGTCTCTACAGGTCTGTTTTCATCGCCATCTAGTGGAGCGCCTCCCACATTTTACAATCCATATCTTTAAAGGCAGATTTCTCAAAATCAGTTTTCTTCTCATGAGCCCAAATATCTCACTGCAGTGTACATACACCAAACCTTCCACTTTCTTTCTCAGCTATATTCTGAAGCTTTCTTCACATATGATCATAGCCCTATATTTTCTTAAATTGTATTCCTGAATACGTGTTGCTTTTCTTTATGGCTGTTCTTTATGATATACGGAGTGATAAAAGGATATATCACAAATTCCCTTTGTAAAAAGCTTTGACCCTAATATGTCGAAAATATAACAAGAATTTCAAACCTGATTTATCCAATGTTCTGATGCTGTTCCGGAAATGTAGACAAATTAGAACCTATTAAATAAAAATGATGTCTCATTTTTATATTTTTATATTTTTTATAAAACAACAATAAAAAATAACAATAAAAAAATAATGTAACTTTAAGTCATCAACTGAGGAAGTTTCATGGTGATATCTATATTTTGTTTACCCTTTACACCTGTAGTGTCGTACGAGGAGATAAGTTTCTTGGGGATTTGGTTTAAATATCTCCTCAGTAACATGAGCAGATCTGTGACAGTTTTTATGTGACGTGCAGTAGGAGGAGAATTTCCCCTTTCACCCCCTCTGGACTCTAGTCAGGACCTCATTTCAGAGAAGGTTCAGAAACAGAAAGAAGAAGAAGAAGAAGAAGAAGAAGAAGAAGAAGAAGAAGAAGAAGAAGAAGAAGAAGAAGAAGAAGAAGAAGAAGAAGAAGAAGAAGAAGAAGAAGAAGAAGAAGAAGAAGAAGAAGAAGAAGAAGAAGAAGAAGAAGAAGAAGAAGAAGAAGAAGAAGAAGAAGAAGAAGAAGATGAAGAAGCTGGTGGTGTTTTTACTCTGCATGGTCCTGCTGACCCTCTACACAGGTAGGAAACTCTCAGGGATTTACCTGAGGGGAGCAGTAGCCTGTCATGATAAATTATGGGAGACATTTTAATTGAAATAAAACCATTTTTCCCTGCAGAGCGGAAGTCAGTTGTAGGCGCAAACTCTTCAAAATTACCTTCCAACGCATATCCAAAACCTATCCAAAGTTAACTGAAATCTGCTCTTGAACACATTTTGTAGTATGTGCATGATTTTGCTTTCTTTTGAAATGTACAGTACACCCTGAACTCAGGATCACTGTAAGGGCTGGCACTGAGTAAAATAAGTTTGAACACACTGAAGAAGAAGTGTTTTATAACCACCTGAAAAACGTCTTGGGTACAGATGCCTGCAGATGACTTTAGCTGGGTGTTAGCTGGAAAGCAAAAAGAGATTTAAACAGAACAGAATGATGGTGATCTCATTTATCAAACAGTTTAGATTTTGAATTTCTTTCTTTTGTAGTATGATGTTAAAGTGAAGACAGGCCAAGGGATCACCATAGGATTTTTGCACAAGTGCATGACCATGTCCAGTTGATTTAATTTCAGCATGCATTCTTGCTTAGAACACAAAGTGCACAAATGTTAATGAGGTAGCTGCAGAATGTGTGTGTGTTTTGCCACGTCACGGTGAGGCCCGTGCAGCAGCTCCAGCCTGGTGTTGACAGAGCTGGGTTCATTCACAGCAGCTCCTCTGGCAGGAGAGGCTTCAGGGTCACGTGATGCATGGACCGACTCCCCGGGGAGCGAGGAGCATGAATGGGCACTTTGTTACCTTCCACCAACCATACAGGCCTGAGAGAGGGAGACAGAGAGAGAGAGTGTGTGTGTGTGTGTGTGTGTGTGTGTGTGTGTGTGTGTGTGTGTGTGTGTGTGTGTGTGTGTGTGTGTGTGTGTGTGTGTGTGTGTGTGTGTGTGTGTGTGTGTGTGTGTTTGAGCAGCTCTTTTGGGGCTGGGGAATAAACAGCCTCACATGGACTATAGCTAAAGCGTTTGGGTCAGCCTCAGCTCACAGCAGCAGAAAGTGGAGAGAGAGTTATTCATGGCTCTGAATACAGCGCCCAAAGAGAGGAATGGTAGTGTGATCAGCCAATATACAGAAAACAACTGGCTTAGTCCACACACTCAAACATACAAACATTTGAGTCTACACAAATTACAATATATTTTTTAGGGCTGCAACCAACAAGTATTTTCTTTATAAATATCTCATTAATCTGTGGTTCATTTTTTTGAGTACTCAATTAATTGTATGTTCATAAAAAGTCAGAAAATTGGGGCAAATATATCCATCCCATCCATTTCAAGGTGATGTCTTAATTCTCTTAAAAATGTTATAGTCCTATTGTGTTAGCCCAGACCCAAAGACATCACTTTCATATGACATAAAACACAGACAAGAAGGAAATCTGTGGAACAGCAGTTTCTGCCATTTGGCAGAAATGAAGATGAATCAGCATACGAGTAAACTTTGAATCTCTCTGTAGTCAAACTCTCCTTTCTCTCTCCCTTAGATGCCAACCCTATCATCAAGGAGAGCTTTGCTAAGCAGCTGCTCCGCAGCAGGAGGCAGGCCGGATACCCCGACGAGCCCATGAGGGTGAGCTCCACCAGGAGATCCTCTTCACTACTGACCTTTGACCTTACTGAGATCTATAAACCTGTATTTTAAACTTCCCTTCATAAGCACTTTATGAACAATTAATTCTGTGACGCATTTATAAAGAAGTTTTAAGTGTTCGTTAATGTTTTTGACACAATAAGAATTCCTGCAATGAAAAATCCATTACTGCTATTTAACAGTAAATGATGCTGGATAACGCTTCACACATACTAATCATAGTCAGGGGCGGTTCTAGGGGGGGGGGGGCATGGGGGTTTGTGTCCCCCTACTTTACAAATAGGCCTATGTTTATTATTATTTTTTAACGCAAGCCGTCATCGCCACGGAGGAGCACACAGCCTCTGTGAGCGAGCGAGACAGAGAGAGAGAGCGAGAGAGAGAGAGAGAGAGAGAGAGAGAGAGAGAGAGAGAGAGAGAGAGAGAGAGAGAGAGAGAGAGAGAGAGAGAGAGAGAGCACACCTTTATCTATTTAATATAGTTGTAGAAAATAAAGTAAGAAATCATTCCAATGTGTACTATCCTCCTGAGACCCAGAAAGAAAAAGGTTTCAAATTTCCTTTTTTTTTTTAGATCCCACAAGTCTTTAGGGTGGTATTAACATAATGACTAACAAAAACTAAAAATATATATTTTTATTTTAGTTTTATTGTGTGTCCTTAGTAGAGGACATCAGGTGTTAGTTATGCGAAGCATAGTATACAAACAACATTAACATACAAGTACATTTTGACAACATTAGAGCACAACAACTCAATGCAACAAATACTGAGTCCTCATTTGTAGTACTCCATCCTTTTTTGAAATGCAGAGATACATCTGACACTTGAGACACTTGATGTATGTTTTCCCACTGCATCCGTCTGCCATGAACCCTACAGAAACCTACGTGTTAGTTTTGGCCCATAGTGGACTCCATTTGTGTCGTGTAAAATGGGGGAAATAAAAAGTTAGCAAATCCCCATGTCCTCCTCAGAGGACATTCATAAAAACATTTAGTTTGAGGTCAAATCATTATTACACTGCTCTGAAACTCACTACACTAACTCCTAAGATGTTCCCTTACTATAATTAATTAAAAATATTGACCTCACAACACTGGTAATAACAAACTTACAAACTTACCATTTCTCTTTCTATAAATAGTGCTTGTGTTGATGGACGCCATTTTGAAATACAATGAAATTATCTTTTTCAAAGCCACACCCCCACATATGTCACATGTCTGAAAAGCCCAGGGTGTCCTCTGTGGAGTACAACTGGACTTAATACTGTGGCATGTATAACCTCATAGTTATGGACCAATACCAAATGTCCTCCACAGAGGACAAAAATGAATGGGGCAGTAAAAAATATGCATAAATAAAAAGAAAGAATGCTAACTAGGTAACATAAGATACGAATAAATGATTTGTTATTGGTTGAGATCATATTCTAAAGATGTTTGGATTATTGAAAAGTATACAGCTCCCTTTCATCTGAGTGTTGAGAGCTGTATCCATCAATTCATGTTGTGCTCAAAGTGCTCCAGATTGATGCATTTCACTACAACATTTAAAAAAAAATCTTCCCGGGGGTGCATGCCCCCGGAACCCCCTAGAGGAGGTGAGGACCCCCCCCAAATAAAGCAGGTTAAAATAATTAAATTGCATACATGTTCTTTTAGTAAATACTGAAAGCGGGTCCCACAGACCCAAACGGCACACAAAGGTTAAAGGTCAGCATATCATAATGTTAAAATGTGCTAAATATATACACTGCAAAAAACAAAAAAAGGAGTAAAAGTAGCTAGCGACTTGTTTTATTTTCTGAAAGTAGCTCTCATCCTAAAAAAGGTTGGAGACCCCTGCATTAGAGCCTAGAAACTTTATATAAGTATCGGAAATAAATATGTGTACTGAAACAAATACCAATAACTGTATTGCATTGTTTTCTTATGCGCAATTACTTCATACTGTCTTTGTCTTTTTCGTCCTGCATTTATTGTGCCCCCCCTCAGAAAATAACTGGCCCCGGCCTGGCCCCCCCAGTCAAATTGGTCTTGAACCGCCACTGATCATAGTGTTATGTCATAATAATCATAGCTTTATAAATTGTATTCCAATCTCATGAGAAATATCATATTTAGTTGAAACGACATCATTCATATCATTGAGCATTCATTATGTGTTGGGATGCTTCATGGGAGTGAAACAAAAATGTAAAACCTTAGATCTTCTAATAATTAACGTGTATTATAACCCATTTATTAGGGGGTTACATTCTTATATCTTTCAAAAACACATCATTTCATAAATTGTTTTTGTTTTGGGTGATAACTTCCAAGTATCAGAGTAAATATAGTCAGGCTCGCGTGAATGCTGAAAGGCCAGGAAGGCCCTAACCAGGGCCTTTCCCTGCCTCATGCGGTGTCCAAACTACGGCCCGAGTGCCAACTGCGGCCAGCAAATTCTAAAAGTGTAATGGAATATGACCCACACATGAAACTTGTGCTTGTTTTATATTGTACTTCTTAAATATACATGTACAAATACATTACCCAGTATTCATGTGTTAACAAGCCACATTTTCAAGTAAATGCAATTAATTAAAGTTGAAAATGTGTTCTAACAAATCTTAGTTGATAGAAAAAGCCCAATAACTTACTTACATAACAAGCTTGAAATATACCATACCCTATTTCCCCTTATCCCTCAAACAAAGGAACCTGCAAACAAAGATATGTCACAAAAAAGGAAAAAGACCAATAGCTTACATGATTACACAAATTATTTTGTTGCAAGTTATAGTTTTACTTTTGAGAATACTTTTTTTCTCTCAAACTCTTCTTTTGCTTGATACTGAAGAAGTGCTGCTTGATCTTAATGGCACACACCTGATTCCAAACAGAGAATAGTTGTCTGGTTAAAGTGTGTATATTGTTGGTGGTGGGAGACAACTTGCCCCCGGTGTCTTCCTCGTGGCCACTAATTCAGTCCCCAAAAAGTCCTCTGATATCTCTTCTTCTCTTGTGTTTAACAGCAGCTTGCATCACAAATGTTGCATTATTGCCCACCTTCGGGGGTAATTAAATCCAGGGTTGTGAGGGTTATTTAAAAAGTGTTATACTGTCACTGATATCTCCTACACAGGTGACCAATTTAGCAAACACCCCACAAAGAGTGACGTCAGTTTTGAGTTCCTACCACCTGCCTAAACCACACCCATATCTAAGCACCATTTATTAAAGTAAATGAATACACGTCATAACAATCAGATTTTTTTTGTGGGGAAAATAACATAATCTTTACATACTGTATTCTACTGTAGGATTTATTTCAACTGATGGCATCTGTCACTAACCCCAACACTTAATGTATCTATTTAAAAAGTGTGTTTTTGAATATATATATTACACATCTGTCTTCATGCAATAAGTATCTAAACCTGCTATAAGGCATAGCAGCATAGTGGAATGTAACTAAGTACATTTACTCAAGTATCAGTTCAAACTTGAGGTACTTGTTTACTTGAGTTAATTCTTTTCACACCACTTTTTTTTCGTTATTAAAATCTGGGAGTAAATTTTGATAGTTTCAGACTTTTTTTTATTTGAAAACAAAAATATTGTTTCCAGTATCCCAAATGTAAGGATTTGTCTATTGAGTACTTTTGCTTTTAATACGTAATACATTTTCCTGATTACTTACTTTTACTTAAGTAGCATTTCAAATACAGGACTTTTATTTGTAACATAGTGTTTTTACAGTGTGTTATGAGTAATTTAACTAAGTATAGGACATGAATACTCCTTTCACCATGATCTATAAAGGAATCTCTCTCCATGCGTTTGTGCATTGTAATGCTTTGAATGCATCCATTCATCATTGTACAAGTCCCTGCATGTTAAGCTTCCCTCATCTCTGTAATTTCACTCTCTCTGTTGTGCTGTTATTGTGCTGCTCTGCTGAAACAAAAGCAGAGGAATACAAAGTTCTGAGTCAGCACTGATTCCCCCTTTGAACATTCAGTTTCATTTATGCAAATGTTCAGATCAACAGTTCTTCATGCTTCTCATCTGCTGGTACCTCCACCCTAACCACCTTGTTACTCCCCCCCCCCCCCCCCCCCCCTAGGAGCATCTGCTCCACATGCAGGCTTTGGATCAGCGGGCCCAGGAGACCAGCATGGAGAACTGGCTGAACCCTCACTGCTCCCCCCGCTGTGACAGGAACTATGGACACCCCGTCTGATCACGGTGATGATGGCTGCACAATGCAACACCGTGCACATACACAGCAACCATCAGTTGTATTTCACTCAGATTTAACACACACACAAATAAGTACAGATGCCCTATCAAATAATATGACTTTTTTGACATTTCCAAATAAGCACATCTTGCCTCTTGGTCCTTAAAATCATGTTCAACATAATGTGCCTTTCCCTGTTTTGTATCTGACTGATTCCTTGCTGCTGGTGTGTTATTTCACATCCTGTTGTTTTGTCATTTATCACACAGCAGGAAACCTCAGAAAACCCAGTCAGGCTTACAGTATATCATGTTATCATTCAGTCAGTTCTCTTGTTTTAATCATTTCAAACTTGCTTGAAGTAAACTGTAGGCTTTCATTGCTAACAGACGTCTACAGTAAACAAATAAAATGTGTGTGGTTTGGAGGCAAACGTTTTTAAGCTTTCTGTTTACAAAGAAAAATAAAAGTTGCTGTTTGATATGCATATTTGTCAGAGTTTGAATGCAACTAAATATACCGTGTTTAACTGTTCTTTATCTTTCTCCATAAACAGAAAAGGACCAGAGGTGACAACTTGGACAAGATAACAATGAAAAAGATGTTCTCTCTCTATCTTTCCTGAAATATGATCATGTAAAGAATACATGGTCATTTATGTAATCATATTGTAATACAGCTGTGTAGTGTACTGTAGTGTTGAATTAAAAAGGTATCCATGTATCATCAGAATGGAATGTTGTAACATCACAAATATTAAAATGCATGCAACAACACTGGGTTACAATGGTTGTGTTATTATTCCTTAATTATTATTATTTATGTATTAATAGTGGTGATTTGGAAGGCTACTAACTTTACGTTAAAGCTTGTTAAACATTTATATATTACCCTTGTTGCGGGCATATGGTTCCGGGTATTAGTCGGTGACAGAAGAGAGTTTCTCGACTCGAGGAGCGAATGATGTTTTCTTTGGCAGAGAGAAACATAAACATGTTTGTTTATCCTACCATGTTTCTGCTTCTAACTGAAGCTCAGTTTCACTTTTGTCACGTAGCCTACATGCTGTCTCTTAAATACAGCACCTAGCATGTTATAACGGGGGCCAGATCACAGCAGGCGGATCTATTTATTTGGGTTTATCACCTCCGCACAAAGAGAGCGTGTAGTCCCGGGCATCTGAGGTTCGTTTATCTCATTATAATATTTAGACCTAATGTGTCATGAATGAGCAGTCAAAGGTACAGGTCCACATGGCTGCATGAGGCCTGTAGAAAACAGACGGTTTCAGAAAACTCTGAAATATGTATTTTAAAATCCCATCTGCAAAGCAGCTTAGGCCATAACTGCGGTGATGTGTGCGGCATATTAATATAAATAAACATTAAACAAATGGTTAAGATTGCCGCTAATTCTGAAATTGAATACACATTTGTTTATAGTAGGCTATAGCAGTTTGGGTCTATGAGTAAATAGCTGGATTTTTTTCATTTCATTCAAAAGTTTCAATTTGAAGTGGCGTAAAAGCAGACGTGAGATGCTCGAGGCATTCACATTAAATATTCATAAAGGTCTCTGGGTTTATGGTCTGCTCTGTGTTTCGCTCTCTGCAAACCTCTCCATGAGCAGGCCGCTGCTGCAGTGGATACTTCAGGTTTTCCTTGGAGCCTGAGGCCCTTTACATCGGCACCGGGTGCCTTTATGAGCTTGTAGGAATTTAAAATAACTAATTTTTCATATAATTCCCAATGACCTCTAACATAAATTGATTGATGGTTGGTTAAGGCCTTCTTGTGTTACGGTTTTGATCAATATTTAATTAATTCAGGCGCTATCTTTAAATATGACAAAAAACAAGTCGAGGCCACGAGTTGTAATAAAAACTCTTGACAGTAAAACACAACGAAATGAGAAAATCCAAAGTATTTATTGTAAAGCGACTAAAACGTGTGAAATTATCTTCTTACAATAAATCTTTATGAACGTTTTCTATGAAAATGTAAAATATAGGCCTACCATGTTAATGGAAAAGGTTGTTTAACACTTGGGAAAACTCCTGTGTGGAATTTATTTGTTAACCATACAATTAGAAATGTTAGAGACATTACAAAAATCGGTCTTTGAATACAACACAAACGGATAAATCTAAATACTTTTGAAATAAAAGTGCTTGAGTACATTTTTAAATATGAACCCCATTGAATTGAATAGGTTTTTTCTTTCAGTCAAATCGGTTCAAATTATAGAGAAATATTCAATCCACAGACTGAATTTATTATCTAAGCCTTGGCTCAATGATCATATTTGCTTTAACGTTTGAGAATGAAAAAAATACATTCTAGTTACTAACAATTAAAAATAGTGAAATTCAGAAGCTCTGTACATAAGTAGCCAGCTGCAAAGGCAACACTCAACTCATTCATGTTAACCAATGCAAGATGTGAAATAGACTTCATTTGATTTGGTCAATTCAAAAAACAGATGTTCAAATTTGTAATATATACACATATGCACATTAAGTAATTTTTTACAATACATACAAAAAGGGCGTTGCATAATATTCACACTATGTCCTAGGACCTTCAGGAGGATTCTGATGCTAAACAAAGCGTGGCAGAAACAAATCCATCATCTTTTGTCTTTGAAGAAGCCTTTCGAAGTGCTGCTCTCCTTGATGGTGACGGTCAGGAAGTTGGTAGTCACATCCGTCACCATGACCTTCTCCACGTTGCCGACGGAGGGCCTCCACGTCACTTCATCCAAGTCCAAGTCGAGTCTGGTTGGGGACGGCCTGTCCATGAAGTAAGGCTTCTCCATCTGGGGAGGCTCCATGGGGCGGCCCAGGCTCGGGCTCATTCTGGACTGGTGCTTGAAGGTTACAGGAGCCAGGTGGCTGGAGCTGTCCTTAGTCCTGTGCGAGTCTGTTCTGTGGGGGTGCAGGCTGCGCTCTGAGTAGAGCTGGTTGAAGGAGCTTCCCCCGGAGAGCCCCCGGTTGTTAGAGTGGTGATGATGATGATGGTGGTGGTGATGGTGCCGTTTATGACTGTGTATTTCTGGATGTCTGTGGGCCACTTTTATCAGCCTCATCTCTTGGCCCCCCTGGAGTTTATGCGGGACGTGGCTACCCTGCTCCTCAGCTCTCCTCTTGTGGGGTTCAAAGATCGCAGGGCTGCAGCTACCGTCCTTGAAGCGGGGTTTAGGCTTAGGGCCTCTTTTTTTGGGAAGGTGGATGAGTTCGTCTGGACCACTTATCTGAAGGGAGGGCTGCTGGTACTCGCGAGTGCTCAGCTCTGGTGGACGGATGCTTTCTCCCCGGTTGACCGTGCTGGGTGGGAAGATGGTGGGAACAACTGCTCTCAGGCCCTCTCTGGCCCTGGGAGTGACGACCGGCTCTGGGGTTGGGTAGGTGATGTGCATTCCTCGGACTGCGTCTCCCCGGAACTCATAGGACTTGGTCTTGATTTTAGCCTGAGCCTATTAAAAGTTATGAAAATGAGAGGGAAATTATTATTAAAAAAAACAAAACATAATTCCATTTCATATTTTAATTTCTTAGTGGACTTAACAAGCCTTTTTCCCCCTTTTGGAAGGGTGTCATTAGGATCACCACAGTGTGGCATGCCAGGGCCTTGAAACCTGAGCAGCCAAATGGAATTCAGCCTTTCATTTTATTACTCACACCTGTGTTCTACTGTAACATGTCAAAATGTGTTCTATGAAAAGACCTGTTGATTGTTTAAATTACACCCTGACACTGAGCACAGCTATTACATGTAATGTATATATTACATTTTTAAGTGTGAAAATGTGTAGTTGCAAACAAGAACTAATGGGCAACTGCATTACCACGTACAACAGCAAACGGTTCCTGTCAGGCAACAGTATTTATTAGTGCATCTTTACCCATAAAAAAAGCCAACAGAGATTCTGGTTTTTAGTTTAGCATCAACTGTCGGTCATTAGGTCACGGTTCGTTTTCCTTTAAAGCTGAAAACTCTTGCTGACTTCACCAGGCTATACTCAACGATTTAATTCAAATTTGGGGCAGTAACCTGAATTGTATGCATCTATATTTTATAACCGTTATTAGTCTTATAAAAATCACATACAGTTGGAGATTAAGAATGTATAGAAGGCAGCAGCTTGCAAACAGGAATTTTAAACTAATATACATGTTGTAACATGTCAACAGCTTCCCATTAGCTAATACACACGTTGAATATGCATCATTACCATCATTAATGAGCCTCTCGCCTTAAGGAGAAATGCAATGAGGCTGAAACGAAACAGCCTGCTGGGTTTACCTTGAGCAGGAACGTCTTGGGCTTTGGTCCTCTCTTTTTGGGCCCGAAGAGCTCTCTTTCACGCTCCCTGTGGAAAATAAAGAGACAGACGCCCATTTTGAGTGTCACGGGAGCAAAGTGCACCGAGGACACCGTATATTTATGGGACTACATTCACTGGCTGTGTGCCCAGACATCTTAACGTTACCTCTCTTCAAAAGCGAAAAACAGGCGCGAGTCCAGAATATTATCCTCCGGTTCCCACGTGCTGTATCTGTGAACAGAGACATGAGCGTGAAGTTAAAATGAGGAAACGACCGCTGACACACTGTGGGGATGACCATTGCGTTAGCCTGCAAGCTAAACATCTCCATCGTGCTATAACGCTACTCCTCAGTTTTAATCCGGGGCTGTCTCGCTAGCTGTGGCGAGCTAACGACAGCCACAGCCGAGCCAGTCCAGCAGTTCACACAGTACAGACTAGAGACAGTAAACACAGAAAGCAGAGACAGCAGACACAATGTAGGACTTACTTGGGAGACCAACCCTTCCATTTCACAAGGTATTCAATCCGACCCTGCATGCCATCAGAAACAAACACAAATTAGTTCATTAGCTTGCAGGGCAACAGTAGAAATATATAGCGGTGCATTATATTTAACGCTGTGGGAGAAAAGAGCACGTCACATCTCGCGCCTACCTTCCTTATCCTCCGTTTGATGATAGACTCGGCAGCGAACACCCTCTCCCCGACAGCAGACAGCTCCATGTTTACTCCAGTGCTACCTACCGTTAGCTCAGCGGACGCTATCGTTAGCAGAGCAGATATTTTTTTCCAGTCCCAGCCACTCTGAATTCCCGACAGACCATAATACTCCCTTACAGAATGGACGTCAGCGCAATTTTTTACTGCGTTGCTAAGGAACCGCAGTCGGTGGAACCTCAAGAAGAACGCCCATTGGTCCAGCCGTTGCTACGTGCTCGGGTTGCTAAGTGAGGGGGAGGAGCTTGTGCTTGTGTGAATTCTTTCGGGGGGGAAATGGAGGCTTTTTCCCCCCCTTACGGCGAGTGAATCATTTCGCGCAAGTTATGTGAGATATTCAAAAATGCACGTGGTATCAGACGTTGTGTAGTTTGTATGCACGCGACAGTATCGTCAAAAACATAGAGAAACCAGGAAATAACCGGGCCATTTGATTAATGCGACGAGAGACGGAGACATTCTTCATTTGCGTTCATTCTATGTAGCTATGCATTTATTTGCTGACGCAATAAACTCGCCTTTTGACGTTTAGTAGCTACAGGAATATTACGCATTAAGCACACAGGCTGTGTTACGCCTGCCCGCATTTATTTCGTCTGTTCTCGCTGTCTCAGGCCGAGCAGAGGATCAATGCACTTTTCCTGCCAGGCTAAATTATAGGATGTTTGTATTCATATTATTATATCTAACAACCCACTGTAGCCTACTGTAGCTT